AATCTTTTGTCCGAGTTCTATATGGTCTCGAATTCGATTCGTGGCAATCGTCATTTGACTCCCGTAGCGACAATTCGGTCTTCTTTCGCCACGGGATACCGTCATGGTGATTTCCTTGGGAATCATTTTCTCCCTCGCGAGAGCAATCATGAGTCGAACTCGCGCGAAAAAGGGATAATGCACTCGAGGACGTTCCCGCAGGATTCGAAATGCTTTTCTTTCACCGGTTATAGTTAACCCTTTGCGATCCAACTCTACTTTTGTTCCAACCATTTCTATACGTCGAATAGAAATTTATTACTATTTTAACGATTCTCTAAATATTTCTCGTACTTAGTACTAGAAAAAAAAAAAATACTCATTTTCTTTTAAATTGTTAATCTAATTAAATTCTGTTTTTATTCTCTGATCAAACAATCGCTAATGACAGAACTGCCATGTGCGTGTATGCGAAAATGTTGTGATCAACTTTCTCATCGATAACACGAATATTACACCGCGTGGGCAATTTTTAGGCGCGATTAATTGCACAAATCGTCCGAAATTTAAGAGAAAGAAGTATCGCAAAGATGACAGATCGAAAGAATTACGTTTCCCGCGAAACGGCGTCCATTCGGGATTAGCCAACCTCTTCCCTTTGTATCATTCGAAATTGTGTCTTCTCGTAAAGAGACGCGCGCGGTCTCACGCACACACACGTTCGCCGTTTCTTAATATTGTAATTATACCGGGAAACATAATTAAGGCGCGGTTTTTTGCGGTCGCATTCGTCGCATGACTTGGACTATGACGGGTTATATGCGCATCACGGTCGCCAGAGCCAGAAGAGAGTTCGGATTCGCTTCTGATTTAGCGCGCCGCCGCGCCGTTTCTCTTTTTCGCCGTGGCCGCGTCTAATCTGGTTCTCCTTGCGAATGCCTCCCCGTTTTTCTCCATCTCCGGCCATCGAGAACCTGGGTTCATTCTTGCCACAATCATCGTAAAACATATATCCAAGGATAGAAAACAATGGTAATCCCGAAGTTGTCGGCGCGACAGCACACACGATGATTCCGCCGCGTCGTGTGGAATTTCTCCGTTTTGGAATTTACGTTTCTCCTTTTTCCAACAAACAGGTTCAAATCATTGCTTCGCCCCTCTATGTCACGAATCAAGTTTGCTCCGATATTGGAAAGTAATTAATACATTACAATTTTCTTTCTCTATCTTTAATTCTGTATAGAAATCATTTGGTTGAGAAAGGAATTATATATTGTTTAGATAATAATGTATATTAATGTTATTTATCAAATGCACGTAAAGGATCAAAAATATACGGAGATAATTTTTTCTTAGAATTTATATACCCTTGAAAATCGTGGTAATCGTGGGATAAAATATGGTACGTATTGAAAGAATTTTATAAGAGTTTCTCTGATTAATATTTATCACAATAATAAATATATTAATATGTACATAGTCAAATTAATTGAACATATTTTATATCTTATTGTGAATATTAATATTTTTATTATGGTGTAAATATTAATCAGAGAAACTCATAAAATTCTTTCAATATCATATTGTTTCACCCTGACTTTCAGGGTAAATTCTAAAAAAAATCCTTTCTGTGTAGAATAATATATGTAGTTGGAAAAGAAACTACTAATTATTTTTGTGTTAAATATTAGATAGTAATGTATATTATTACGTTATTTATCAAATGCATATATTTATTAAATTTCCCAACAAAATTTCAATTAAATTTTGATTAAATAACATTTTCCGACACAAAACCAGAAAGGTCGATTCTCTATTTGACGCGGTTACAACTTCCACCAAGTTTAATGCGAAAATGAAATTTATCGCCTATATATATATCTTTCCGATCGCTTTTTTTTTCTCTTATTTTGAAAATCGCTGGACCGGTCGCGCAGGTCATCGTCGCCGTAGAGAACTCGCAGACCACGACGACGACGGCCTGGGGTACGCGAGCCTCCAGGGTTTCGCTGCGGTGGGATCAGGTTTTTCTCGCCGTCGCGACGCGTCTCTCCGCCTCCGGACCGCGTTCGCGTTCCCGGCCGACAAAAACCCCGTGCCAAAAAAGTCGTTATGTAAATGCGCCGCGAAAGCCCGGCCTAGGCCGCGCCGATGTTCTGTTGGTCACAGGTACGTATACAGGGTGAATCGTGCAATTCGATCACCCTGTGACGAGTCTCGCTTTCAAAAAGCGAAGGTGCGGCCGTGAAAAAAAAAATTACGGAATAAAAAAAGAGAGAGGCGAACAATCCTGAAAGACGTAACTCGATTTTCTGCATAACTTTTCATTATGCGAATTTGATAGAGAAGGGATGAAGGGTTGCTTCGGTTATTCGATGCGAATGAGAGAAATACACAACGATCATTTTCGTAATTTTGTAAATACCGCAATTAAAATTTCTTTTTTAAAATACACGAAAAAGGAATATTATAGTTACTTTTTTGTTGACTAACGAGAATGGTTAAAACCTGAATCGGTTTTGGAGTAGTATATAGCTGCTCTTGCGCTTTGAAATTCTTATTCCATCTCCAATTCTGGAATTAGGTCAAGTAAATAAATGCAGGATGAATTATTAATAAATTCAGCTAATGCGGCGTAAAGTTGATGATGCGAGCGGACGATTGCGCTTGTGGTTTTATTTTTTAACAAAAGCACGATCGAAGTGTTGCTGCGCGGATGACAGGCTTAGTTAGATGATCAACAACGTGTATATCACATACGCGCGGTATTAATAAAGTCATGAAAACGTGAATAAGATGTCAGCGACGGCGATATAAATAAATGATGGACAATAATAATGGGATGCAAGGTGGGAATCGACATAAAAACCGCGAGGAAAGTTCGTGCACCTCGTGTCTATATGAGAATTTTTCGGATCGAACCAGCGAAAATGCAAGATTCGCGATATCTGAAAACAGAAAGTGACATTTTTATTTTTTCTTCTTAACAATTTTATCGAGGAGCAAGCATAAACAAAATTCATATACGCGCGAGAACTAATAAGATAATACCGTATATATTTTAATAGAGAATGCCAGAGTATCTCTGCAGGTTTATTGGTAAATTTTTTCTCCTCGCAAAAATGTCATTAATTTTTAAGTCTACTCAGAGAAAATTTTCTTTTAGAATTTACCCTGAAAATGAGACATTATACGGTATTGTACGAATTTTATAACAGTTTCTCTGATTAATATTTTTATCACAATAAAAACGATTTTTAGAGTAAACTCGAAGAGAAAATTCTCTCCGTGTAGCAATTAAAAAATGAAAGGGTTTTCGCAAATTAACATAGAATTGTCACAGAGAAATAAATAAGGAAGAACAAAAAATGTCTAGCAATAAATAAATACGAATGGCATAAATGTTTTTCCGTCATAAATATCCTTTTTGCAAGACGCATGTCTCAATCGCATCTGGTTCTCTTTCTTCGTTTAACCCTGCTTCCTGCTGATCCAAGACCGAGACTCGAGACACGGTGCTTCCACGTAGATCCTTTTTTCGCGGGTCGCGCGGTTCGCGCTAGAAAAATCTCGCGGAACAAGTCGCCACCCCATCGTCGTCGGGGACTTATTCGCGGGCCCGAGAGAGAGCGTGAGACCGGGATCCGGGCTCGTAATAAGATCCGCCGGCCAGTTTTTTTACATCTCTCTCCCTCTCTTTCTATTTCCCTTCCACCGATCTCTTTCTTCGGCTTCACCCTGCGCTCTTCTCTCTTCCCTGGCGCGCTACCGGTATTAATTTATACGCGGTACGTGTGTGCACGCCGCTTTTTCTCGCAGTTCCTCGAAATTTGCAAGAAACTAGTCGGACACTTTGGCGTCTCCTCGCTTGGACTCGCGTGATCGTGTCGTGTCGATATACGACAACGACGACGTATAATAATGATTGTGTGGCGCGGATGCTTCGAGAGGCAAGGGTGGTTGTGGCAAAAATGCTGCTTGCGATCGAGATGGACGACGTACTATTATACAAATTCATTTAATCCTCTCTCCGTAATTTATCTTTCTCATTGTAGTTAAAAAAAAAAATAGAAAAAAATTAACATAGAGATATGTATATTATTATAAAAAATGGAATTTATATATATTTAATCGTTCTCAAGAGCAGGAGGAAAATTAATAAATCTGACATTTTACGGTCAAGTTTTTGCAAAAGTATCCTAAATTCTCAATTGATGATTAATAAATGTCAGATAATATTTATTTGGGAGCACAAATTTTTTAAATTAATACAATGTGAAAAATTATAATCTCTGTTTAATTTTTTCAAAAAGTTGATAACAAATATTATTAATGAAAATATATGTAACTAATAATATATTACAAATATACACGGAGAGCGTTTTAGAATTTATCCTGAAAATCATGGCAATCGTGTGGGACAAAATATGGTATTGAATAGAATTTTGAGTTTCTCTGATTTTTTAAATATTTAACACAATAAAAAGTATTAATACGTACATGGTAAAATTAATCGAACATATTTTATATCTTATTGTGATAGATATTAAAATTTGTATTGCGGTAAAAAAAATATTAATCGGAGGAATTCTTTTCCACGATTTTCAGACTAAATTCTAAAAGAAAATTCTCTCTGTGCAGCAATAAAATATATTTTCATACCATAATTAATAAGGCAAAAAGTTAATAATTTAAAGTATCCATATATATTCGTATCGCCCTTCGAGAACCGGTTCGATGAATTATGTCCGCGCTGACCGCGGAATATCAATGGCTCTTATATCAAGCGCAGGCTGTCTAATTATGACATAATTGATTGTGTCGACTGTGAGTGCAGAGAACGAGAAGCTAAGCGAGGAGGGAGAGAAAGATATACAATCCGCACACAGCGATCATTACCGCTGTCGGCGCAAAACTGTACCGATTCGGTCGGAACCGGCGATTCCTCGGCGTTGTTAATTGTGTCGGAGCTTCGCTTAATGAACCTCTTTAACGATCGTACAATACTATGCGATTTGCAGTGGTGCAGACGTCCGTGCCGCAGAATGAGGCCGAGTTGCAGCTGTACCGAGTGATGCAGCGCGCCTCGCTCTTGGGATACTACGACACGCTCCTCGAGATGGGTAAGTTGTAATGGATGTTTACTAGTTGAGTCTAATCCGGAAGCTGTTTTATTGCATAATTATATCCAGGAAATATATAGTTTTTTCTCATCTTTAGATTTACATGTAATTTTTGCTTAAAGGCACTTTATACGATTTTTATGTAATCTTATATAATAATAAAAAACACTTTTATTAGCAGGATATGTAATATGTAACTCTAACAAGCCTGAAATATTTATATTTGCTCTGCCTCTCGAGGTGTATGTAATGCAATAATATGAATCAATTTGTAAATGAATATTACATAATTGACCGTAAAGAGATAATTCAAGACTGCTTGATGCAATTCGTGCAGTTTAAAAAATCCTTTAAATTATTATTTGGCACATTTTTTTTTTTTTTAACTGCGGACTTTTTTAATCTGAATGACGATCTGTGTAATCCTTATAATTTTATTAATATTGTGTGTCATTTATAATAATGCAAAATTATAGGAGGCGATGACGTGCAACAACTGTGCGATGCAGGCGAAGAGGAGTTTCTGGAGATTATGGCGCTGGTCGGCATGGCGAGCAAACCCCTTCACGTCAGGAGGCTACAGAAAGCTCTGCAGGAATGGCTCACTAATCCTTGTAAAGTATCATACGCATTACACAAGTTTCGAATTTTATTTAGAATATTATCGCGTAAATCTCGAATTTTCCCATAAAAACTTGAAGCTGAAAATGAATGCCATTTAATGTCATTGCATTATATAAATTATCTAATTCACGACAATGACATAATAGCTGATTAAAATTGTGTTTGCAGAGATTATTGTATTTTTTTTAAATTAACAGACACAGATTTTTGATGTCATAAACTAATTTAGAAATACATAGACAAACAATAAGTTCTATAATTTTTTTTTTACTTTAGATAAGTAAGAGTAAATTTGTAAAAATTGAAATTTTTATATAAATGATGTATTTCGACAGCGTTGTTTCAAACACCGGTCGTGCCGACGAACGCCACCGCGAAGAGTCCGGTCGCCGTCACCGTGGGCTTCGCGTGTGCGAGTCCGCGGTCGCAGATGCAGAGTCTGCCGACCAGTTTCGCTGCGACCTCCCAGACTTCCCTGACGTCGATGCCCTACGTGACGACGACGCCCCAGGTGCCGCTGACGCCGTTGCCTTGCCGGAGCGCCAGCCCGGTCGTGCCGGTCACCAGCGTGTCTGTGCCGACGTCCTCCACGACCTTTCGCCAGAGCCCGAGCCCCAACACCACTTTACCTTACACGACTACGCACAGTCCAAATGTGTTGCAGGTAAAGATCACCCTGATCAGGTCATATCAAACATCGAATTTATCATTGTTTTCACAACTTTTTTATTTTATAACATAATTTTTAATATAACATATGCATTTTATATAATATATTTAATATAATATAATATAAACAACTAAAAATAATATAATATATTTTAAATATAAAAGACTGAGCTAAATATATATTTATTATAAATAAGTATAATTGATTATATTTTGATGCCAATAGGTAGGAACATGCGAGTCTTCGTGCGGCAGCGGTACAACACCTAGTCCAAGCGGCGGCGGCGGCGGCGGAGGCGGAGGCGCACCTGCGAGTCCGCCGCAGCCGACGCCAACCCTCTTGCAGTCGCAGGTGCAACGGCTCGCCGAGGCTGCGGAGAGGCTCGTCGCTACCATAAGGCCCCTTGATCCTAAACCCCATAACGTGAAGAAAAAACTCTGCAAGAACTTGGAGGTGAATCGTTAACTCTAAACCGACGAAGAGCGTGTGCTTTCAAGCCTATCCCAAATTACGAAATGAATCTTGAAGACTATCTACGGGCAACTGGTTTTTTTTACACTAGATATTACATTCTCTAAAGAAAAATGGTTCTTTTTAAGTGACTAATTAAATTGTAAAACTAATTGTAAATTGTATCATTTTTGTATTTAGTATTCATTCAGAATTTTTAAAAATGTAAATCTATCAGCATATTAATTATATTATCTTATCGTTATACAATGCGCGTCCATCCCTAATTTATAATTACAAATGTTAAAACTTAAGGAAATATTTTACAATTAAATTAATTATATATATATATATATATATATATATATAATAAAATTAATTAAAATAGCAAATTGTACTTTTTGAATGTATATATTACAGATGGTGATGACAATGTCCGATAGTGATCCGCGCAAAATGGACGAAATTCGGAAGTACGCGGCGATTTACGGCAGGTTCGACTGCAAGAGGAAACCGGAGAAACCGCTTACGTTGCACGAGGTGTCTGTGAATGAAGCAGCGGCGCAAATTTGCAGATTCGTACCTGCCCTTCTTACTAGGAGAGACGAATTGTTTCCTTTGGCGCGTCGTGTCGTCCGCGATTCCGGGTACCATTACTCCAAGAGCCAATAGTAAATATCATACATTTATAGAGAACTTTATATAAAATTCACAACTCATATTTAAAAAATTCAGATTTATGATTCAACGTTTATCTAAAAGATCCTAAAAGATCAACAGTTTATTTTCAATTAAACTCACGCTCAAGTGTATTTTGATAAACAAAAGACACCGATTTATTAATTAAAACATCTGAGAACGTGAATTAATATGCGTATAAGTGTACTGAAAATTGATGACAGCTTTGTACCAATGTTTACAGCTTGTCGATGTTGAAATCACGCGAAAACGGGGAAGAGGTCGATGGCGAACGTTCGAAACGCCAGAAGCTCGAGCTGGAGGGTGAGAGTGAGGACGCGACGCAGGTTAGATTATCTCGGCCACAGAAGTAGATCCCTCACTGTGCACTGATCTACCGCGTCCGCATGGTCGCTAATCACTAACTGTCACGTAGAGATCGCCATGCATTAACCATCCGCACTTGTATACGCGCGAAACAAAATGGATGCAAAAGCTCTAAAAAAAGGTCAAGTATAGTTGCGTGTGCATGCGCTTTCACCTGATTGAATCGAAATAATTGTCATTTGTTTGCTGTCATCTATGTAGCAAAGATCTATTTATTCAATATTATTTCACGAATTTGCAATTTCTACACAAATTGTAAAAAGATACAATTCCTCTCTCTCTGAGAGGATGCATGCTAGCTAGAAATGTTTTTCTCATTAATATTATTTAAGTTATCTTTCTAAGATAAGAATTAACGAACAAGATAAGAATCATCTCAGTTGATCCTGTCTTTATACTGATGCTTATTGCATGTGCTTACACTAAACTTATATGCTTAAATAGATATGTAGATACATTGTAGATGAATACAAAGTTAGAAAACGCATGGAATTTTTTATGAAAAAATAAGGTAAAGGTCCTTTTAATATCACTACTTGTTGGATTCGATAATGAAAATATTTAATCGATGATTTCGAAAGTTGATTCATTCGATACGACTTGCTCGGACTCTATGCTTTATGCCTGGTATCCCGCCAAGTCGTGTTTATTCACTTTTTATAGTACATCTATTTATATCTACTTACTTATCTATTTGTGTGACCTATATCTGTCCACATCTTTTCTTCTCTTAATTTTCCTTCTTCTTTCATGCATCCAATTTCCTACTTCTACTGTCTGTAGCAGTTCACCGTTTCAGGAGGAGTTGGACCTTCGTTGTTCCGGGACGGACATTAATAATTCCATCACGAGGAGACACAGGTCATCGAGGTGATTATCCTTCACTCACATCTAAGCATAATTTCTAAGTGTTTTCTCTCTGTATTAAAAATAATTCAATAATAAATTAAAATAATTTAAAATAAAAATTAATTTAATGAAAAAATTATATAATCAAAATAATTTATTAGAATCGAGATTTTGTAAGAGTAAAAATCTCGTCAAGATTGAATATGTACTTACACCTTTTTTCCGCTTATATTATCTGATTGTCCAATCTATATATGACAAGTATATATTGATGTTCAGATATTGGCAATGTTTCAGTCCAGTCTGGAGGAAGAAGAATAACAATGGCATATTCAGTGCTAGCGTGGAGGAAATCAGCGATTCGGATAGTCAATTCTCATTCTCTAACGAGGAATCTTCCTCTATGCATGTAAATATATTGTAAATATATATTATAATATCATTTAAACATTCTATCTGCATCGTAGCTTTTTACATGAACTAAAGATCTCTGGGTTAACAGAGATATAATATCTACACATGTGTGTTGCAGGATACAAACGAGGCGGAGGCTGACAACACCGATAAAGAAGGTGACTTTAATCTAAAGGTGAGCAGGCGACTCAAAGTCCTCGTTTTCTTCTTCATTTTTTATCTTTTGTTGTTCACTCTATGGATATATTAGAAAAAACTGTGTATAAAAAGAGAAAAGAAAAGACTAAGGGCATCGACAACAAGTTTTTTTATCTGCTACGCTCTTTTCTTGTTACTCCTGAATGATGATGCATGATTTAAGAAAAAAGCTACCGGTTTAGAATAATAATAAGATAGATAGTGATAAGCGTCATCACATTTTATTGTGGCTGTTAATTATGCGAATAAATTATGCATAGGTAATAGCCTCGCGAGGAGACAACATAATTGCTGTGGCGAATCCTGCGTTAATGGAATGCAGCCATCCTGTAAAAGAGGAGCCCGCGGACGAGAAATCCACACTGTGATATTACTTAGCGTTATTTACTGCCGCACTATCGACGTCACGATGGCATAAATGGCTGGTCCTGCTAGTCATCATTGCCGTTATCACCATCATCACTTGCGCGCATATATGTATGTCATCCATATATATGTTATCGAATAACGATGGCATTCCTGGCAGCGTTCGCAGTAATCGTGAGATTTTACTCGCTAGGATTTTCGCGCTACGCGATCGCGATCTTTTTCTTGCGTTTGTTTGAATGAAATGTGAAAAATGTTTATGATATACTGCCTCTCCGTTATCCAATTCTAGCGAAATGCAAACACACATGATATTATATATATATATATATATAGCGATTACGAATGTTTATAGGAAGAAAGAGTGAGAGAGAAAAGGTGATAGAAAATAAAAAATAATAAACCGTTTAAATCAAAAGATCGACTGAAGGATGTAGTATTATAAAATGTAAATCGCATAAGTAAATATGTAAATATATATATAAAGATCTTTTTATGCGTCTCTCATTGTAAATACATAATTTTATTTAAGAAATTTTAATCACAGCTCTATTATTAGTTTGTTACTTTATACTCGTATAACTCTGTGATATAAGTGAGATCTTACAAATTATTTTTTCTTTGCAAAATGAAATTCAAAATTTTAATTGAAGAATCTTTTATATATTTCTTAAAATTTTTCTTCGTACACAGAATGCAATATGTTTAGAACAAAATGTAATAGCTAATCGATCTTCCACTATGCATTTATATATTATTTTCGAAAAGCGTAACGTGAATATATTAAATATTTAAAAATTTGCGCATGCGTCATTGTGATCTGTCCATTATGAAATGCGTTCGAAAATCCTAGATAGAGTACGATTTCATTGACCAATCAGGACAAAGAAATCTTTTCCTTTTCTCCTGATTGGCCAATCCCCCTTTCTTTACTCTACAGGTCAGATTTTCGAACACACCTATAATTTCGAGCTTGTATTCTCGTATAGATGTCTCTATATATCATATCACACATAAAGCGTTGAGCGTTGCTGAAGATAAAGAAGTCTGACGTGGTTTAGGTTATAGCTAAACTGTCTGTGATTACATGTTATCTCTGATTCGAATTATAATGGAATTATTCGAAGAACACATCAAAGTCGGTGCAGTTTAGTGCATCAGTGCAGATTTTGGCAGGTTTGTATTCTTACCGCAAATTTCAACTTTTATATCGGTGTTTCTTGACACAAAGAAAGCGGCAAGTAAAGAACCACGCTTCAACGGCGATAACTGCAACTGGGGTGCGTTCCGTTATGCACTGCAAGTACTGACATTACTACCAATAGCGTTCCGATATAGATAGCAGTGCACTGCGAAAGTACTATCATGAGTATATGACGTCATTAATTTTGACGTTATTTCCTGTTGCGATTACTGCAACCGGCGAGGTAAAGCACTCGCAGTAATCAAGATGGCTACCTCCATGTGTACGATGGAACTAACTTTTAAATTCCATATCTGAATATAATGATACAATATTTTTAACGTAATTTTTACATTTTATTCTATGTATTTTAATTTGTCGTCTCATTTCATTTATTAATTCCATTTCCAAATCGCTTTCACTTGATGACTCACTCGAATCATATATATTCTCGATTAAATTATATGTAATTAATGCAATAATGGTATTATCCATTTCACCAATTTTCACTCGATGATTATTAGCGAAAAAGGTTAGTTAAAAGTCTGCTGAAAGCGTACTGTAGTGCGTTTCCGTTTTACTATTTTGCAGTAGCTTCAAAGTGCACAAAATTAAAAAGGAACGCTGTCAACAGTACACTTGCATGACGTCATAGTGCCAGTACTTGCAGTGCATAACGGAACGCACCCTTGGAGTCATAAAATCACGTGATAAAAAAATGAGGGAGGAGTGGAACAGATAGTGAAAGAAAGGACGACGCACAATGAGATATTATCGTAAAAGAATAATAAAATAGAATCGAATAGATTCTTATCTGAAATTCTCAAAAACAATCGCCAAATAAAAATATCGCAAAGACTAGTTAAATAAGATTGTTTTATTGTGCAACGTGAAGTGAATTCTTTTTTATGACATACGTCACCTTAACCTATGCAGAGGAAAAATCTTTGTGCAGTCGAATATAAGTTCCTAATTGGTGCATTAACTTCCAAAAGTACTTGAATCCAAGTATTGTATCCAATTTGTCAGTGTAAGTACATGATATAAAGCGAATTATAATAATAAATCATTGCAAAACGCTTGATGAAATAATAAACGCTTAATGAGATTATAGGGTCTGTTGTGTTGTAGATAAAACATTTAGTTATAAATTTTAAGTGTAAGACAGGAAATAAGAGCCAAATCGCGGATGACAGTGCGTTATTCCAACAAAATTAACATTTTTCCGTTAGAATTAAATATCTGTGCACAAGTCACCAAATTTTCAGGACTTTCGGGTCTATATGTTTCTCTCGCATTTATATTTCCTTAGAGGGGAACAGGGGATGTATGGAATTAAATCTATTGTAGAGATTATTTCAATTTTAAATTTTGGCCGTGACTAAATAAAATTTGGTGCCTTGTATTTAATTCTAACGGAAAAAATTTTAGTTTCGTTGGCATAACGCACTGTCATTCGCGATTTGGCTCTTTTTTTTTATTGCCTGTCTTATACTTTAAATTTATATTTATATTACAGAGCCTTGTTAAACTCTTAATTAAAACATTTAGGAAAGATATGCAACGTGATTAATTGAATAAGCTGTAGTATTTTCAGCTTGAAAAGTGAGTTGATAAAAATATTAATAATATTTGTTTTTTTTTGCTTTCTATCTTTTCACATATACCCACACATATAGACACGATTTAATTACATATTTATTTTGCTCTAGAACAGAGTTTCATTACAATTTTTTATAAAAGAACGAATCTGATTTGAATAACCTACATTGTAATATGTATTTGATATATTTTAGCAAAAAGGCTCGCTTTTAATAACGAATTTTTCAAATTTTTAAGGTACATTTGCTTTGAACGTTTATGCATTTTTTGTTCTTACATTTATAAATATTAAAAAAAAATTTTTTTAGTACTTAAGTCAAAATAATTAAAGTTGCTTACACTATTATTATAAACACAATTGAATATATATAATGTCAGTATAAGATAAAGAATCTATATGTATTTAATGAAAAGATAAATATTATTTTATATGGTTATATATATATATTAATATATTTGTAGAATGGCAATAATAAGCTTTTAATACAATGTTAAATTCATAACATCTTTATTAATGAAATTATAAAATATCACTTTTATGAGTTTTTTTTTTATTAAGGTTTAAAACTGTCTTATGAGCTGTCTTGATGAACTAAGTTTTGTCAGCAGTATGTGCATGTGTGTGTGTGTGTGTGTGTGTGTGCGCGCGCGTGCGCGCGTGTGTGTGTGTGTGTGTGTGTGTGTGTGTATAGATTTTTTTTTTGTTTTCTAAATATACAAGAATTATATATGCAAATAAACAATTATATAATTTGTATACTATTTCTTGAAAACTTGTACTGGTCTAAACGTTGTACCATATACATAATACCATCATATATTAATCAAGATTAATTACAAAGTAATTTGTTTATTAAATATGTTATAGATGGATAGCTCTGACGAGGAATTATTTACTGCAACACCAAATTCTAATAAATCAATATTAAATACAAGTTCAAATTTGTCAACCACGCAAACAAATGATTTAACGCAAGAGAGAGATTGCAATAAATGTTCCATCAAAGATATTGCAGTGAACGTTACACGTTTATCCAATAAGCAGATAATGAATGAACAATCAAATACACACTTAGTTACAATTAGAAAAAGACGGAAATTAGCACGATGGAGAAAGGGAAAGTATGATAGAAGGAAAAGAACTAAAAAATTAGTGTCTCAGCAAACATCCCAAAATAAGAAACCTACTGAAGTTACTATGGAGTTATCAGAAGCTAAGATGCTAGATGATAATACACATGAACATGAACAAGAAGAAGAGGAATCGTGTGGAGCTATTGAACAGAATGATCTACAAAATGTCCAAGATATCCAAGATATACAAGATGTCCAAAATATCCAAGACGTTCAAGATGTGCATGGAAATGTTGAAAATTGTATTGAAGCACAAAATGAAATGAAAGACTTATGTTCTGATAAAACATATGTATGCGCGCGTGTTTTACCATTCAAATTTTCTAAAGAAAAGAACACGACATCATTTAATGAAGTTACTGATGCAGTTGCGTGTTCCTATGTTTCATCTCCGTCATCATCAAATATTGAGACAATGGAGAAGGATTCTCTGAAGAATAATAATCAGATTTATGTATCTTCTTCATCTAAAAATAAAGAACAATTAAGGAAAAGAATACATCATCAAAGATTGAAATGCATGGTTAAAAAACTTACATTGCATAAGAGAAAGTTTAAAAGAAAAATATCTTCGTCTATATCGTCTATATCGTCTATATCGTCTCTATCGTCTTCATCGTCTACATCATCAATATCTAAGCAATCAAGAAGAAAACGCTATCGAAGAATACTGTCGAATGAATCTAGCGATAATGAAATTGCGGATGAAACTATAGAAACGACTAGAGATGATAATCGAAACAAATCTCATGAGATGGATCAAGAAACATCACGAACGAATATGCAGATAAGTCGTGAGGTGCGTGTTAGTTTAACAAGATTGGAAGAAATGGATGACTTGGATATTATTAAATGGCGAACAAGCAGTATAAAAAATCGTTTAGAATTGTTTGAATCTCAATTGATAGAAGAACAACATTTGAATAAACAGAAGCATGCAACACCGAAACGTCGAAGAGACAAACTAATTCTGTCAAATGGATGCAACTTGTCGGAAACAGAAGATGTCCATAAAAATCTATCACAAATGTCAGTGTCTAATACTCATGTCGAGAAACATAGTTCAGTGAATTTATATGATTCATTGGATATGGTCAAATTAAGGAAGAAATACAAGCTGTTCAAAAAGCCTAAAGTTTTGATAATAAACTGGAGGCTTTAGGGAATTCTGTCAAAAATGGAAAATATTCGGCAAGTGAGGTCGATTATTTAACAAAGAAATATATAAATTTATAATAAGTTCTTCGTCAAAATCTCGTAAATCGTCATTGTATGGACTTGCACACTTACAAAGCAAAAGCACGATGGACGATAATGTTAACGAAGATAATAATACAAACTTCAGTTTGTCTGGCAGGCAAAATATGACTAAAAATTTCAAACAACTGGATATAAATAAAAGTCCAATAAAAGGTACAATTCTTTTTTTTTCATTTTGAACTTTTAACTACAGCTTCTTTTTCTTTAATTGTAGAATATTATGTGATTTGTTTGAATGATTTATCTATTATTATTTAAAATATGTTTTTCTTTTTTTATATAACCAATATTTTGTGTAACATTATTGAAAGATCAGACCTAAAAGTATCTGATATATTATTATCAATCTTTCGAAATCTTGTGCAATTTTATATTCAGAATTTTTTTTAAAGTTGTATATACAGCAATGACATACAATATGTACATATTTTAGATATTTTAGATTAAGTTAATTATTACATAGGATTTTGCTATGTTTTTTTTAATCATATATTTTTAGCTAATTTTAAATCAGTTTTTTTCTTCAAAAAATTTGAAATTTTATAATTTAAAATAAATATATATACATATTTCAAATAAATTTTCTAGTTACAAAGAAATATATTTTTTATTGATTCTGAAGCAGACATTTTATTTTGATAAAATTTTGATTTAAAAAATAAAAAGATAATATTCAAAATTAAAAAGTTGATAGCCTGTATATTATAGATAATATTATATCATTTGTTTGTCTTATTAATTCTTGACTTTTTTTATTGATTAATTATTTATGTTTAATACTTATGCTTAATTTTTGCAGATGATCAAGTTGTGGAGAGCAGCAGTAATGAGAATGCTTTGTTTAGTCGTAAAATTTTGCTTGCTTCTAACCAAAAACGACACACAAGTTTATCATCGAGAAACAAAAATAATAATTCGCCAAAAAATAATCATACACTACTGGAAATATGGCGAAACGCATTTTGTGCACAGTTAAAGAAGAAACCGCAAGAAACAAATGCCGAGCAATCTGCTCCTGTACAATCGAAGATAGTCTCTACTTTGCAAAACTTGTCAAAGAAATTGGCGGACACGGAATGTAAGAATCCAGGTTCTTTGACTTCGACGTTTACATCTTCCACAAAAGATAATACACCAGCAAGATCTCCCCAAAAACATGCTTCGCCGAAAAAACAAGAACCAGCACAATCGGCAGAGTGTAATAACACATCTAAACTCGAATTATTCACCAGTAATACGAATATTCCAAGTAAAGCGAGAGTTGAAGACACTATTGCTAAGAACGATCTTCAATCTAAACACAGTACTATTTCCAGAAGTCCGTGTAAAGATGCTACAGAAAAGATTATATTAGATCCTTCCTTGAATTCAAACATTTCGAACAAAAATGAAGGAAGAATAAAAGAGAAATCATTTGAGAAAACGAATAATCTTCAATTGTCAGTTAATGATGTAATACCTATAAAGATGTTGAAGACCTCAGAAGTGTGCAGCAGTAATCAATTGCTCAAAGATATATTTACGTGTATTCTATGTAATATGTCGTTCGAGGATTATCCATCGATACAAAAACATAAGGCAAAGTGTAATGCATCAAAATGCATAACACATACGAGTGGAGAAGGAATAATAAAGAACATTCGCCAAGATAGGAAAAAGAGCTCAAAACCATCGACTTCTTCTGTCAAGTCTTCTGTTAATAAGACAAGTGATTTACGTAAATCCACTCGCTTTATCAGTAATACCGATAAAGCAACCACTTCATTTTTGCCCTCATCACGAGTGTCGAGTGGCAACAAAATGCATAGTAAGAGTTCACGAAAGCAAAAAAATAGTCCTCAAAAGGACACCAGAACCAGATCGGTCAAAATGTAACATCAAACTTCGATTTAAGATCGCAAAGGAGAACGAGATTTTTAGAAATTGGACGTCAAGAATCTAGTAGCGTACAGCGCGATAAGAGTAAACAATGCAAAGTTTGCTTACAATTTTTTGCTACCTATATGGATCTATTTGACCATATGTTTGAACATGCGACTAATACCATCAATATACCAATTAGAAATAATATTACTTCTAAAAAATCTGACAAAACCAATCAAGTCTCCGATACTTTAACAGAAGCACCTGCTAAAAGGACCAGAAGTATCGAGCAAGAAAAAGGATTATCAGAGAAGGCAAATGAATCGAACACGGATCGAAATCTCGCTGCTTTGGAAGTGTTGCAGCGCGATGCAGTTAAGGAGAAAGACAAGATATTGAATTTATTACAAGCAGAGGTGAAACAAAATTTGCAAAAACAACAGTCGATACCTAATGCAGCTAATGACCTTGAACACACGGATAGGATTCGGTACATGGAGAGAGAAAATATATGTACTGCTGCATCGAAATCAACGAAGCCTAGCATCTGCGAGTGTCATATGTCCAAGGAGAAGATTGTCGACGGAAATGTTCAGATTGAGATAGTATTATTGTGCGAAACTTGCCAGACGCTTTTTCGACGCTTCGAGTGCTTTGAGACACATTGTCACCGCGCCGTTAATGCACTTTGTGCCAAGAACCGACGACGCAACAGAACAATGTCCAAATTGTTTTGTGTTGCCTGTCAGAGAGTGCTGAGCTCTCTCCAGGAGTTAAAGATCCATCTGACGATGCACAGGCAATTGTTCAAACGCAAAACCATAAAACTGATCTTCCGCTGCAACATATGTAAAGTAATCTTCCATACACAAGGACCTCTGTTCAACAAACATTTTCTTAATCATATGAAGAACCGGTTGTATTTGGCTAGTCGCTTGTCATTTTCGAGAACCTGCTACGTTGGCTCGAAACTCATCGAGACGTTGCCGGCCGTGGGTAACGAGAAACAGATGGAAGTTTATATCGAGGTAGCTGATTACAAATGCCAGGATTGCAATGCGCTTTTCACTTCGGAACGGGATCTGAAGTCGCATGAAATCCTCTGCCGATCCAAGTCTGCCAATGACAATGGATCTTCGAATGCAAGTTTGGCCATCTCTGAGAAGATTTTGCTGATATGTGGATTTTGCAATAAGACTTTCTACAAGAGAGAGCTCTTCCAGTTGCATTCCTTGGAGCACAAACAAAAACGGGAAATACATTCGCATTACACCAGCGTCGCCGTCACCGCCGTTACGAAAGTTCTTATCTGCAAAGTGTGCACGACCGTATGGAAGTCTCTGAAAGAATTCGAGGAACATTGGCTGACTCACGACACGTTACAGGAAGAATACGTGTGCTCTCTTTGCGAGAAGCATTACGATACTATCGAGCTATTTCAAGAGCATGCAATCACGCACAAGAACGATGCCGAAAAACAACACGGGCCGATCTCGTGCAAGGTGATATATCGTGACTCGAACTCTGAGACGAATTTGCAAGGTGCCACTGTAAACGACGATAATCCACCTTGCGCGAATTTGAATTCTTCTGATGGAAAAAAATCTCCCGAGAAGATTATTGCGGTTGATAATCCGATTCAGAAAGAACAGAGATCTGTACAGCAAAATCGCCGCTTAAAAATAAACAATCCATGAGAGTCAAGACGACGTTGCCGAAAGTTATCTCGGTATGTCTTCTTAACGAGACGCAAAATATTCGGAACGACGCGAATGTCCAGCAGAAGCAAGTCTCCTCGAGCAATAAGGCAAAACGAATGTCAAACAATAACGAAAAGAGCAACAATAATTCACAGAATCTCGAGGACCTTTCGGAAGCCGAGGAGCTGATAATTGTGATGTCGGAGAGCGATGACAGTTCAGTGTCGAGCAAGATTAGGAAGACTCGGTCGAAGAAATCCGATGACGCGCCTTCTATTAAACGTAGCGATGCTCAAGAAAACACTACGATGTCCAATCCGGTTGCTTCTGATAAGCAGAGACAAAGCGATGCTTCTGCGATCGTTGTCTCTGCAGAAACTTCCAGCAATGCCAACAAGACTTCGAATTCAAATGCCGATGTTAATTCGACGACTTGGACGAGAACGCTCGAGACGAATGATCCGAAAGTTTCGCAAGATAGCGAAATAATCGCTGATCGTACGAATATTGTAAATTCAACAGCAATGAACAGTACAGACGGTGACTCGACGTCGAGCTCGAAACCTTCCGGAGAAAGAATCATGAACATGTCGTTACCGCAGAACGTCATGAACGTTATACCCAAGTCTTTTCTACGCGTAAAGTCTTTGGCGGAATTAACGGGCACGAGTTTATTGCAAAAATTTCGATGTCAAATATGCGATCAGTCCTTCGATAGTCTGCACAAATTAGTAAAGCACAAGTCAGTGCATAACACCTCTCTGTTGGCCCAAAGCCAGTTGAGTGTCGATCAAGCACATACGCCTAATAATGTGCAAGAAAAGTCAGAGTCTAAGTCTTCGATGAACACAACACAAACAACCCAACGTCTCGCGTCTCATCCGGCGGTGACGAGCACCGTGCCTTTATCAGACATCCTATCTCTATCCGGGAATTCTCTATCCAGCAACGCAGTTTCATCCAGTAACGTGCCTTTATCCGTCAATGCACCTCAATCCGATAACGCATTGCTATCCGGCAATGCGCTTCCATCCGGAAACCTGCCTCCGTTCAGCAGCCTGCATCCATCTGGCAGTTTGTACCTATCTAACAACATGCCTCTATTAAATCAGACGACCAATCACGGCATTTCTGGACAATACCAAGTGGTTGGTATAAAGCCGTTGAAGAAAGTCGCGACGATGGCTAACAGAATGGTAAATAATGTGTCGAAACCGAACGAGGTACAGCAATATGGACTCTCATGGGCCATGATGAATAATTCCAATAACGCGCCGCTGCAGCAGGTGACGCAACAAAAGCCAATCTACCATCAAAATTTGCCAGCTCAGGTCGCTTATTCCACAACGGTTCAACCTATCAACCAGAGCATCGGTCCCGTGGCGATTAGACCATTCATGCAAACTACTTATCAAACGCCCAAACCGTCTCAACCATTATCGGCGTATCAATCATTTCCATATCTGCAACAGCAGCAAATACAGCAACAGCAGCAGCAAGGACAGCAACAGCAGAAGCAGCAGCAACAGCAGCAGCAGAAGCAACAACAACCACAACAACAGCTGCAGACAAGTATCAACAATGACATGCATAATTATTCGATTATATTACCCAAAGAAAGCGTGCCTTATCAGTTGACGTCGAATAATACAATGCCGACGAACTCAACTGACGTGATGCTCATGACTATGAACACGATGCAGCAGGTATCACAAAATCCGGATCGTTACAATTGCATATACTGTCCGGGTTTCGAGTGCAGTTCGGTGCATGCTTTCTCGGCGCACCAGCGTTCACCAAAGCATGAGGCACGTAGTCGTTATAACAGTACGTCTTACGTGTCTCGGACCTGAAGCTATTATGATTGTTATGAGAGATAATCGAAGGATGAATGAATGACGAATCGATCAGTTTTTGTTACTCGTTGACACGACAGTTTCGCTTAAAGTTGCTTTTACTAATTGTAAGTAAAAGTCCGGCAATACTGCCGGAATACAACCGGTTTTTTTTGGCCTAAAACAAATTTCATTTTAAGTCGATAGTGTATTTTGAATTTTGCATGATATTGATAACACTGACTGCAATTAACTGCGATATTTCTCTTTCTGTTCAGAATGTCTTTATTTATTGTTTTGTGAACAGGTATTAATTAAAAGTATATCTTACAATTGCTTTTCATACAAATGCATGTATACATATATGTTCAAAACTTAAGAAAATATCTCAATAGATATGCCTTATTTAAATAATTTTTCTTATTTATGTAAACATTTTTATATTTATACATTAACTTTTATAATAGTTAATCAATAATAATGTATGTATATATACATGTGATAAAGACTGTGGTATTTATATTTCATTGACTGTTTTTTTATCACTTTGGTGTATCAATTTTCTCTGTATTAACTATTACTCTCAATTTTTGAAAGAATAATTTTTTTCCTTTTTCTGTTGTCGAAGCAGTTAATCATTATCAGTATGTCACACATGTGTGTGTGTGTGTGTGTGTGCGCGTGCGCGTGCGCGTGCGCGTGTGTGTAGAAAAAGATTGATAATGTAATATTAAAAATGCGAATTTTAAACATAGAATTCTCTAATATACAGTTTAATCAACATGTGAATCGAAATTGCTATATAGCTTTCAATTTTATAGTTTCTGTGTATAAATTATTTTCTACGTTAATGTTTATGTATCTCTCTATGATATTTATGTGTTCCTGTGATACTGAAAATAATATAATATCGCAACTATTGATATACATAATTGATGAGAAACTGAAAATATAACACAAATAAAGAAATAAATATTCAAAAATATAAGAATATACAATAAAATTAAATATAAATTATATAAAATCACAAACGCACGTTAACTACATAGAATAATAAATTCTATATACATAGATTCTTAATAAAATTGAATAAAAATTTGATTTTTGTAAATTAGTCTCAAACTAATGATTGCGATACTGTACGAGTTTAATTCATATAATATTCATATTTTCCAAAATACCGTAATTGTATTAATATGACTGTTAATGTAAATTATCAAAGCGATCAATATAGTTTATATTCGACATCAAATATGCTTTTTGTATATAAATTACAGCAGCAACCAACAAAAATAGCAATTCTCTGACTGAATTGAATTATTCCTTTATTAAATTATTGGAAGCGAGAAATAATGTGAATACTTTGCAAAATATTTCGAAAGAAATTAGTTTTTTTTTCATATACCGTTTGCAGTTGATAGTACAGATTAATGAATCTTTCAGAACTCTTTCTGGTTTGTGGTTTAAATAAATAACGGTAAATGTCGGGATTGTCAATATTTCCATTTTCTCCGAAAACGTAGAACATGCAGATGAAACGCGTTCACTATGCAGTGAGAAAATTAAAGCTTTAACGAGGTTTTAAATACGTATAAAAAAATTAATTTTTAATCAATTTTATATTATATGTTGCAAAATTTTTTAATAAAAATTGCTCGCCAATCAAATTTTAGAAAACAAAAAATAACGAAAAACATTATTTAAACATCTAATATTTCTATAATACTCGTTTGTATAATTATTTATTATAGTGTGTTTCTCGCAATTTATTCTAGAGTTCCGATTTTCTCTGTCATTTGTATAACATCAACGAAAAGAGTAAAAATTTCATTTATAAATTCATAATAAATTTTAATTTTTTTGAAATTTATATTATTAAATCTCCAGAACATATAATTTGCAATACATGTTCTTACAAATGATGAAATAATACACAATGGAAAGGAGTATTATATTCGTCGTTATACGGCTGCGTTATTTCTTTTATATACACATATAAAAGGAAAAAAGATAATTATCCTAGCTATAGTAATACAGTAACTCACAAAAGTATCCCCTTATTCTTAATTTAAAAGATTAATTTTTTTTTAAGAAATATTTTGAGAATTCTTATTGCAATGTATATTTTTATTAATAGATATCTATCAATGTCTCTAATAAAAAAATGAAAATTGTTTGTGATAATCAAAGGGATACTTTTGCAATTCATTACATATATATATGTAGTAAATATTATATCATTTTATAAATAAATAAATTGGCGAACCGCAGAGCGATATTTGTATTGATTATTGCAACTTTTATTTTTATTATATCTTTTAAATGAAAAGATTGATTTAAAATTAATGGATTATATATTTTGTGTAGCTGAAGTTATTACATAGATATTTGATGTTTTTTGTGAAGTTTTGGACAATTTCGATTTCGAAGTTTACAGCAATTTCAACTTTAGTCTTAAATTGATCGTAGATTAATCTTACAATCAGGCGCAATTAAAACCAGCATAAAGATTTGTTTAAATTATATTGCGAACATATGAAAATAATTTTTGATATATATTTTAACACAGTAATGTATACATTAGTCAGTTTGTTACTTATTCATGGAATTATACCGATATTTATTAACTATTTTTACATTGGCTATAATCAGTGATTAAATGAAAAAAATTTCAAACCTTTTACACTTTCGAAATTATCACATTAAAGCCGTGTTACTTTCGATTAATAATCTAACTTAATCATTTCATATTTCATCATTATAATAAATACTTTTATTTGTTTAGCTCATTATTGGTATTACACAAGTATGTTTTAAATACATTTTTACGTTTTATATGTAAATTAAGAAAGTATAATGATTACATACACACACACACATATGTACACATGATTAAAAAAGTAAAAATTTAATTACAAAAATAAAATATGAATGTTTGCGTGTGTATGCATATGTTAACTATCTTCAAAAAAATGAACGATTAACAAAATTATAGAATATAAGTTAAATTTTATGACTTTGTCATTCTGGCGATTTTTCAATTGCCTTTTAGAAGTATTACATTACGGAATAAATAAATATCATATGAGCAACATAGTCATTTTGAACATCATTTTGACACAATTTGACGTCAAAATGACCACTTTTAGTGTCTGAGCTTGTATAAGATACACATGTTTTTAAATAAATGTTATTTCTTGGGATTTGCGTTTGTCTCTTTTATTCGATATTTTGAGCGACATTTTTTACAGATTATTCTAATAATGCGATTGTGATGACAGGTAATGATAATACTATAAGGACTATTGTTAATGCGAATGATTGTTATATTAACGAAAATATCTAGAATAAATATTATTAAAATTTCGAAAAGATTTCGCAATAATTTTCATGAAATTTGGTGAAAATTTCTCAAATAATATCTCAAATAACAACAACAATAATAATATCTTTATTGCATGCAAAGTAATATACACTTGAACAAAACAAAGATGTAAAAAGTATGTACAAGATTATACTACAGAAATAATTGAAAACAAAAACTAAAACAAATATATTCAAGTAATAATGTATAGCATCAGATATAGAATACTTAACAATTAATAAAATGAGGATTGAGAAAATCTCTAAGAATTTTAAATGTATAAATATATAATAATAAATTATATGGAGAGCTGCAGAAGTTTGATAAAAAAATGGAAATAAATAAATATAAAAAGAGTCAGAATATTGAAATATATATTCTATGATAAAATATTTTGGATTTTGCTTTTTGTACGCAAAAAATAAAAATTTATACTTTTTAAACACTATCTCGGTTAATTTTTATTTGCAATAAATATCTCTTTAAGTATTTGTTTTGAAGTATTTGAGATATTTTCATTCAAATCGTGAAAGTCTGAGGGAAAGCCTTTTCGAAATTTTATTATGCATATATCGGACGTCAACGCTTTCATCTGTCAATCTTACTGTCATGAACAATTCTTATATTAAGGCAAGCTTACATATTAATTTATATGCTAAATTGTACATTAGCTGACCGTATTCGCCGAAAGATTCAGGGAGCCAATTGTCAACAAATTTTATTCATATTTTCAAATCTTATATTAGATATTTATCGAGTTGAATTATATTTTCGTGTTAAAAAAAATTAATTTCGATAAATTCGTTGAAAAATTAATTTTCCATGTTACAGATTTGTCTTTAAAGCATTGTGAAATTGAAACCCGCTAAAATAGATAAAAATTTTTAATTGGATCCTCTTGAACGCAAATTATCGGCGCGGTCATGCCAATGGCATTTTCTTTATATCTTACGCTTTGGCACATAATTCACGTTGCACAATATCAATGCGTATTTTATTCCAAGATGAAAGTACTTGTACGTATACTACTTATTAATAATGTATAATACATGATATAGGTATAAAGTGTACAAATGCTATTTCTTACAAAAGCTCTTTGATGGTATACGTGAGAGCTTGAAGAAAGTTTAAAGTTTCTAGAGAAAATAGATACAGATTCTAAATAAATGTTTGCTATATTATTTCTTATATAAACATGAAGAATTATCATGCATAAGAATGATAAACACCGTCGCAGAAAAATATACGATGATAGAAATATCATTTTTATGATATTGAAGGAAAACGAATTGATAAACAACAAAGTATTTTATAAGAGTGATCCTATATATTAATGAAAATTAATTTCCTATTGATATATTGTTAATAATATATTCTAATAGTTATATGTGCTTGTAATGGAATTATTAGGATTAATGATTTGTACACGATGGAAATGCTTAGGAAATAAGATTCATATACGATTTTAGTATAAGATTATCGAATTATTCTATCTTAAAGGATTAAATATCGCTACGAGAATTTTTTCACGAAACCTTTCACGAGTCAATTAAGTCTCGTCGAATGCTCGTCCTTAAATTTAATAATACTGATGCAGGTATTCGATGTTTATCTTCTACATTTTCTATTATTTTACATTATCTTTGTCTTTATAAAAGTACGGAGAGAGCCTAAACAATGATTCTTATCAAGAAGTATGAAGTCTCACTCATTTTAAGTATTACGAGATCGTCTTGTCATCTCTAATTAATTATTCATTTACAGTGAAAAGGTATATAATAGTCGCATAAGAATGATATTTAGAAAGGATATTAACGTAAACTTTAACTCATCGTGTTTTTCAGTTAATGTTTCGTTCAATTATTTTGTACATCTATGCTTTTTCTAATGTAAAAGTATATTAAGAATTTGCTATATATTTTTTAGATAAAGAATAAATATTATTTTATCAACACAGAATATTTTTGTCGTCGTTATATAGAAGCTTAAATTATTACTTGATATTGCGTTTCTTATATCTACAGTCTATCTTCGAAATTAATAGTAAATAAAGATTTAACATTTAAATTGATATTTAAATATTTTTTTTTTGCGGAGCACGAATGATGGAAAAGATATCTTTATTATTACTTATGCGACATATATATATCTATATAATTATAAAGACAAAAGCACTTTTCTATATTTACAATAAAATAATCATTTCTAAATATCATTCGTATTTATCCTTCCTATAGATACCAATATTGAGCTTAAGGAAAACTGATTGTTGCTTTCCAATAACTAATGTAACGTCGATTAATCGTAAGTGTATATATAGAGTTCGCATTTTTATATAATTAATTGTACAGTAATACTACAGAGTTAACGAGATATCGCGTTGGTGGAAAAATATCGTACCTTCTTGTCGATATATGTATAATAAATTGTGACACTCTTTGGACGTTCCATTTTATCAACGATTTATAAGCTCCGTTTCTTTTTTTTTTGCTCGACGGAACTTGTGACGTTTTTTTTTACGATTACATTTATCATTTATCAGATTACGTTTCTTCTTCTTTTTTTAATTAGACTATAAGAGGACAATATAAACATGTATGTATATGTCACTTTCATATGCATTATTATATTTACATCAGCGTCATAAGTATACTTTATCACATGAAGTTCCTTCTAGTATGACGCCGAATGTATATAAAGGTAAAAGTGAGAAAAATGGAAATATTTCGTTTTTGCATAGTACATTCATTAAATGCGCTGAGATTTACAAATGTCGAATTGATGAAACGTTGAGAATAAATTTATCAAAATAACATGACACGATTGATGGCATGTTTTATTAAGATCTCTGATTAAGGTGTTTATGAACTTTTCGTATGCTTAATGTAAAACGTCAGTTTGTCTCATTTCTCTCGCCTTTAACATTATAATTTTAAATGTCTAATGTAAGTGATGTGTTTATCTTTAAGAAATTATTATTTTATTACTAATATAATTGAGAGTTATTACAGATTTAAAGTTGCAAATGCGCATATAATCCTTTTCGTTTTATGTTACATACATACATATGTATGTTTATACATATATGTATATTTATATATATACATATATATATATATATATATATATATATATATATATATATATATATATATATATATATATAAACACATTCATACTTGCCAGATGTATGTGTGTGTACAAAAAATTTAGTATTTATAATATTAGTCGAGCCTCTCAGTTTCTTAATAAAACAAAATCGCTTATCTTGGTTTTTGTCCTATGTATTTAAATGGAATATATTGCGAAATAGGAAATTTCCTATAATTTTTTGTACAAAATTGCTTACATTGTCTATAAACTATTGGTTCCGTTATATAGTTATGTCAGTCTGATGATTTGGTATATATGTATAAGAAGTGGATCTCTCCTGAGAACTCTCTACATTTAAAACACTACATTTTTCATTAATGTATAAATGTTTAATCGATCAAAAATCTACCTTTAATTAAATCTAAGTACCCAGATAGCCACAGTAATTATTATGACATCATTTTGATGGCAAATGCATTTTGACATCAAAATGATGTCATATTAATTACTGTGGCTATCTGGGTAATAAAAGAACTGTTCTTACAAAAGGAACAAGTTTTGTATTATATAATTGTACACATAATTGTGCTATGAGATTTAATCAAAATTGAATAAAAATTAATTTAAATGAGAAAATTTACACTTTCGAACTTATTTTATAATTATACAAAATGAATTTTTAACAATTCGTTGTAATTTATCCAATTGTTGCAAGGAATTTTAATATTTGCTATATTCCGGAAATTATTCAGAAGAAGCAAGTAGATAAAAGTTGTATATACAATATTACAGTTTCTCTATTTTAAAGTTATATTGACAGTGTGACTATAGTGTAATTTAATTTTTACAGTGCAGTTTGAGAGCTATCGACTAGCCCTATTAAATATATACTATTGCATCATTAAATTGACAGTGTGGATATACAATACAATACGAATATAATATACAAGGAGTAATGAGATACTCTTATGAAGTAACTTACATAAGACTGATATACCTCCTTCATCTACTTGATCTTTCATTTATGATAACACGATGAAAAAAATCGAGAAAGTTCGTGAGATTTTTACAAGAATGATAAAGTTTTTGAATCGAAGAATAAAATACAATATAATAACAATAGAGCACGTAACATACAAATTGACACAAATATGGAGAACACAAGTATTTCGTCAAACTTTATATTTAAATGTCTAATATAAATTCTGTCAAATATGTGAAAAATTTGAGATCGAGAGATGCTTGCATATGTTTTTGTGTAAATTTCTGTGTGTAAGATATAATCTTTTAGAATCTATAAAATTTAGCAAACAACAAATAAAATCGCATAGGGAGGGTTTTATGATTGTCCTTTGTGTTCTTCGAAAGAGAGAGTATTTTGTGTCATGTGAAGAGAATAAGAACGTAGAATATTGAGCGAAAAAACTCCGACATAATTATAATTTGTTTTTAAATAGGATAATATTGTATAATCGTTAGTATACTTAAGAATAAAGAAGGTTTTTGCATGTCTGTGTGGTGTTAAAATCTGAACTGAATATTATATGAAATATTTAAGATATTTTGCTTTCTTTTTCAATCTAAAAACAATGAACCTATTTTTTTATAATTAAATTTAATAAAAATAATAATACAATTTTTAAATCCCTTGTTTAGGCGAACTCTTTCTTTTTAATTGTATTATATTTTTTGAAAGAATATAGAAAAATTAAAAACTGTCAAAATGCTTGCATCAACCAATGATGCTTGCGCTTTAGGTGAAGTTTCTTCGCTCTTGGGACGAAAAAATGTTACGTTACGTTCCCGCCTTAGAACCTGCTAACAGCTTCGTCGTCGGTGACGAAGTAGTTGGAGCTCTTCGCGGCCGAGCTGTACATGCTGAAGGTGGGACTGCAGACGATCATGCTGCTCGTGTTGCCGAGTTCGGTTTCATTCGTCATCGATGAATGCCTGCCGATGGTAGCCAGCCTCTTGTCCTTCTTCACAAGTGTCATACGGCCGTCCTCTGGTCTCAACGGCATCGACGGATAATTGGGCTGTCTGGCGAGCGTCGTCAGCGTCGTTCGGTCGCCTGTGTCATTGAAGCTGCGCAAACGTTTGAGAGCAAGATCGGAGAGAGTGTTCTACGATCGAATCTTTTACGCCAGATGCGAATCAATCTTTGTTAAGAATTTATTGCGTTTAACAAACAGCGGTGTTCAGTTCATTAAAACAATAATATTTATTTATTTTTATATTATTTTGTAATTAAGAAAAATTAATATTAAAATATAAATTAAAATATAAATTTTTTTTGTTTAATAATATGCACAGACATCTATAAATTTTCGAAAAATTTATAGAATGACGCAGTAAATTTCAGAAAGAAAGTAAGTTTTTACGATGGACATAATCTTTTTTTTTTAATTATACTTTTTTTTAATTATAATGTAAAGGTATATAGATTCAGAAAAAGAGAATAAAATAAAAAAATTTAATTTGTAACGGTCTGCAAAAAAAAAACATTCTCTATCATGTTTTCTTTTATAGATACCTGTGATGTCGCACGATGCCTCTCTTTATTTTGCAATGCTCGTTTCCAGTCTGTCCTTCGGTCGCGGTTCCATGGGTTTTGCACGCTTCTACCCCCATAGATGGTACAGGGGACAGAGACCCTGGACCAAACGAACCGCTGCTTTGTCTCCTATCCAGAATGTTAACTAATTCCACGGACGGTGTCGGCGAGAATGTGCCCTGAGGACACATGACATAAATTGCCGTCTTATGGCAGAGTTAAGGAAGACGTGCGGAAAATCTATTCGAATACACGTCAAGATTTACAAAGTTCGCGATCTTATTTTCGTGGACTCTATGAGAATCCTTCAGTCTTCGTTCCTCGATCTTTCTTTGATAAGTAATTAAATATATAAAACAAAAATTCAAATTTAAAAATTTATACAAGTAATAATCCATGATTTTTTCGTACTGATTGCTTCATGCATTTTTTGTACAATTGTTTCAACCCCTCTGCGAAATTGATCTTCCCAAAGATATCCAAATAAAATTACATTTTTAAAACAATGCGTATATTGCATTGGATAATCATAATCTTCAAGCAATTTAAGCAAAAATTATAATAAAGAAAGTAAATTAACAAAAGTAATAAACTAAAGTATCGGGAAAAGAAAATTATATATAGCAGATATAGCAAAAAATTTATTTGAATTATAATAAACATATTGAGAAGAGAGGATAAAGGAAGTAAGTTTAGGATCTTTCGAAGACTCTCAAGAGGATAGCCCTCTTTTTTATTTTTATAAAATAAAGAATAAAGATGCAACTCATAAATAGCGAACCATACATATACATCCATACATAAAACAAATGCATAGAATTTAATTCACATAGAGACAACTAAAAATACAAAAACCAAAATGCGCGGCAAATTAGACGAAGAGAAGCTCGTCTCCTTTACAAGGCTGACGATTCATGGAGATCGTCGTCTCTCACCTGCAGCGACGGTCTTCGCAAAGGTCCGCCTTCCATACCCACTAATTTCACCCCTTTCACACTCTTTTTCGGACCCACGCTCGCAGGCGGATTTTCCTGAGTATTAAGATTGTACTCTGCGTTGCTTCTGTCGACGACCGCAACTCTGTCATTGTTGTCACGCGGCTTCTCGTTGCTCGGTCCAAGTTCGCAGCCGACCTTGGCATAGGACGGGGCACACGGAGCGATCGGTGTCGCCGGAATAATCGCCGGGATCCCGATCGACCGAGTGGGCGAGAGCACCAGGCCGGCCGGACCAGTTCGCAGGTTTCTCACCCCCAGGATCTGGCCCCGATAAGCATCGGTCTGAACGGACGCGTACTGATTCGCCGTAGGAGTCCGCGCCGGCGTCACGCAATTCCGCAAGTTCTGCAGATTCTGTAGATTATAGTTCGCCCTCTGTACGACCGAGATGCCGATGTTCTTCGTTCTCGGGTCGACGTGACCGCTCGTGTCCCCGGAATCGGTCACCACGTCCTCCACGTGATGATGATACGTGGTCCTCTCGTCGTCGTAAACCCCCGTGCCGTCGCACGAGTCTATGCCCGAGGTTGATTTCTGAAAGTTCACAATTTCGATTTATTTCACATTTTTTCATTTTATCTTATTATTTTTCGATTTGTCACAGAAAAAGAGGAATACTTCATTCAAGTATATTTTTAGTCTTGAACGCTATTTGATCCATTTAAGCATAGAATGCTCTTTATTGTAATCCAAAATCTTCATTTTAAGTTTGTGTGAAATATATTTTATTCCTAAGATATTATCTTGTTTGAAAATCGTTATATGGTAAAAACAAACTTATAGTCACATTTGAACTAAGAATTATTTTGTATGATTAATTACCGAAGATGAGTCCATGAGCGCGGCGCCAGAGTTGCTTTGCACGACACCCGAAGGTTCCTTGGATTTGCCGGGCGAATAAATGCTCAACACGTCGCAACATTCCGGGAAATAACCCTTGCCGAGCAGGTTTCTCGTAAGAAAACTGGTGAAGAGTTGAGTGAAGAGAGCGATTATCATGACGGCGGTGCGAAAGGGAAATTTCTGGGTCCGCGTCCTCGCGTCGTAGAATGGATATTCAATCAGGGGATATATGCTGAGTCCTTTTTCGCCGCCTGAAAGTGGCCTTTTACGTTCAAGTAATTTTATCTAGAGATTTATGAGAAATTCAGAAGTTGGAGTATAATTACGTCTCTGACGTTTTTATTTATATCATCTGAATAATTATGCTGAAGACTTGTTACTAACCAGCAAGACGAAGAGTGATAGCGATAAAGTATCCAGCCAGACAGCCGTAAGTATCCACCATGGAGGGCCAATGAATAACAGCTAATAATTGCGGGAACAGGACGACGTAAACGAGATCGGCACACAAATACCTTGGAATAGATACGATACCTTTATGTATCGATTGTACTTATTTATATGCGAGACAGGCGCATAAAGCTATATAAAAAGACTTGAGATAATAATGAAGCCAAATGTCATAAAACATGGAAAGTGAAATTAATGATGCTAAACAAGATGTTCTTTGCAAGAAATATTATTGTCATTAATTTATTGTCGCAGCTGTATCTGTTTGAAGTTTTTCAAATATGTATGATGCAAATAGAATTCTATTTTTATACTTACGAGAGATAATAAACACTGCTGACCATGAGAGCAACGAGAGTGGACAGCACGGAAACTGCGATTACGGAAATCCTCAAGACCCAGTTCAGTTCACGTTCGGATGCCTAATAAAAAAAGTAGTTTGAATAACGCCTATCAAAACCATCTATTAAACAATGATTATATACGAGTATTACTTTTGGTCGAATAGTGAGTTTGTAGACGTTTCTGGTGAACATGGAACTACTGGCGAGTATGCTGGAGTCTGCCGAAGACATCACTGCCGCCGAGATCGCGCCAAGACCTCAAAGTTAATTAGTACAGATATGGTAAGTTTTATGCTCAAATATTTTTTTTCGATTAAAAAAAAGAAACAATTCTTCTTAATCAAACCTACCAACAAAGGAGACCCATTGCGGCGTGAGATATCGCAGGACCATCGGCAATGCGGCGTTTCCATCATCTGTGGTGAACGATCTGTTGTATCCTGGAACTATGGACCAATCGGTAGCACGGGCAACTACTCCAATCACGGCCGATGGTACCGCGAGTATCAGACAACCAAACATCGCAGCTACTGATAGAGTTGTTGCGACAGAAGTGCTCTTAATACTTAGGATTCGTTGAAAATAACCCTGAAGAGAAAGAGAAAGAATTTTATGTCAAGAAGTTTATGCATCACACATTTATGATAAATCTAAAAGACATTTTGATAGTCTGAATTAAACTTGTGGTCTTATAATTTTTTATAAATAACAATGAAGAAAAAATGTTTTAAATGATTTGTATTAGTAATTCTTTTTCTTTTTAAAATAACACATGATTTTTTGCTTAAACCGTCCGCAAACTGAATTTATTGAAATGATTATTCTTCAGACGTGCTCTGAATATTCTTTCGACGTCTGTTTTGGATTTGAATGTTGAAAGTTTTAATTACCTGCCAAGGTATACCGCCAAACACCAGGAGCAACATGCCGTCCACCCACTCGCCCAGATCCTCGTTCTTTATATGTCCCAACCAGTCTCGTACATTGAGATTGTTCTCGAATGATACTGCGGGATGAAACATGGAGAAGGGTGCTGCTATAACTAAACCCAGCATAATGCATAATAGTTGCAGCGCGTCTGTGCACGCCACGGAATACAACCCTCCGAAGACTGTGTATCTGAAAAAAAACAAGATCATCCTTCTCTACTTTTCAGTAGTCGATCAACAATAATTTGTATTTTGATTTAAAAATATCTCGTTGAAATCAAATGGAGCTTGCAACCTTTCACGAATGCAGTAGTTAAATAAGTACAGAAATATATTATTGGAATAGATTTGTATTTACGAATATTGAAAATATTGAATTATTATTCTTACACGGCCGCTAAGAATGCTGAGGCGCAAACGCTGATATTCGGATCTACGCCGGCGACGACGGCCAGCGAGCTTCCTAGTGCCCTCAGGACGGCGCCGCACCAGAATAAATCGCCACACAATGCCGGAAGAAAGAGCAAACCCCCGACACCTGCGCCATATCGTTCTTGAAAGGGATCCAGCATTGTCACGTACTCGGCCTTCCTCATCGGACGTACGAAGAGCATGGCGCCTATAGGTGTAAGTTTAATTTGTCATTAATTAGTAAATTTAGTTACTAAATTAGTAGTAAGTAAATAAGTCTAAGTTGCCATTCATTTTATTAATTAATCAAGCATACAGAACACAAAAAACAAAATCGTCAGTCGACAATTCTCCGATTATTTTTTGCAAATATTGATTTGACATTTGGAACAAATGTCGAATTTATAGAGATCTTAAATCAGGACTATGTGTGAGATATATTTTGCATATATAATTGATAATGTTCGTACCGAAAATCAAACTGAGACTATATCCGATAGGAACTTGACACCAGGCCAGACCCTTCGTAAACATGGCCTCGGCAGTCCCGTTGACGAAAGCTCCTCCAACCCATGTCGCTGCACATGTAAGAATGTATATCTTATTGTATAACTCACATATATAAAGAAAAAAATTATTCTGTTTTTTAGATAGTTGACTTTAATTGATATTTTTAGGAGAAATATATATGTATTATATACGATTCTTTTTTTTTTATAAAAACTATTGTAATAATTTAGCTTTTTTATATATCTATATTTGTCACAACAAAAAGTATATATGCTTCTTTTCTCTATGTATAAATAACCAAGTATATTGACCACGAATATTTTTTCTATCTCATTTATATCACGAGAAAGGGGGATGAAAAAGAAGATAATTAACATCATGTTTTCTTATATTGCGAGTCTCAAAGTTTTTATTTTACGATAACGCAGAAAGAGAGATATTTAGCATAAATGGGAAAGACGAATAATAGAATTGTAAATTAAATAACGAAAATATAAAATGCGAAAATAGGTGAAAAGTAAGCGAATTAAAAGAAATCGATAGAAATCTATTTCGCAAAATTTCGTATTCTATTTCTTCAGAATCAGAGTTGGTTTAAAAATAATAAAATCCAAAATGGGAGCAAGGAGCGCAGAGTGAATCAATATTAAATAAGATTACCTTTTCTTTTACACGATGTTACAATGAAATGTACTTGACACATGTCGATATCAAGAAGAAAATAAGCTCAAAATACGCGAGTGCTTTCTGCAAGGCAATTTCGTAAAATATGATGGAAAATGTAACGAACGTGGAAAGAGAGAGTGTTTCGTGAACACAACAGCTCATCGTAAATTATTGGTTTCATAGTGAGTTCAACGCCTGCAGAGAAACTGGTACCTACACCGCAGAAATTTTTTACATTGATTCTCGAAGAATTAATTTTGATATATTTTTGATTTTTTCCTTTTTATACATTAAAGTGTACAAAATATAACAAAAAATATATGCAATAGCTCACACTAAGGATTTAAAAATAAGAAAAAGATTTTCATAAATATATAAGAAAATTTTCTGCATTATAAATGAAATTAAAAATATAATTTAATTAATTTTTGTATTCATATATATTATATATATATATATATATAATATATATATATATATATATATATATATATATATAAATTAAAGTATAAGTAATAAACACACACATATATATATATATATATATATATATATATATATATATCATTTTGTTTAATCTAACCTAATATAATTACGCACGCAAAGCGAAGTTATATTATTCTTTGATAATAAAATCTCAAAAATTGCGACGCATGCATACAAAAATTATTATTGCAATCAATGCATAAAATATATTAATTAATTATTCTACGCATAAAAATTCAATATTTAAATCTTTTACAGAAAATATGAACAAAGAAATAAAATTTTCTACAAGAATCTTTTGTGTTTAAATATCTACGCTTTTTTTAAACTCGCGCGAGAGTCCATACTCTATACTCCCATTACGCTGCGCGACTCGCGCGAGACTAATTCTCGTGAAGGGTATTGCAAGCGCGGGCCCGATGGTCACATGACCAGTGGTCACGTGACCACTGGTCATGTGACTACTGGTCATGTGACCATCGGGCCCGCGCTCGCGATACCCCGCATAAGAATTAGTCTCGCGCGAACCGCGCAGCGTGTTAGACGTGTGGGATGTATTAATCTAATGCAAAGGATTCACATTTTCACACGCTTGTGTTGTCTAGTATTATAAATGCTTCATCAATATTCGTATACTTATATATAAATATCACATTTTGTTTTGATTCTTGGCCTTGCTATCATTTGAAGCATTCATTGAGCAGGAAATTCGTAATACGGATAACAGGGTTGATTTATCCTAATTGAGATCACATATTGCGCGATCAGAAAAGCACAATCGTAATAAATTTCAATAATAGTTTTATGCTAAATTCATATATTTTGAACTGTCTTGACATTACTTTTCTAATATAAATATAAGGAACTTTTCAAACAATCTACAAGTTATTTATTTGCTACAATAATAGTTCTTATTTCATGATCAAAGTATGAGAGGCTCTATATTTATTATTTTTTTTATATCGAATCTTGAAATATAATTACCAATAAGAGTGAAAGCGCCGAGCATAGGACCAAGGCGACGATTCGCCAGTATCATGTCATCTTGACCTTGCGCAGCCTTTCGTCTCTTAAACGCGGCGGCCCATATCCCGACCCCCAGCACCGCGATGTAAAACAAAGTCACGCCGATTACGCCTGTTACGTACAACCCCATCCTCTTCGTGGTCTCCTTCCGTATGTGGACCCTGCAACTGAATGGTTGATAGTAAAAACGAATGCGATAATAGTCGGTGTCGCTGATATATCCGTAACAGGACTCTCAAACTCGATATGTTAACGGATCATATCGTAGAAGTAGAGGAAAGGTGGCTATTTTCCGTCATCTCTTGATAGGTGATCCTACATGTCATCACAGAAAAAACAGTATTCTTGAAAGAATGCAAATATGCCTTGATTCAAGTATATTTTATCCTTATAATAGCGCCAAATATAAATAATTTTGGATTATCCTTATAATAGCGCCAAATATAAATAATTTTGGATAAAGGATAATTTATCTTTAAAACAAAATATTCTTGGTTGAAGCTGAAATTTACTTATAAATATTGCAAGGACAAGTGACAAGTGAGCATCGGATATAAGCGGTACTTTCAAGTATATATAATAATTCTTAGTTCAAATGTGACTAATCGTAAGTTTGTTTTTACCATATGCGATTTTTAAAACAAGAATATATTTTAAGGATAAAATATACTTCACACAAACTTATTTATTATTAAGGCAAATGAAAATTTTTGATTATAAAGAGCATTCTTTGCTTAAATCAATCAAATAGCGTTCAAGAATAAAAATATCCTTGAATCAAGAATTCCTTTTTTTCTGTGATGTTTATCCGCTTTTATTCCATCCTTTCTACAAGATCCAGTTGTAGGTCAAACAAGCCATGGAAAGGAGAAAGCTGATCATATTTTCTTCGTTAGCTTCTTCTGAGTTCTTTGATTATCGTAAGAGAGTTTTGTCTCGTTAAAATTTTTATATAGGTATTTCTACATTCTTTTTTACTTATTAAAAATTGCTGCTGCGTTGTTTATTTTTCGATTCTTTTATTTCTTTGCTACAATAGCTTTCTTCTTACAAACAATTTTGTCAAAAAAATTTTAAATGTCATTGATTATGATACAACATAATGACAACAGCATAACAACTGATTATAGTTAACAACCGGATGTATGTTGTTAAGATATTTTTTAGATGCGATTATATGTATACTATAATCTTGAAATTTGATGCATATCTTTTATGTATAATCTGTACTCCAAATACTATTTTTCTCTGTCTGTCTTTTTTTCAACATTATATGTTTAACAAGCTTAATAATGACTATCACGTGTGTCGATGATTGGATAATAGAGAGATAGAGAGATGGAAAAAAAGGAAAGAGAGTAAGAATGTAAAGCCGCGTTCTCGCGATCAATACCGCGTATTAATTGTTCCGTCTTCTTAATTAAAATCTCTCTACAAATAAATCTGCGTAGTTACGCCTCCGTTCATTAGTCGATACTAATGAGAAGAAACCTCTAGCCTTTGATATTTAAAAAATCGATATTCGCGTATCGAGAAAGACAGTAAATCCAACAAAGTTAAATTACTATAAAATATGATCAGATATGTATATTTTATATATATTGCATAATGTTATATTAATGAATAATAAATTATTTGCACTTAAGAGAATTGCCAAAAAATTCTGATTGTTATTTTCTGTTAAATAAAAATATATAATTTATGAAAACTTTTTTAACACACGTTCCGATCTCTTCAAAAAATAATGCAACATTTATGATTTACATTTTGACAATTTATTTTTACATAATATATACTATGGTAGAAAAAAAAATATATATATCTAAGGTAATCAAAAAACAAATTTTCGAAACAATTAGCACATTTGAACTAACAGAGATATAATTAAATTAAAAAAAAAATAAAAGCCTAAGAGTTATGTGATGTTTGAATATATTTTTATCTAAGATCGAGAGCTTATTTAATTGCATACGATATCACACGTGGTCATGACCGATGACATACAGGGTGACATTTATAATTAAGCAGCATTTCGTAAGCTGCTACGCCAATGCACAATTCATGACGCGTTCTCGACGTAGAAAAGCTAATCGAGTGCGATGGCAATTGTATAACACAGTTTAAAATTCAAGTATGCCCCAGATATTGGACAGGATGGGTCGTGGGGTCATGACCCTTAGCGCGCATGGCGCACCACCAACTGGATTCTACAAATTTAGAAATGCTCTGCATTATTAATTCGCGGGAGACGGCACTTTCGACAAACTGACGTTTCACGTACGAATGTTCTACGTGTGCGTAAAAATTTGCCACATGTACACAGGACACGTGCAGAAATGAATCTATTAAAGAGAAAGAGAGAAATATACGATCCGTTCGCGATATTTATATGAAAACTGTATCTCTCTAGTGCAGATGTGAAGTAGCAGTAAACTTAAAAGTACAAGATGCATCCAGAATCAATATTTATTCTTAAATGTATCGCGATATTTTAATGACTTTGTATATACAATTTTTCACGTTTAAACAATATTGTTGCAAAAGCTTTATCCTTCCACATTGATTAAAAAATAGTTTTAATATAATATCTAGTTTAATAATCTATATATGCTCAATCTATATATGGAATAAAATATTTAAATAAAGTTACCATATTTAATTACACGTACAAAAGAATAACAGAATAATTTTTATAAATCTATGTATATTAGATCTATCTATTTAAAGAGTGATGAGAGAGAGAGAGAAAGAGAAAGAGAAAGGAGATAATTTATTTATTTTCATGTTATTATTCACGATTTATTTTTTTAATTTATGATTGATTTTTGTTTTATTTTTATTTATTTCAATTAGATAAAATATCAATCAATTCTTATTTATTGAACAAATATTTAAATTTTTTAAATTTACTGCATGTTGCACACACTGAATGCATAAAAGATCCTTTATAATTCTGACATATAAAACCGTTTTTAGATTAAATTATTAAAGTTTTTCATTTTACACACACATACATACACGCACACACGTATGTAAAGCTATTTGTTCCTCGTTTCTCACAGTTCTAAAACTATCGGCACATCTCTTTTAAAGCATGTGTGCTTTTACAAATGCGTTTGCACGTAACAGTTTTAGAATACAACCACGTCAATTGGTGATCTATTTAACATAGCTCTATATAGAGATGCATACGTACAGTTACATACTTAAACGTCAATAATCAATAAACACACGTTGCAGTAATAGTTCTATATATTGCGAATACCAATATTTAATAATTTACTTGTGAAAACATATAAAGAACAATATAATATTAGGAAAATAATTTCGAGAACTCGAGGATGTTATCTTTCCTTATTGATTTGGAATTTATATTTCACGCAACAAAAATGTATTAAAAAAAATAAAAAATACAGAGAGAAAAAAATGAAAAATTTTTTGCACGCTATTGAAGATAAAAATAAATTACGAAATCTTATTCTTGACTTAATATCAAGCGCATCCTTTGAAAAAATTGAATTTTTAATTTTAATTAAAAAGATATTTAATACTGAATAATATTAAAGAATTGCATATAAAAATTTACACCTATATTAAAGAATTATATTAATAAGAAAAAAAATGGAATACAATTTTTGATAAGAAATCAATGCTAGAATTCGATAGATGTACCGCTTTAAAAGTGCGAGAACGGGTAAATTTATTTCTTCCCAGATAGGGAAGTCTATCTCTCTCGTCGATAATATGCTCACACCTATAATCTCGCTATCTCACCGATACAAAAATAGAAAAACATGCTAATATATGCGCTTGGTCGTGATGAAGGGTAAGCAGGTCTCTCAAAGGACGAGACAAAGCGAAGAAAAAGATGTGAGAAAAAGGTGTTTGATAATTTTATGCGAAAGTGCTTTTCAAGGCTTACCAATCGTAGAAGAATTTGTCAACAGGATATTTCCAATTATGAATATCACGGCCAAGGGCCCCGTTCCGATAGGGAAGAGGTGAATAGAGTAGAGAGGAAGAGATTATATTTACTATGGGGTATAAGAGCTTCTTGAAAGAGAGGAATAAAGAGCGATAAACCAATGTATATTCGACACGATTAATAGATGAAGAATAATTCATCTTATTATTAGCGAATAATTGCAAAATCGATGTCAGAGTAAAAAACGTAAAGTAATTTGCTTACAATTCGCATTTTATAAAATGCTAATTGTGCCAATTATATTACTAAAAAATACACATATATTGAAAAACAATAAATACAATAAATATGCAATCTTTGAAATGCATCGAATTTCAATATGTAACATGTGCATTGTAAAGTTAGAAAAAAGCAAAGCTGATTGTGAGTTGCATATGTCAAGTGAAAGCTGCATCAGTGAACGCATATTGACACCAGATGTTAAAATTGCTCGAAATTGACTGGGAAAATTTCTGGTGAATTTCGCGAAGGCGTTGGCGAGAAACAGTTCGCGCAAGCTGAAGATCACTTGGCTCACCCTTGACGCGAATAAAATCAGCGCACACGGTTTATCTTTGAACGTGAAGTCCGGGCCTAGACATCGGCTAGTTTGCTGCCAACTTTTCAAACCAGTCAGCAACATATTTCCGTCGAATCGATCTCATATCTTCGAGTTTACACTCCAAAGTGAAAAATATCGTGCTTTTTTTTCATTGATAGCGACACTACTTGCAGTGGCATGAATAATATCGAACGAGAGATGTCGATTTCTTAATTTCATATACATAGAAAGATAAGTGTTTCTAATTCACATTTTTTAGTTACTTTATTCATATATAAGATGTAAGATGTGAGAATTATTCTTACTACTTTCGATTGACGAGTTTTAGATATTTCTATAAAAAAGATTTTACTCTATGTTCTTTTTTAATTCTTTTTAATAATTAAGATTAAATATTTTAATAATTAATTTTTGGGTTTAAAAATGCTATTTAAGATAGTCTAAAAATAATTATTTATAAAATATTTCTGCTTAGCTTAAGTAATTCTATCTATGTACTTTTAAAGGGTTTGTAATCCATAAAAAATGTTTATAATTTTTATTTATTATTGTTATATATTTTATTTATAAAGCGAGCAAGTAATCCTCAACACAAATGAACATTATAAATTAAGAGCGTTGGATTGATAATAAATGAGTAAAGATTTTAGATACTTGAGAATGATTCCTACATTTAATGTTTACGTTTTACGATACATCAATAATACGATACAAAATATTTAAATATAGATTCGTCTTTACATTTTAAAATTAATGTAAATAAATATGTTTATATATTACAGGAAAAATATATTTTCATCGTTCTGACATTTTTAATAAAACTTTAACAAGTAGAGAACAGTGTTTTAAATATATATTGCTAAATCCACCACTCCTCCCTCTCTCCCTCTCAAACATTTATTTACGTCCAATTATTTTATTGAATAATAATTAGAAGAAAACAATATAAAAAATGAAAGAGAAAAAAGAAGAGAAAAGAGAAGAAGAGAAGGTCGAAATTCGGAATCATATTACTTACCACGAGCTACCCCAGCGAGATCATGCAGAGAGAGAGAGCTCCTCTCACGCGGACACAGCCATCTCACCGTCTGCGTCTCGATTTCCTCTCTTTTCGCGGGGTGGAAAAGTTCGAGCAAGAAGGAAATCGGGTTCTCTCGCCGGCGCGACACACGAATTCGATGCACTTGGTCCCGACCGGGCGTTAGCCGTGCGACAGAGAGCAGCCTGGCAATACGACTGAATCTCTTTGACGGCACTCTCGCAGCATTCGGCTGACACGCTGCTGGACCGCCAACCACCTCGCTGGGGGTAGCTGGGGGTAGCGCGCGCGTCACGGACAAGGACGGAGCACGCGCGCGCGCAAGATACAGATATACAGGGTGCCTCGTTTCATTGCCGCTATCTGTAATAAGTGCATCCACTGTGGAGGAGACAAAAATCGATTGTCACCAAATTCTCTCTTTCAAATATATTAAGTATAGTATTATACAAAATATGCAGTGTTTGCTGTTATCTCGAAATAAATATCTAGAATAATGTTCAGATAATTTACTTTAGAGTCAGAGCGCATAAAAGTATGAATATATTTTTATATCCCTTTTATAATTTATATTTTTTTATAACTGTGTTTACACATAGGCGATTTTAAAAATAATATTATCTGGAGGTTGTCTAGATTCTAGATGACTCGCCATATCATTTTATTTTTTATGTAGATATATTTAAAACAAAGTCATCTTCATCTTATCTAATATGAATTTACATATATTTTCATCTTATTCTAGCTAATTTTAAAATCTAATTATTTTAATTATTAAATTATATTATTAATATATATTATCTAATTATAAAATTTAATTATTTTTTATTGTTTCTCAAACACAATTTGAATTTTTTATTTATGCTTTGTAAAAATATAGCAAAAATGTGATTTATGTTGCCAGATAGTTAAAAATGTAACAATAACAATTGTTAATTTCCAAAATTAATTTTCTCGATAACAAAAGTTTGAATGAAATAATTTTATCTCTAATTGTAGAATTATCTCGTTTTTAATTGCATTAATAACGGGGTAATTCTACATAAAAATAACATTCTGTATAGTCCGTAAAAATATTGTGTATTGAGATCGCGAATGAAGAGAAATGAGAAACGAGTTTCAGATCGATCGTAAAGTGGGACAAGTGATCATCATTCAGAATCTCAATTTTGCATAGTAAGCTGTATCTGACAAGGGTTGTCACAATTTTCATTCAACAATTATTAAAATAATTATTGAAAATTATAAAAATTTTTCTATGAATTTCAACCCCTTTAAAAGGTACATAGATAGAATTACTTAAGCTAAACAAAAATACTTTACAAATAATTATTTTTAAATAGAATATCTGAAATAGAGTTTGAACCTAAAAATTAATGATTAAAATATTTAATGTTAATTATTAAAAAAAAAAATTAAAAAAGCAAACAAACAAAGAGTAAAAGATCTTTTCTATAGAAAAATCTAAAACTCGTCAATCGAAAGTGGTAAGAATAAAACGAACACCTTATATATGGGTAAAGAGTGACAGAGTAAACGAGAAGAAGAGCTGGATCCATCTATGGGCCGTGATAAAAGAGGGAGATCTAGCGAAAGAGAAGTATAAGATCCGAAAAGAGACCTGCGATTCTTTAGAAAAAAGAAGGAAAATATAAGGGAGAGAGAGAGAAAAATTCGCAAAAGTAGAGAAAGACAGTTACGCCTGGGTGGGTCAATGTTTCATCGTGACAGATGTAATGTCAATGCTACAGGAGATATCGAGAAACAGCGAATAGGTGGATTCTAAAAAGATTCATAAATTTTTTTATTAAAAATAGAAAATAAGAAAGCGAGCAGAAAATGTCGCGTAGACAAGTTCTAGATTATATAAGGAACAAATTGAAAACGTTCGCTCGAGTTGAAGATGGAGCCGAAGACTCTTTGGGAGATTCGATCGAATGAGAATATTAATAGAAAATACAATAGAAAATATGTGGGTTAGTAAAAGGAACTTGTAATAATTCGTGAAGAAAAAACGTATAAGAATCAAGAGAGGAAAAATTGAACAAATAAAAATAGAGATATAGTAAATGTATAAATAGATAAAAATTTTGAAGAATTATATATATAGATAAATTTATTCTAGACTACGTGAAATCTCCTTTACATAATAACTATATTATGAGCTTATTTAAAAAAAAAAAGAGAAAAAACAAAAAGATGATATACTTTACTTCCTAGACTTACCTAAACTTAAAATCCTAGAATAATTAAAAAATAATCTTATTCATAGAACGTATAATTAAAAGACATAATTTGTATATCAAGTATTAGAAATATAAAAAATATTTCAAGAACAGAAAGAAAATTCAGAAAGATACACAAAAGAAATAGGGAGAGCAAGAGAAAGATAGGAAAATAGATAGATCGATAGATAGAGATAAAGTGAAAGGGGGATGAAAAAGGAAGAGAATAAGAAAGCGACGCGAAATGGAAGGAAAGAGTGCGAGCTAGTGAGAGGGAAACACGTTCGTATACGGGGGCGAGGGGATAGTATTGATCTGTTCGCGCAAACTCCTGGTCCTTAGGCTCCCTCCGCGAGCAGAGCCGTCAGACCCTCGCCCTGCCTGTCACCACCCTCGTCCTGTTCCACTCGCAGCTTCCGAAACGCACTCCGTGCAATCCAGAGTTCTTGGGAGATTTGCAGCTTCCTCATTCTTCTTAAACACCGTTTCATATTTTCATATAATACAGAACACACACTCTTTCTCGTCTCGTTCTACTTTGACATGTTACAATATTATCAGAAATAGATAATAATCCTTAAGGTTCGCCAGTAATAATTAAAAGTCGACTTTTACCATTGAGGAAAGATTTTTATTAATTATTACTGGCGAACCTTAAGGATTATTATCTATTTCTCTGTGCAATCCAGAGTTCTTGGGAGATTTGCAGCTTCCTCATTCTTCTTAAACACCGTTTCATATTTTCATATAATACAGAACGCACACTCTTTCTCGTCTCGTTCTACTTTGACATGTTACAATATTATCAGAAATAGATAATAATCCTTAAGGTTCGCCAGTAATAATTAAAAGTCGACTTTTACCATTGAGGAAAGATTTTTATTAATTATTACTGGCGAACCTTAAGGATTATTATCTATTTCTCTGTGCAATCCAGAGTTCTTGGGAGATTTGCAGCTTCCTCATTCTTCTTAAACACCGTTTCATATTTTCATATAATACAGAACGCACACTCTTTCTCGTCTCGTTCTACTTTGACATGTTACAATATTATCAGAAATAGATAATAATCCTTAAGGTTCGCCAGTAATAATTAAAAGTCGACTTTTACCATTGAGGAAAGATTTTTATTAATTATTACTGGCGAACCTTAAGGATTATTATCTATTTCTCTGTGCAATCCAGAGTTCTTGGGAGATTTGCAGCTTCCTCATTCTTCTTAAACACCGTTTCATATTTTCATATAATACAGAACGCACACTCTTTCTCGTCTCGTTCTACTTTGACATGTTACAATATTATCAGAAATAGATAATAATCCTTAAGGTTCGCCAGTAATAATTAAAAGTCGACTTTTACCATTGAGGAAAGATTTTTATTAATTATTACTGGCGAACCTTAAGGATTATTATCTATTTCTCTGTGCAATCCAGAGTTCTTGGGAGATTTGCAGCTTCCTCATTCTTCTTAAACACCGTTTCATATTTTCATATAATACAGAACGCACACTCTTTCTCGTCTCGTTCTACTTCGACATGTTACAATATTATCAGAAATAGATAATAATCCTTAAGGTTCGCCAGTAATAATTAAAAGTCGACTTTTACCATTGAGGAAAGATTTTTATTAATTATTACTGGCGAACCTTAAGGATTATTATCTATTTCTCTGTGCAATCCAGAGTTCTTGAGAGATTTGCAGCTTCCTCATTCTTCTTAAACACCGTTTCATATTTTCATATAATACAGAACACACACTCTTTCTCGTCTCGTTCTACTTTGACATGTTACAATATTATCAGAAATAGATAATAATCCTTAAGGTTCGCCAGTAATAATTAATAAAAATCTTTCCTCAATGGTAAAAGATTTTTATTATAAGAAATGCTTCTGAAGGACCTACAACTCTGATCATCAGCTCGAGAGATGATGAGAACAACGGCATTTGTAATATTATTTTCACATATTTTTCTAATATACTGTCATTGATAGAGAAATTCCATTACTTTCGAGAATTTCTATTATTGTCCTAGATATATATAATTATATATATATTTTTTTTAATGCTACGGCTTATTTCCGAAACGAGATAATCAACAATGATACATAATTGCACAGACACGTTGAAGAAAATTGATCAAAGTAATTATAAAATTAAATACCTCGTCTCTTTTAATCGATATAATTAGATCTGCAGCGTATTAATTTTTATCGCCCACGCAAAGATCTCTGATCATAGCTAAGCTCTCGCAAGGCCAATCGATGATAATTACACACCTTGAAGATACGCTGTGACCCTGTTCTTCAGGCTCTGAGCTTGACAGAGTTTTTTTCCTCGGAGGGTGCGATCGACACAACGTGTGCGTCAATGCCGATAATTCTTAAAGTGGTGCTAGAGTGATGAGAACTACAACTTTTTCACATTTCCATTTAAAACTTAATTCGCAATAAATAAATAAATAAAAAATAAACAAATTGAAAAAATTGACAAATTTATTTTAAAAGTTATACAAATCTACAGGCTATTTTGCAGACACTTATATTCTTTAAACCTACATGTTTTCTCTCTTTTACTCATAATTTTTTATAATATGAAAAATAATTATATCGTTGTTTGCGTTGAAAAAAATAGCTATAGTATTTGGTGAAATTTACATTAATCTTTGCTTATTATGCCATCCTGCTGAGACTTGGAAGAGTTTATACGTATAATTTTCTGAAACGATGTTGGCAATCGATTTTTTTTACCAGAAGTCGAGAAGATAATTACTGTATGCAACAATAGCGGTTTCTCTCTCGTGTCAATAATGAGCACGTTAACGATGTTGCGGTGATCGATGAATGGGGGACGGTGTCGTTTTCACACACTAAACAAGCTGTATCGCTTTTGGCCTGTAGGCGTTCGATTAAATGTTAGGGAGGATCGAATTCGGTGGAATGGCCCAAGCATCGCGGTAAACGCATAATCTTCAATCACGAGGAATTTGATGAAACTGTTGACAAATGTGAAGGTTCGACAGTAGATGTGGTGCGATTGGAAAAGAGTTTTGGTAGACTCGGATTCGAGATGTCAAAGTTCAAATTAACTTAAAATAAAAATAACTAAAGCCTGTTAACTAATAAACCTTTCAACTAAATTACTATTTTGTTCATTAAACATATATATATATATATTGGTATTTAAGTCAAATATATGTTTTGTTAGATTTAATATGTTACATTTAATTTAAATATTTTTATATGTTTAATTATCAAAATAATATTTAGGTAAAAGATTATTTAGTCAAATTAACAAATTTTTTTTAATATACGAGAAAGAAAAAAGAAAGCGATGGTGACAGGAAGAGGGAGAATGTCAGGGATGGTTGTTAGTACAAACTGTAAGAAGGAACGAAGAGCGATGCATTGGACAAAGTGAGAATAGGGAAATTTCCGAGATGATAAATTTTATATATAAAATTTCAAATTTCTCCGAAAATAAATTTATAATTGTTTCTTCTTATGGATCATTTGCGTCCGATGACGCGATGAACTCTGGCCTCTTTTCCAAAGCCTCCTATTATATGTTTAAAAATATATTACGCCCTAGAGAGCATATTAAATATCTACCCAGTAATACATGTACTTTACATGCGCTAGCAACTTTTTTTAGACTTTAAAATCATTTTTACAGAGGCTGTTATTCGCGTTTCCTCATTTATTAATAATTTTTATAATTAGTTTAATTGCATTTGTCGGGTATATGTAATATCGAAAATTAATTATATTTTCTCATTAAAAGAAATAAATTTATATATAATATAATAAAAGAATATTATTATTTTAAATAATAATTGGAGAATATAAATGAGATACGTGTAATTGTAATAATATAATGGATAACAATTACATGCGATATATTATCTATCTATCGATCACTCGCAATAAATGCTATATTTAGCCTTATCGGAAATTTAAAAGATCTTTAAATAACGAAATAGTGTTATGTTAAATAAACTATCCGCTTTAATTTATATATATATATATCATTATTTCATTATATTTTGTTTTTATTTTGTAATTTTATAATTGTATATATTAAGTTTTTGCAAAAGTTTGTTCCGGTTACAAATATATGGCGCGTAGTTTATTTGTACCATAACAAAAGATGAACTTTATTTCTGGTTCCATTTTCAATAGCGTTAAATTAAAATTATATTCGGAATTGATTTATCAGCCATCAATTCTGATTGAATATGGTCAACATATTTAAAAACAAAAAAGTAATTTAAAAGAAAATAATTACTAATTGTAAGTAATGCGCCATATATATTTGCGCCTTATGAATTTTTGCAAGCACCTAATTATGAAAAAGAGAGAAAACGCAAAAGAGTACTGTTTTTAAATTCTTAATACTATTTTTATTTTATATGAAAAATAATTTTAAATGTATGTATATCTGTCATACATCACATATATACATATCATATATGTATATTACATACTTGTTAATCAAGTACATTTCGCCTATATATTATATTTTCAGAACACGATTTTATAATTTACTCTGTAATGATTTTTTCATTTAATTTTGGTGGAAAGTAAACGGATCTGATTAACATTGATGTTACTGACGGCACTTGCTTTTTATCATGCATAGATTTATCCGCAGGATAAACAGAGGCGAACTCGGTGGCGACTTTTCGAGCTGTCAGCGTGAGCATGCTCATTAAATCCATCTCAGTCCCGTGTTCATCTAGAACTTTGCACAAGCATTGTACATACCATGTACCTTCCACAGGATTCCTCCAAGTATAAAAATCTGGAAGTAAAAGAATTAAATGGAACGTATTTATATTTTTTGAGTATATTTTAGAGATCAGTTTTATTTTAAAAATGTTATTAAAATTTTCTTTAAAAATTAAATCTTTAAATTCTAAAAAAGCGTTTTAAAGCTTGTGAAATTTTTACTATTAAGAGGTCACAGCTATTTTTCATTTTCTTTAATTCTGGTATTTTTTACATACAGGAAACGACGAACTTAACAATGAGAAGAAAATTTTCCATTTTGTTAAGTTTGTCGTTCTCTGTATATAAAAAAATACTAGAATTGAAGAAAATGAAAAACAGCTGTGACCTTTCGAAAGTAGACTTTTCAAGCTTTAAAATTCTTTTTTAGAATTTAAATTCTCATTTTTGAAAACAAAGTTACAGTTATTTCAAATTTGCCTATTTTTTAGATAATTATTTTGATACCTTAATTATTGCGAGGAGTGTATTTAATACTTACCTTGAACCGAACTGTGAGCTATTAGAAAATCTGCGTGAGTGGGAATTTTGTACGATGTGACAGAGTCGGTAGCTTCCGATGGTGTCAAAGTGCGAGGAGACAGCACCACACCGCTGTCAACCTGGTCTCCTCTGCAAGCCTAAAGAAATATCAGACAGAGTAAGTAAGCTGAATAAACTAAAGGTATAAAATTAAATGAACTTTGAAAAAATGTCAGTTGTTTTACCTGGAAGAAGAACAATTTTGGCTTTCCCGCGAGTGTTATACACTTATCGGCGGTAAATGGTTTCCAAATTTTGTCGGATCTGTAGGCGACGTCTTTCGCCCATATCAAGTCGTTTTGGAGTCCATGAGTTAGCACGATAATGCAGATGCAGTCGTTATTCGAGTGGTCATATTGGCTCACTGCAACATATATTAAATAATCTTTTGGTTTATTATTTCATATATTTATTATTTTATGTCCAATATTACATATTTAATTTTGATATATTAAATAAATTAAACATCAAAGAATTTAATTAAGTAATTGTCTTTTGAATATTACATGCTTAATTTTGATATATTAAATAAATTAAACATCAAAGAATTTAATTAAGTAAACATGTACCTAATTCATTATTTATATATAATATAGTAAAATGCAATTAAAAGTAAAATATTACTTACTTTTCTCTATCTTGTCCATAATTTCTGCGTGGCTTAAGTTATTTTGCACTTCGACATCAAAGCCGAGTCTACCAAAACTCTTCTCCAATCTCATCACATCTACTGTCGAACCTTCACGTTTATCGACAGTTTCATCAAATTCTTCATGATTGAAGATTATGCATTTACCGCGATGCTTATGACTCATGTTATAGCGATCAGCATCTATCGATACTGACATGACTGTAGCAGATGTCGAAGGTCTAAAAATAAAAAAGAAAATAAAAAAGAAAATTTAATTAAATGAAAATGTACATTAACTTGTATAAATTTTATGTAAATATACTTTTTATTTTTACAATTAATATTAATGTTAATGAATTTTAATTCAAGTAATATTTGCGGCTTTTATCTGTTGTTCATATCAATAATATCAAATGTGTGTATGTGTATGTGTAATTTTTTTTAATAGTCAACTTAATAAGTATTTTCGCGTGCATTTATTCATACATAATATTCACATATTTATTAAAATTCTTACACTTTTATCATTTTTTTACCAAGTTTTTAATTTTCTGTTCAATCCGAATTTAATATTGTTTAATTATATATTCTATGTAATTATCTCTTTTAATGTAAAATGATTCGTGAAAATTGATAAAATATCAGATTGGATCATTTATGGTTTTAGTTGACAATTGTCTTTATAAATGTAGATTATAATAAATAATATCTTCTTACATATTAATCAAATTGTTATTATCGCTCATGTTAAGATTTGGGAACATATTGGCATCGATTACATCTGATAAATTATACATGTATACATTCTTCGTGCAGTCGACCTTGACTGTTTCTGCGATGTCCAAATTTTGCTCTTGATCTTCATCCGGCGATGTCTGATAAAATAAAAAAAAGAATAATTTAAATTCATTGGGAATTATGTGCATGAAGCCGTTTAAGTTAAATTTAATATTATCAATATATATCTTAAGGATTAATTTAATTCCGTTTGATCATACGTACACAAGAACCAGAACATATATTTGCCTGTATTACATATAATATATTTCTTATCTATTTTATCTTTTACTTCCAAAAAATTATCTTATCTATTTTATTTTCTACTTTAGACATTATTTGAATCAATTTTTATTAGATTTATTATTTGCATTATTATATAATAAAGAAGAAACGTATCGTATAGTAAGAAATTCTAAATTATATCTGTTATTATTATTATTATTTGTAAAAATAATTATTATTTATATGAATAATAGATTTATATATAAATAAAAGATTAAAAGAATATTATATATGTTAATATAAACTACTACTATATATATATATATATATATATATATATATATGTTATTTAATAATTACCTGAATAAAAATTTAAATGCAATAAAATAAAGTATTATTCGAATAAAGATAATGTATTTCAATCACACACGAATATTCTACATAATACACGAAAATTCCCTATTTTATATATTATTCACAAGATTGTATTTTTCTGTAATCTTCAATTTTAATTTTCGATAATTTAAAATTACATAATTTTAATTTGTAACAAATCATATACAATTGACAGCTACTCGGAATTTGTTTGGCTTATCGCAAAGGGCCGGTTTAATCATAAATGTACATACATAATAATCTGAAGTAGATAAAGATTTGCTTCGGTATCGGCATGGAGTCACAGTGTCTGTGGTCAGATTTCTAGTGCCGATTGAATCTATTACCGAATTGGATCTACCTATGTATTTAGATACATTGGGTGACGCAACATTTTCGATAAATATCTCATCATCATCCATCTAAAAATTAGAATTATTTAATTACTTATTTATTACTTATTATTATATTAGACATAAAATAATAAATATATGAGAGAAATAATAATTATAAATATTAAAAACCTTCTTGAAAAATAAAAGCTAAGAATATGAGTAAAATAAAAAAAAATTAGAAAAAAATATAGAAAAAGAGATATATACATATAAGAGAGAGGTATATATGTACACACATGCAAGATAGATACAATAAGATGATATTATTGAAGACGCGAATCATTATAAGTATATGTTAAAATAAGTACAGTAAAAGAGAAAAATTGACTATCAGAATAATCGTTTGCTAATACAAAAGTATAGTTAATAAAAATTAACAATTTTTCATAAAATATATATACACAATATATACTTATTCCTTACGCAAAGTAAATAATTAATATAAATATTAAAATAATTTTACCAAAATATCCTATCCACAGAATAAAATTAAAAAGTTCCAATAATCACAAATAATCAAATAAAATATGCTTATTTATATATAAGAAATCTTTTTAACAACCAATCTAATTCCTCGAATATGAAATAGTAATCATAGCAAAATAATGACATAGGAACTCCGCAACGTGCTCAAAACAAACATTTAACAAAATATTTACAGATGATTATAAATAAAGAACGTGATAATACCTATATTATATTTTGTCGTTGACGACAAATAACTGCGTTTTAATTAAAATTGATTGATTATTATGCAAAACTGCATGTGTGAGTGTGATTATATTTAAATGATGAAATGTTGATACATTGATAATGCTTTATTTTTAAAACATATTAAATTTTATTTTAACTTTCTTTTTAATATATTGCTCTCTTGTATATTATATTATATCTATATATTTTTATATCTTTGTCTACATTATTTGAAAGAACAGTAATTTTATCAAGTTTGCGCTATTCTTCTATTTGTTTTATTAATTTAAAAAAAATATACATTTTTTTCCAGAAACCTTTTTTTCAAAGAAAAGAGCAATTAAAAGGGCAGAAAAGTCTCATTTGTTATTAGAGAGAAGTGTTAGTTAATTAGATTAGTTTGCTATAGTTAGTTTACTCACAGCGATACCACTGTCTTCCCTGACAATTTTTTTGAGCCTTATTGTGACATTTTTCATCATTTCCCACGAATTCTCATGATATTCATCGTTATTTATACGGTCAGTAAATTGCTTGTGCAATTTAAAAATTTGTTCACGTGACATACAATCCTTTCCGTATGCTTTTCTTAGTAGATAAAGAGATTCCAACGAATTTTTTTTCAATTTGATGAGAAATTCTAGATTAATGCGTTGCATAAGTTTTGAATTCGATTTTGATAGCATGATTTCGGGAGTCCAATGAACCAATATTCAATTTGGCTGATATAAATTGTATAATTGTTTATGTATGTAATACACACAATTTAAAACGTATGAGTGTATGTGTTTATCTTTAAAAATATTAACTTTTCAGATAATAAATTTTTAGCCAGTGTCAAAATGTATACTATAGCAACTGAAGCAATTCAAACTTATAAGAAGAGAGTAGCTTATCTGTCAACTTATATTTGATTTTTGGATATATAAATACAAACATTGGTTATCATGATTCGTACGAATTATTTTTTGTTCGTGCGAACATTCGTGCGTGTATGTGCGAGTATATATAAATATATTTGATATATATATAATTATAAAATGATTAATTATGAAATAATTCGTATAAAAGTGACCGATAAAGTATTTACAAAATTTAAAGTATATAAAAAGCTTACATAATAAATGATTCAAGGAGAGATCGCATATTGGAAGTAAAGAATAATTTTAACGTCTCTCATTTTTAAGAAATTTTTTGTAGAAAATAAAAATTGAATAAATTACATGGTTAACAGATTTCTAATTTTAATAAGTAAACAAAACTTTTTTGATAATATAATCCATTTTTTAAGTAAAAGTATAAAAAGTTTTAATTTTCGATTGTATAAGGCAAGTGTAAAATTTTTTTTTATTTCTAATGTAATAATATGATTTTGTGTATAAATTGATTTCTCTTGTCACATTCGATGTATAAAATATTTAAGAACACTGAAAAACAAATTTGTTAAGTGCTAGCGACTAAACTTTTACTAATATTATTTCTTAATTAAACATATAAAAATATTTAAATTAAATATAACACATTAACTCTATCAAAACGTATATTTGACTTAAATACTAATATATTTTCAATTTACAATAAAATAGTAATTTAAGTGAAAGGTTTAGTCAAGTTAACAAATTTTGTTCAGTGTAAAAATAAAAAAGCAATAATTGGAGATAAAGTATTAATTTACGTAATAATTCGTAAATAATAGTTACGTAATAATTGAAAGTTATATTTTTTACAGGTTTACACATTATAGTATCTGCAACATGATCGTCGTAATGCTAATTTATAAAAATCTAAATTTTATTACACGCAGAATAGAAAGACGTAAATAAAAAGTTTATTGATAAATTGCAATGGATAACAAAAAAACAGTATAAATTTATATATCTGTCTTTATATTTTAATATATGTATATTATATATGCATATCTACATTCTATTAGGAGCAAGTTTTATATTGATAATTATTAATATTAACACTCATCTGATTGAATCAATCTTCCTTATCTATCTTTAGTGAAGCAATTTATCTAAAAAGTAGCAATCGCGATAATAAAAATGAATTAACCAAGACTCGATATGCAACAAAGACTTCATGACTACATTGCGAAAAATGTTGCAGTCTATTTAAGCTACCAAATTAGTCATCCCTCTTCAGATTAGAGAAAATAATTGTTGATAATGACATATATAAACCACTTTCATCGATGACCTGGATTATCACTTTCATTTTTTTTGAGCAACTATATATATATATTTATTTAAAATTGTACCGAGTGTTTGTTTTGCGCATTATTTTCTTAATGATAAATGTTTTTGATTTCTGTTTAAAGAAATCGAGAGAAAATTTAAAGATGAAATTTAGCAATATAAATATATATATATATATATATACTTTTTTTTGTTACGTAAAATATACATATAAATTTCTGTTTTTGTTGTACTAAATTTATATATTGCCCTAAATTTTCACAAATTTATATATTAGTCATAAATGTATAATTAAAATAAATATACATACATATATATTGTTTTAATTAAAAAAATTTGCGTGACTAATTTAAATATTATACATATGTACGTATAATAAGTATATGTATTGTTTTATGTAATAAAGAAATCGCGATGATTGATGTAGCTTACATTTCCTTTCTCTCTCATATGTATAATACTCGCACTTTAAAGCTTTGATGATCCTATATAATTTTCCGATAGAAAAAATTAAATTTAATAAAATTATTATTTTTGCAGACATTATGCACGCTCTTTTTCGATATTGTAATTTTCTTACCTGTGATCTTTCGGGTTCGCCTTCGCTATCGATCGTTGAAGATTCCATATCGCGAAGACAAAATGATTACACACCGAGGTCACTGAAGCTTGATTGCTTCTACGTCGACGAAGACTCTAAAGAAGAGAAAAAGACTATGTCAAGATTACGATGTCAAGTCTGCGAGACAACTAAAAGGGCCGATCTCGGATGATTCAATCCACCACCAGATATCTATACGATTATCGAACCCCCCTACTGCGAGGAATTGGCTTATCAGTTTTTATCACGTTCGATTTGTGTCGCGTCCGTGTCGCACTGCCAAATTGCCGGTGAAGCGAAGTGCGTTATTGTTCGTCAACCGCAATACCTTATTGTATCGCAGGATGCTCGTGGCTTTGATACGCAATACTCCAAAACCTTGGGAAGGTCGCCGTTGTAAACACAGAGTATAAGTAAGATTATTATCTATTTTTCTGTACAGACTTTAGGACGAAGTTCTACTGATATATACAATATATATAGTTTTATACGTATCGCTGTATATCTGTTTTGCTGTTTGTATTCTGATTTGTGTCGAGTTTTGCGTACTAAAATTATAAATATTTATATAATAATTTTCTCTTTCGTAATTTATAATTTATTATTTTTATTATTTTAAAACAGACTTGACAAAATTGGTATATATATATAATATTTTACATATATATATTTATAATATATATATATATATATTTTTTTTTTCAATTATATATATATATATATATATATATAATTATATTATTTATTTTTATATTATATATTAAATATAATTTTATATATATATATATATATATTATTAATGAATGAAATGACGAATTATTAATAATATATAATTAATATTAAATAAATATTAAATAAGAAGAGAAAAATATATTCAATATAATTTTACTCATTCGCAATATTGTTAAATAAACTTTTACTACTCTCGACATTTTATTTTGCAGTAAAAGAAAGTATTATATGTGCCGGGTCATTGCTCCGCGCGTTAATTCTGCCAAGTCCCAGGCGCGACTAAAAGTTCAAAATGATTGGCTGCTCGAGGAGAAAGTCTCGATTAATCGCGCGGATGCATCTATCATGACTGTCGATGCAGGAGTGCATTATTCGCTACAGTTTGTGTTTCCTGTGCTTCGTAATATTATAGGAAAATTATGAGGAAAATACGCAATTGCGAAGATAGTGAATAAGTCGTTTGTCGAGTGCAATCTCGACTGCCTGACAAAGTAAATTCTCGTCTTGAAATAATATATATCTTGAAATTTGTTTTTTCTATTTTTTTTTCTGTATCCATTGTATTCGAGCGTGTTTGTCGGACTGTTATTGTCATTGTATAGTTATTTGCTATGTATATATTGTAGGTAAGTATAATTGGTGAAACGCAGTTTGTGAGAGGTTAATGCGTATAAATCTTATATATTTCCATTATTTTTGTTCTATTTTTCATTTATTTATTTTTAATATCTTGTTTCTTTAATAATATCTGGTTTCTTTTTTCATTATTGTCAGCTGATGTATAAACTTTTGCCAAGTAATTTTTTCACGAAGAACTTGTACTTGTCGTTACCATGTCATTGCACTTTAATATTTCTTTCTTTCTCTTTTTTTTTAGGCTATATACATATATTTATTTTTCAGTGAAACTAGAAGAATTTTTCAAACTATGATAATATTTTAACAAAACTTATGGCAACATGTCTACTGTGAATCAATATATTGTAACCAATCCTTGTCTCGATGCTAACAAATCACTTGGAATAGACGAAGCATGTTTTAGTATCATTAGTGAATATAATAGATCAATCACATTATATTCTCATCTATTGGAATGCTACTTGGTATATATATATATATATATTTGACAGATCAAATTTTTTAATTAAAATGGACATTTGCATTAATAATTTTAATTTTGTTTGTAATTGTAGTGCAAGGATGTACCACTGGTTTCTTTACCAGGAAAAAAGAATACCACATTAGTCATCCCTACAAAATATCCTCTACATATATTTTATAAAGATACACATGAAGTGTGCCAGTAAGTAATTAGACATATATATACAAATTTGCTACAAAATTATATTATTATTTATTATATATGTTTTTTCTATCAAAATATATATAAAAATATATTGCAATGTAACATAATTTGTTCACAGCACTACATACAATTTTAAAGAACATGGAAGTTATGGATGGAATATTTCTGAAGAGCAATTATGCTCAGAAATTTATACAATACGTCAACCAGTAAATAGTTACCTTCGTAAGTTGAAAGATTTTACAATTTTTTTGTAATATTAATATTAATATTAATTTCGTGAATTAAGACTATTTAATGTATGTCTTTCTTTGCAGCAATATTCACAGCTTTCATGGTATTTGTTCTGTTGATGATTTTATATGCAACTGTCAAAGTTATTATACGTGTGATAAAAGGAAAATTATCTCCAGATAATATACACGATGTAATTTATATTAATATATATTATTATATGTAATCAAGGACATCTCTGAATATTTCTTGTATATTTCTAGGATTTGGATAGACTTCAAGAAGCAGAGACATCAAATCCAGTCATTAAAACAAACAGATCTAGTACTAGAATTCGTTCGGTTGATACATTTAGAGGGTATCTTTTCTTTTCACATATAAAATAAAGTTTAATGCACATCTACTTAATGTGCTAAATACTTTTAAAAATTATTTCAGGATTGCTATATTGTTAATGATATTTGTCAATAATGGTGGTGGCAAGTATGTGTTTTTCAATCACAGCGCATGGAATGGTTTGACAGTGGCAGACTTAGTACTACCTTGGTAATTATCTGTGCTCTATTGTGTGCTATTTATACATTGTGTTCTACTGTTATTATTCTCTTGTATGTGTTGCAATTCAGGTTTGCATGGATTATGGGATTATCGATTACTATATCGAAACGATCCGAGCTTCGTGTATCTAATTCACGCAAAAAAATTATTTTGCGTTGCCTGCAGCGTGCATTTATCCTTATACTTCTCGGACTGATGTTAAACTCAATTCATACAGATTCGCTAAAGAATCTTCGTTTTCCGGGTGTTCTTCAATTGTTGGCTGTATCGTATTTTATATGCGCGACAATCGAGACTATATTTATGAAGATGCACTCTCAGGTTCAAATCACATTTTATTATATCAAAAATATTACGCATATCTGTTAAGAAACTAATATGTGATAATTAATAATCTTTTAGGATGATTTGTTACAGTTTGGTCGATTTACAATTCTACGAGATATCTTGAACAATTGGGCGCAATGGTTGATCATTTTGATAATTGTAATGACGCATACCTTAATCACGTTTCTCCTGCCTGTCCCGAACTGTCCAACAGGATATTTGAGGCCTGGTGGTTACTCTGATTTCGGAAAATTCCCAAACTGTACTGGAGGCGCAGCTGGTTATATAGATCGACTTATCTTTGGAAATCATATCTATTCCAAAATAGAAAATCCTGTGTATGGTACCATCTTACCTCACGATCCTGAAGGTATATTATAAGAAAACTTTTTGATATAAAATTAAATAAGCTTAAAAAAGTTTTACGTTAATGAGAATGCTAAATTTATAAGTAACATATTGTATAATACAGGTATAATGAACACTATGTCTATAATACTTGTTGTATACTTGGGAGTCCATGCTGGAAAGATCTTGTTACTTTACTACCAATGCAATGCTAGAATAGTACGTTGGCTGTTATGGTCAGGAGTCACGGTAAACTTAAATTTTTTATATAACAAGATAATATAAAAAAACAAGATTTATAATTTAATTTAAGTAGTGCAGTATATATATATATATATATATATATATATATATATATATATATATATATATATATATATATAATAATTGATATTTATATTTATCCACAGGGTATTATTGCTGGAATATTATGTTATTTTGATAAAGAATCTGGAGTGATACCAGTTAGCAAGAAAATGATGTCACTTTCGTTTGTTTTAACTGTATCCTGTTTTGCATTTTTACTATACGCAATCTTGCATTTCTTTATCGATTATAAGCATTATTGGAGTGGAGCACCATTTATTTATGCAGGTTTGTAATATTATTTAATATAATTATTTCTTTTTCCAATATCCTTTCTTCTCTTAAATAACATAATCACATTTATTTTATTCATTAAAAGTGCAATTAATATTAACTTTGTTTTGCATTTTTTTCAGGTTTAAATCCAATTACTCTTTATATTGGACATATGATTACAAAGGGGTTATTCCCATGGGCATGGCATTTGTCCCATCCTACACATTGGTCATTCCTTGCTATGAATTTATGGACTACAACTTTGTGGGGTATTATCGCATATTGGCTTTATTGGAAGGACATTATTATATCTATTTAAAATTATCTATAAAAAATAATATAAAAATTGACCCATAAGTAACATAAATTCGCGAAGGATTAAGTAAATTATTGAAGATTATTATACTTAATGTGGATGTACAAGCTTATAGAATTATGCGAATAATGAAGCAATTCAAAGTTGTGATAAAAGAATGACAAAATGGAAAGAGAAGATAGCTCTATTGTATAGATTTGCGTAAATCATTGCTCATTAACAGATAAAATAATTTTTATTGAAAGTATTATGGTGTTAATTAATTTTCTGAATAAAAGTGTTTTATAAACTTTGTCAAACTATATTTAATTTTTTCCAACATTAATTTTCACATAGAATTAAATTATTACATCCTTTTTCAATAAGTAGTGAATTATACAATATAAATAATATGAAACAAACAACACAATAATTTATGCAATAATACATTAGTATTGATATATAAATATTTTACTATTTATACATTTCTATCTTTTGGATCTTTATAGGGTAAATCTAAGATCTTAAAGATATCTTCTTCGCATGTAATTTTTTCAGGTTCTCCTGGGCAACCTGAAAATATACATATATTTCTTACATTTATGAAACATTTTAAATTGTTATACTTTTACATATTTTATTTTTCTTTTCAATTCTACCTTCAACTGTAAGAGATTTAAGTGCATATTCATTTAAAGTGTATTTCTTCTCTAATGCATGTGCTCTCATATTTTTGTTGAACAAATCACTTCCTGTGAAATACAGTATAGCACAATAATATTGATCATAAAATGTCAATCGTATGTCCAACCTCCTGAAAGGTTTATCCTCCGACAATTGACATACTCCCTACAAAAGCATTATAATTATAATTGAGATATATATATATATATATATATATATATATTGTGATCGAGTATCTAGAAGTATTTTGTTTCATTTTTCCAATACCATGTATTTAGTAGATCCAAGAGATATTGTATCTGTGATCAATTCTTTCTTTCAAGGCATTCAACAATTGTTTTCAATGATACAGCTTTCTTTTTCGCATCTTTTGCTTTTGATATATAATTAGGATGTGTGACAAGAACATCAATATCTCCACTTTCTTCTTTGCCTCGTCTGTAACTTCCACAAATAGTAACAAGATAATCATGATTAATTTCTTTGATAGCATCTTTTAGTATCTTTTCTATCTGTACAATTTCTGCTCTAGGTATTTTTTTCTCAAAGTCATCAAAATATCTAAAAGAATTTTATGTTAGTTAAAATGTCTCCAATTTGTGAATTGATTAGATTCATACTTCAATCCCAACTTTTGATGATGCGTGAGCTTGTTTTGATGTTTCTTAAGATCTTCTAATGTTTTGATGCCAGCATCTACTAATTCTTTGGCCTTGGCAGGACCTATGCCAGATACCCGAGCCAATAAACTAATAGCGATGTTATTTTCATCTTTTCTAATCTGAAAAAAATATAATGTGAAGATTTACACAAATGTAAATTTTTGTCTGTATTATTAAAACAACAAAACTAAAAATGATTCGAGTACATCTTCCAGTTTTTGCAGTTTTCCAGTTTGAAGAAATTCATCTATCTTCTTTGCAATTTTTACTCCTATACCAGGTAATTTCTTTGCTTCTTCCCCGCTGCAAACTTTCTCTGGTAAAGCGCTTAATGTTCCAGCTGCTTTGCGATACGCATTGTACTTGTAAACATTTTTACTGACATTACGCTCAAAATCTGCTAGTTCTGTAAATAGATATTGTTTGTATGCAATCACACATATTCTTTTATAATATAAGAAATAAGTAAAATTGGATTTCTTTTTTGAAAAAGTTAATTATTTATAACGTGATTATATAGGAAAGAGTATATTTATTACCCAATAAAAAGTCACATATTTCTTGATTTGGATTATTTGCGTTGTTCGTGGCTTTTCTTTTGCCCATTATGTAGGGAGAAATGCGAAACAAATTTCGAAATAATAATCGATTCAGTTTGTCACTTTTTAATTTTGCAAAATATCGTTATTCTGTGCCGGATGAGAGATTTGAAAGCTTATTTTGAAACACAATATTTTTTTTTTCAATTCTTGCAAAACTTCGCAGAGCATCGGCTACATCAGAATGAACCAATGACAGATGGCGTTAGTACATGCGCGCGGAATTATAAAGCATGTATATAATACGAATATTTAACTTTTTTACGATTAAAATAAATTGCATACTTGCATATATATTTTATATATATACAAATATTTTATAAGGTACATATAAATAAATTTATCAATTAAAATTTGCTGCAATAATGATATAAATCATATATAATATCAAAATAATACAATGTATAATAAAACATATTTTAACATAAAAATTATTTGTATATATGTATATAAAATTATTTATAACGATTTGTTTCAACATTTAACATTTATTTCAGGCAAATATGTATATATAGATCCGGAGAAATATAAATTGATCTACCTCTAAAAACAAACTCTTGCTCAACAATTCTTTCTTATATTTCTATATCTTACATGTATATATATGTAAATGTATATGGTATGATAAAATCTCTTATTTTTTCAACTAAAAGAAAGTACAATCGACTTATTTCTTTTATGATTTTCTTGGCATTATATGACGAAATTTTAAACAAACAGTGACAAAAGTCTCGTTAAAGTTTGGCATCATATTTACAAAATTCATAATAAAAGAGAATAATTCTAAGAAAAATCACTATATGCATTTAAGTACTTCTTGCACTATCCTGACTTTAAAGTTTAAAGAATAGCCAATTCAGGATGTCTAAATCAGGACAAACATATACTGTAATTGTATTAAACATTGTTGTAAGAAGTAATTCGCTATTTCCAATTTATCCAATTTCTTATAATAAAGAAATTTGCTAGTCACTTGAATTCATTCAAGCAGCGCAATGATATATTCCTAGAGCTGGCACTGTTGCTAAATAGAATATTATAAGTTTTGGCATTACCATATTATTCGACTGCATGGCGAATACATTAATTAAGATGGATATATCCATAATTTTAAAGAATTTAAAGAAATAAAATTTTTCTACAAATGTTTCTAAAACCCTGCTTCAGAAACTTAAGAGATTATGTAAAAAATATAAATTTCATTGAAATCACTGCAACTCATAATTTTTACTTATTTAAAAAAAAAGTAAGTAGTAAACTAATAAAAAATAAAAATCTAAAAAATGATTATATGGAGCCTCGTTTTTACTCGGAATATAAACAATATAAAGAAATAATATTGTCTGGACGGATCTTTGTATCTAAGTTACATCAAGTTAATTCATCATTTAAGCATGATATAAGTACTTTTGATTGTATGCTACTTTATACAGAAGGTATACGATTGTAAGTTGCATAGCTTTTCACGCAACAGCCTGAGACAAAAGAACAAGTGGCAAGTACAATGACCAATATAACAATAAATATATAAGCACGTAGCTGCGGAAATCTGCCTGGTAGCCATAAAATTGTGAACTCGACAGTTTTTTCTTGAGTATCTGTAATATATACACACATGTAATTGCCTATATATATTCTAGATAATTTAATTCTATACCTATGTATGCGAGTCCGTAACCCATATGTGGTGTACCCATTCTGTAAGAACAGGTCGGTATTTGTACTTCATGAATATCCCCTACATCCATTCTCAATTGATACAGAGGCGTTTCGTATGGCGGAAGAATCCAAATCTCGCTCAATTGATCTGTTGCTGTGTCTAGACTCACATGCATCGCTTTGTGCTCGTGTGCAGTAAAAATCACTTGCGGTGATAATTCTTTGATTACCTATAACAAATAGTGATGCAGTGTGAATAAGTAAAAAGTGTGTTATAAACTTTTTTGTTATCTTAATGCACATTACATTTTGCACAAAGCTGCCAGGCATAAACAACAGAGGCATATGACTAAGAATAACATTGGTCGTGTTTCTTTCTGCGTAATCATTAAGAAATGCATCCTTTGGCGCTTCTGGCATTGTACGCGTCAATCTATTGACCTATAATAAAATACATATATATACATATTTATTTCTTAATTAATATGCAAAGGTATATCTATTTATATATAAATTTCAGATTTACCTTGAAAAAAGTAACGGTTTTATAAACTAATGTATCTGGCTGAGTATATGCAAAATTGAATCTTTTATGAATGTTAGAAGAGACACGATCATCCTCACCTCCTATGTCATTATCCCCTGGTAAATAAATTTTCTAAAAAAAAAAAAGAAAGAATACATAAATTATTAGCAATAAGACATAAATTTTTTGTGAGAAGGAGAAAAGATATTATGTGATCAAAGTACCATTATATCTTCTGGCATTGAAAATATCGAATCCAACCTTCTCTTATATCTTTCAAAATCTTCTGCATTAGCTACATGACCTTCGTCCATAAGATCACCAAGAAAAGCAATAACATGTGGTTGAGAATATTTTACTGCTCTTGAGAAAGTTTTCTCTAAGTACCTGAAAGCACGATACAAGCTTTAGAACAAGACTGAGATTATTATAACATAGGTAAAATATAATAGAATCATACCTGTCGCTGTCCCATCTCGCTATCCATGAACCAAAATAATTCTCATATTTTTCCCCGAGTATTTGCGGGTCTGCAACGAGGAGCACCTTGACGCATTCAGAACACTCGCGCATAGCCCATTTGAACTTTTGCACTTCATATACAAGAAATTCATTGTAAAATATTGTCGCAAGAATGATGAAACCGATGGATATTATTCTATGTTTCAACCTGTTTAATACAATTTATTAATTATTTATTATAGTAGTTTCACTATTTATTACAATTAGATCCTCTTTTATATTGGCTCAATATATTTTTATTATTTAATTAATATATACATATATCTTCACATTACATTATTAATAATTTGTTGCAAATTTGTACTGACAAGTTTTTAATTTTATTTGAATAAGAAATTGATCAACAAAGAATAGCAATCATAATTTATAAATTAACAGACTCTCTCTATCTTTTGTATTATATTTCATTTACACTAAAAATGATTCAGTAAATCAAATTTTAATTTTAATTTAGTATTGACAATAATGTATTTCCAACATAGTTATTGGTAATTGTACTAAATAATTACCTATTTCGCCGTAACATCTCCGTGATTTACAACATTATACGACTGTGTATAAAATTAAATCTTCAATCCATTCATTAGCATATTACCGGCAATATTATTCGACTTGATAGCGTCGTTGGCACACAATGCGATTTTTTTCCTTAAGTAGCTTTAACCTGTTAAATTAATTATTTGACACAGACACCATTGTGTATATTTATGCGGAATAAATGCAATATATTTTCCTTCTTTAAGAAAGTATTTGTAATTCTAAAACAATTATCTGACACATCTTGACGTTTATTGATGTCAAGAATTGTTTACGTTATCTTTTTGTCTATGCAATAAAATGACATCACTTACTACTACAAGTGTTTTTATTGTTTCCTTTTCCAATCAATTCCATACTTAGCGTGGTCCATTAGCTTCTATTCTGGCTTCAGTTCGTTTATTTAGGTTAACTTTTATCCGACAAAAGTTATGCGATTACAAGGTGCGCCCGATAAACTTCGGAAACATAATTCGTTATCGTATCACTAATATTGATCCCTGAGATCTGTCAAAGTAAACTTCGCGTTTGATTCATATCAGTAAAATAACGAAATTAAAACGAAACGTTCAACAAACGTGAATGCGTCATACTATATTTAAAACTATATATATATATATATATATACGATATATTACATATATTATATATTTACATATCTATAGATATATTACATATATACATATTTTTTAAAATTTATATTTATATTTTATTTCTATTTATAAATTATATTTATATTTATATATTATTTATTTATTTATATTTATATTATATTCTTTTATTTATTTACATTATATTTATTAAAATGTCTGTTTATATATTTCCTGAAATAAAAATCAGGAAATATAGACATACATTTTTATTCGATGCAATTAAATCTTGAAATTGAATGCATATTTCATATTGCGCAGCTAGATTCACACATTCCATTCTGGGAATAATCTGGGGGCTGGGGCCCCCGAGTCTGAAGCGCCGGCCCTAGGCTGCTACATATGTCAAATGTTTACATGCGTCGTTCGCGGCTCGCTTCCGCCCATCCAGTACACCTACGCGCTTCATGGATTCGTTTCGAGGCTCTGGAGAAGGATAACGACGACGTAAAGAAAAAGCGTGCTTTTACGGGAACGCGGCGACGTCGTCGAAGAGTGTCTCGGCGCGAAAATGGGTAGCTTCGCGAGTAGAATCGCGTCGATGTCCAATACAGCTGTTCACAATGTGTATCGTGGCTGCAAGCGCAAGTACATCGAGGAATACGACTGCGATTCCGAGTCCGATTACATTGAACGAACGCTGCATACACCGAAAAAGTAAGATAATCTCGCTTTGAATTTTCCCCATTTTTTTTGTTCCCCGTCTGTCGACAGTTTCGCGGGGTTATACCTCGATATCGTAATGTCATTTCATATTTTATCGCATAGTGAATATGTCCTCTTTGCAGGAGAAAATTGCTCACGACGGCACAGTACATATACAAAACTCTGTTCCAAGAAGAGAAAGGCAGTGACATAACTGTATTCATACTGGGAAGAGCATGGAGATTACATAAAGTTTATATTAGTCAGGTATGACTCACACAGGCGCGCGCATTCTCCACATGCACACGATACAACACATGTATATGTTTGACCCTGTTTTAATTTTCCTTTTATAAATGTAACATTTCAATAACAGATTCTTTCATTAATTTTGCGATGCACATTTTTGCTTATATAAATATATGCAATATATATTTTAGTAATTATATAAATATAAAAAATATAAACTACACAAGTATCAAATTTAATTGTTAGAATAAAATCTATTCGAGAAATTAAGTCTTGTTTGCAAAAATTTATGCACTTTACAACTACTAAATACTTTTGTTGCAAAATTTTAGAAAAACAATTCCAAATTGATACAAAACATCTGTTATTTTGATTATATTTTATATAGTTCTAATGCAAGATTATTTAAAAAATGTATATTTTTTCTTTGCAGAGTCCATACTTTGCTAGCATGTTTTCTGGTTCTTGGAGAGAGACTAATGAGAAAGTCATTAATGTAGAAATCACAGATCCTAACATTACAATGAATTGTAAGAATATACATATTACCTATTATAGTTTAATTAAATATACAGACAGTTACTCTTACATATTGTATCAAAAATTTAAGAATTATACAAATATTATCTGAAAGAATATTTACAATTGTTTCAGCATTGTCTACGGTCTTAGGTTCGCTCTATCAAGACGAAGTCATTTTGGAGCCAAAAGAAGTTATTTCTATTTGGCAACATCTGTTCTGTTTCAATTGCAAGGCTTAATAGACGAGTGTGCGGACATTATGATAGAAACTACAAATAGTGAGACTGTTGTGCCATATTATAATGCAGCTGTGTCATATGGCGTACCTACTGTGAAAGCAGCTGCGAAACGATGGTTGGAAGTCAATCTATTGAATTATGGATGGCAACATCCTCCTTTTTTAAAAGAAATTACACCAGACTTAATGGCGGAATTAGTTGCCAGTCCTGATTTAGTTGTCTTGCAAACAGAATTTTGCATATATCTTATGTTGCGCATATGGTAAGTTTATAAGTGTCTATAGATATTTTATTCAATTTCGAAAAATGTCGAATAAACATTAAAATTGCATTTATGGTATATATACATTTTTGTATTGTCATGTAGGTTATTTGCGCATGTACATGATTATGATGATTCATTGAAAATTGACGATTATTTTAAAAATCACAAGTGGACGGAACCATTTCTAACGACTGATGAGGGAAAAGAGTACGCAACACCCTTCAAGGCATTAAAGATGAAATATTTGCTTTTACACGAACAAGATGACAAGATCTTGTATAATGATAATTTAATACCACCAGATTGGTTGTACAATGCTTATAGAGAACAGTGGCATCATTTATTAAGAGTTGATGGAAATTTAGATAGAGGGTAAGCTTAAAGTTAAATATTACAATTAAATTTTTTAAAAATAAATTTAGATAAAAACTAGATTATTTATTTATTTATTTATTTTTTTTATATATAGTCCAATGCAGATGACGGAAGAAGAATTTTCAAAGGAATGCTTTCGATGTGGGAGATGTGTCGAAAAACCAGGCGAACATACTTGGAGATGGAAAGCATTCCATTATGGACTGGACTTGGTAATGACTGTTGACACAACTGGCTTGCGCATTATGAGAAATCATAGAGCAGACACAGAACATATTAAAGCCAATCATAAAGAACATAAAATTCTAATAAAGTAAGCTTGTAATTATCTTTGCTTGAATTTAAAAACAAATTTTAGATTAAGAGTAATAACAAAAATATGAAATTTTTCAATTTTAGAGTCTGTTTATTTTCATTGGACGAGCAACGTCAAGTAAAGCATGTTCAAAATTCGGGTATGCTAAGATTACGTTTGAAGAAGAATACAGAAGTAAGTTACCATTTCAAGATCAATTATGTAATATAATTTACATAAGATTATGTAATATAATATGTAATTTTTGCAATAGCACATCTTTTTTCAGCACGAGATAATGTCTTTGGACAAGCAGCTAACTTACCCCCTGTACATATCAGTCAATATGCAACTAGTCACACCACTCTCATTAGAAGAAGAAAAGACGTCGGTCGACGTCGTGCTTTCGGATACTTAGCATTTCAAGAATGTAACACTTTATGAATATGTAAAGGTAAAACATGTCGAATTTTCCATCAGTAATGCTTTGTAACATATTCCATTTGATTACGAATGTTGGATAAATTCGTAGACACATGTTACTATTTGGCACAACACTTAAGTAGCAAGAGAATCAAGAGATACAGATTCTTAGTAGAGATCAAATTCTTTCTCTTGCAGTGATATACAGGATCCATTTTTACTGTACTAGTCTTTTATACTAGGATTACTAGTTTATTATTAATCTTAACAAATTCTTTTTAGTTTAATGACTGACAATTTTTCAAGCAAAAATATCCTAATCAAGGAATTAACGTTACTATCAAGTATAATTAATAGTTGAAAATATAAAAGAAAATGTTTTAAAAATTTGGGAATAAAATAGATACAATTATATTTCTTAATTTATTTTGAGTAAACTATAATAGAATTTTAATTTTGGTTTTTGTTATGAAGATGTACATATAATGTGCATAATTTTAGAGATTGGAATATTGTGATAAATAATTATATGGTATTTTTGCTAAGGAAAAATCAATTCTCCGAATTGGTTAAAGAATTTATCACCAAAAACACGGTAGAAATGGAACATTCTGTATATACTTTTATATCAATGTATATTGGATTTGATATAATTGATGCATTTGTATTAATTATGACGATCATTCCAACAACTGACAAGAGCCTTTCCCTCCCCCTGTCATTAGATAGATTTAATCTTTTCCTCTAATCATTCCTGAGCATGTTTCTTTAGACTGAATAAAATTGCATTAATGATAATTTAGTAGATTAGATACATTGCATAATAAGAGAATTCTCTGTTTGCTCCTTTAATACTTTAATACTTTTTTAATACTTGACTTATTTTTTGTGTAACTTTAGAGTGTGAAAAATAGTTATATAATTAGAGTAGGTATTATAGAAAATGATTAATTTTTCTTTTTCGGTGCTTATTAACAAATTGTAATAATTTGATTTCTGTATTATTTTTTAGAGACAAATATTAAAAGACAATGTGATAAATAAATGACATTGTCAATTGAAAACGGAAAAAAGCGCTTTTAAACGCTTTTATTAAGTTGAAAGTTACAAATAAGCAAAGTCATGTCTCTGTATAAACACACATTTTTATTAATAGTTTATAGAGGAGAGTAATTTATTTTTTTGATTGCACCATTAAATTATTTTGTTTGTAAAACTGTTTAGATACCACAAGGGGTTATTGCAATATTAAACATTTTTTAATGTATTTAAGAAGCTATATTTATATACGCGTAAATTATATATATTTATAAGAAAATTTAAAAAACTTGGAAATATTTTTCTCCATGGTTTATATTTTTTATTTGTCATAGTTTATATTCTTTATTTGTTCAATTGAAAAAAAGTATATTTCATTAATTAAATAACACGCATTATGCAAAAAAGAGCGACTGATTGAGCACTTTCCTGTCTTCCCAGTAAAGAGTTTTTTCGGATATATATTGTAGTGCCTTTTCCATATCTATCTACTTAAAGAGAAACTAATGCGTATAAGCAAATTAACTTTTATATTATGCATAGAACGATAACTTTTGTAGACGTTTTTTTTTGTAAAAATATTCTCTTATTGCAACAATCTTTCGGTAAGATTATAATAAATTTGATAGATACATGTAGTTTATGGGATTTTTCTCATATACCTACTCAACTCATATCCTTACCTTCTTAAAATAATCTTTTCAACATGTGCAATTCAAGTTTAAATAATCAATTTTAAATAATAATTTAATTTTAATGTTAATTGTTTTAGTGTGACAATTACTTTAATTGATTCCTGTATAAAAATTTCAGAATTGAATATTTTATTTCACACAAACCAATTATTTATTAGCCTTCAGAGAAATTCTTATACGACATTGTAATTGCTCGCTAAAAAAAAACGGGTTATTATGAAGATTTGTAAAGAAATACGCCTTGTTAATCGCTCAACACTTTATTATTGGCAGAATACTCTTTCTTTCTCTTTCTGTACAGAATATATGATATTGTAATGTTACATTTGTGTATACGCGATACACACAACGAACATTACGATTTAATGTGATTTGATACAGGCATTCTTTTGACATGTGTTACAGACAATAAAAGGCGTTCTATGAAAAATGTCATAGAATCTTGCGATTTTATTACGACGATCATCAATCTCTTTGATCATATTATTAAAGTAAATCTTAATTGACGCATTAATATGGGAAATAATTTTCACGTAATTTCGAGTGATGTAATTTCAGTAGAAAATGTACGCTATCGTAGTTTGAAAATAGTGATTTATAAATTGAAATATTTTCATATAATAATATAATAGTAATATATTTTTTATATCACACAATAATATAATATTATAATATTATATTTTATAATATAATATAATAATATAATATAATATATTTTTTATATTACAATATTTTATTAATGTAAGAGCTACATATCGCTATTTTCAAAATATGACAGCATTTTATTATCGATATAAGTTATATTATAGCATCGTTTTCTTTAGTCATTAAAGTATCACGTGTGATAGATATAATACAAAGAAGCAGATTTTATGCTTGCAATATTTTTCTATTTAGAAAAGATTATAAAATTAATTTGAATAGGTCACACATGTAAGAGCAATTAATATACTCATTTATTTCGCGCAAAAAATATATAAATGTCACAAGCATATGGCTACAATAATATAAGAGATTATAAGAAGAGATTGAAAATTGAACAAATCATATCAAGAAATTAAGACAGTTGCAAAAATCCGATAATGAATTTAAAAAATGTAGAATATAGAAGCAGGATATATATATACATATATACATACACATATTTCATAATTGCGTGAAATTTTACATATACGAGACATTTGGATATTCAACATATGCTTGCAATAAGATCGTCATTTTCGAGTCATTCTTGAGAAATAATGTATTTTCATGTCAAAAGAATGCTAGTCAATCTCAACAACAATAACTCCAAATTTTTTTTTTAATTATGGAGTCGCAATATTTCCAATGACATGGAATAAAATCACTCGTCTTGAAACGACAGGGGAGATGAAAGAGAAAGCGTTGGAAGAAGGTAAAGTTTTTTTTACTATCAAATTTGCTAATTTATATAACGAAAATTGTTTCTAGTCTTAAATATAGAGCATTGCGGTCAATACTAAAAGCATGTGATTTTACATTTAATTTATAATCTTCGATAGCATCAAAATTTCAATCATTTACTCCGACTTCGTATCCATTTCAACATTTTTTTTCCTTTTTCCACCCTTTTCTCTCTCTTTATTTCTCCTGTCGTTTCCAGTCTTAACAATACCATCACGTCCATCAAAAGATTGTTGCCATTTGTCCTCTAACAATAATAATTATCAGCAGTATTATTTATATAACAACGGGTCGCGTTAATGTATACGTACTAACAATAACTATAATAGTAATAATAATAGTAGCGGTGGTAATAGTAATTATAATAGTATAACGATTGTTATTAATGGCGACGACGGGTGATGGACAGCAGCAATAGTGACGATCACTTTTGTAATACTACTCTGTAATACTGTGATGTAGTTTATATTGATAAAGCACGCTATTTCTCTCTTTCTCACTTAGATTAATTTTTTTTATCGAAAAAAACCTAAACTAAAAAATCTATTATCTTCCTCGTTATTGCTCGCTCGTCATTTGCTTATATCGCACATTGCTGTATTTTTTTTTTATCATTATTACTATTATTATTAGCATTAGTATTATATAGTGTTCGATCACTATTAGTACAAGCACATGTAGCAGTAATCGAAAAATGAAATAGGTTTATCTTGTTAAAAATGTAATTGTGGGCATGAATGAATTTCTATGAGCTGTGATAAGGAATGTGATTTTTGTAACGAGTTGACAGATTGAGAAAAAAAATTCTTTTTAAATGTCGACATTATTTCAGCTTTTTCGATCAGGAATAACAATGATCGACACAAATTCGCTTATTGCCGAACACCCTGTATTTACCTTCTTACTTTTCGTCGTCCGTGAGCAAAAAAGGAGAGCAACGAATTATATTAAGGGCCGGTTTTTTCAATGTCAGTCAATTTATTTGATCTCTCTGTGTATATTTATTATGAGCAGTATGCTGTACAATCTAAAAAGAGAGAGATAAAGGAGATTTATCCGTTAGATAAATTATAGCGGAGATTTTACATATACCCAAAGGTGCAACAACCGGCCCTAATCGAGTTTAGCGTTCCGCTCAATTATTATCAATTATTATTGCACAGACACATGCACACATACAATCAGCCATGTATCGTCATCACACATATATATATGCACATACGCATACAAATGGCGGTTATTGTACGCTCAGGTGACTCAAAAATTGCTTATTTGCTTAAACTGCACTTATTGCAAACTTTTGCGAAACACGCGAATAATCGTGGACGCGATGGTGGATTTTCAACCCTTACTAGAGCTAAATGCGAGGTTTCTCTCGGCATATCGTCGATATGTTATGTCCCGTTCTTTACATAGCGCTACTTTAAGATGTTAAGGTATAGTGTTTTACCTTAAATCGGTTTAAGGAGATGTTTTACATCCATTCAGATTTTACTTCAGTTTAATTAGAGAACTCTTGATTTAACATCAAGTGTTTCAAGTCAAATAATTGATATTTTGGAATAAACATAATGATTTTTTAAAAATTAATAAATTTTTAATATTCTATAGTAATTATTAATTTTGTTATACATATATATTTTAAAAAACTGGCAAGAGAAATAATAATAAAAATTATATGTCATAAAAATAATAATATATATCTATAAAAAATAATTATACTATAAAATTACATGATATAATATTAAATATTATATATAATAGAAATAAGTCCATTAAAAAAATTTAATTAAATAATAATACGTGAGAGAGAGAGAGAGAATATTGAAGTAGACTGAACGAATGCAACGAGTGCATCCTGCATATATACATATATGCCGTTTCATCATAAACGCTACATGACATATTGCACTTCTAGAAATAAGCAGGTCTATCAATCTCGCGTGCAATTCCATTTCGGCTTTGTTCCAACAACAAAATATATATTTTTTTTATTTTGCGTGCATTATACGTACATCGTAATTATGCATACACACATACATACAGAAACATTGCATTCATGCACAAACACACATTTATGCTGAGTAGTAGCAGGCGGGGTGCGAAATGTGTCGCGATGCCGCTACTTTGTTACTTTACTTTATCGTGTGTGTGTGAGATTTTTTTTTGTTATACTAATCATAATTCCTTCGTAAGAGGTACCTGTCTCTTTTCCTACCCTTCTTAGTTTCGATAATACACTTGTCGTGCAAGAAAATAGGTCGGTCCTATAAAAAGGTGAGCAAATCAACAAGAATCGATAGGAATGCATTTTACGAAAGTTTATAAATTTAAAGTTTACAAATCTTTTTTATAAAATTTAGAACCCTCACGATGTATGTGAAAAAAATAATTGCACGTTACTTAAACACGTGTGAATAATAAAATTTCGTAAATTAAGAGGTATTTTCAAAAAATTAAATTTCTAATCGATTCCTCTTAATCTACTTGAGCAAAAAATATCCGCAGAAGTTCTCTATTCGACACTTGGTTGAGCCGACATTGCAAAAAATCACGCGACAAGTGCGATATCAGCGAAAGACACGAAAGACACCGATTTTCTTTTTACGCATAGATAGGCCGCGTTTATCTTTTTTTTTCTCTTACTTTTTCTTTTTTTCGCGAAGATATGTACTACTGAAAGTGTTGCCTTCGCGTATCTGGCAGTTATCACCGTTACGCTATATTATAATCCGGCTATTTTTTGCAGACCGTTCGCAGCCTAAGACACTGTCGAGGAGTCGATTAAATCTACCCGATTACTACCTATGAGATTAAAAATTTCCCTAAGATGTTCACTATGTCTTTCGAGAGACATGCCATATTATTCCAGTGAATCCTTTGAGAGAAAACCGTGGCGCAAATGTATGATAATTCTTTGTCTTTGATGAGAAGCGAGAAGTCCAAGATTTTATATTTGTTTGGTGAAATATATTTATATCGCTTGTAACTGACTAAGAAAATAAATTTTATACGTAACAGAATAAAGTGAGTCGAATGTATACATTTACAAATTATAGTAATTGTTCATGTTTTAATAAAAACTTGCTAGATTAATATAAATAATTTGTATTATCTTGAAATGAAAGTTGTTTAAATAGATAGATTATATGTAGATATATTTATATTTTATAGATATAAGTTCCAACTTGACATTTATGTCTCCATATTTTTTGATCTTCCATGACAGTTATCTACGATTGCATATTTCTTTTTTTATTTTTATATTTTTTTGAAGAAATAAATCACTTGTCTTTAAACTTTATCGCAGAAAAAAAACTAACAAGGATAATTGTTTGCTCGATCTGTCTCAATAAGACTACATACTATATCATTAATTTGGATTGTATTATTTATCTCATGGATATAGTTTACCGTTCGTAGCTTGATTGATATTAGAATTATGTAACATATACAGAATATCCGATATTCTTGAATATTACTCAATATTAATTGCATATCCTTTCGAATCGAATTTCAGTTTATCAAAATTGTAAAAGAATCTCAAGAATAATAAAAAAAGAGAAAGAAGAATAAAAGGAGCTGTAGAAAAGAAAATGATAAAAAATTGCACTTTTTTCCTTAAGGCTTTTGCAATACGTATGCGCGCGAAAAATTAAAAAGATTCCTGAAAAGTAGGGAAAGTGATTCGTTGTATAGCATTCAGACAGAAAGAGGGAAAAATTCGATAGCTGAAATTCTAGCAAAATATTCGTGGAAGCGATCATATCGTTTGACCATCGGTTCAATTAGGCCGGGAGACTAAGATTAGGCTAAAAATAGCATTTTTTCCTCGTTCCTCTATCATCCCTCGAATCGGGGAAACCGTCTGGCGAAATTGACTGTAATCTTGCGTATCTCGATATACGAACGGTCCGTTTGTTATTAGCGGCTGGCTGGATTGACTCGGGTGACTCGGTTGGACACGATGAATCGTTAGGCAGAATTGGGCTGGCGAGAGACAGGAGGGCACGACAGGAGCAGACTCGGTATCGCCAGAACGGCGGTCAGGAGGGACGCCAATGGCAGTAAGGACGGCGTGCGGAGACTCTCGACGGAGTTGCAGAGATCACCAGTGCACGAGCAATATTTCGCGCGCACGTCGTGGGTGCCGGTCCTCTTAAGGCACTCGCCGTTGTCCGTGTCATGCGTGAGGTAGCCGCAGCTTCGGACGACTCTCACCTTGCCGTATACTGCAACAATACGTATCACGGGGGATTGTTCTCTGCTAATTAAGGGGAGGTTCTAGTCTAAAGGCCCGAAAATTAACGTAATTTCAGGAATTTTTTTTGAGCAAACGTAAATCTTTTTTGAAAAAAACTGTTTGTGGCATTTATTAGTACATATTTGACGAATCATACAAAATTTTGTCGAGCAAAAATAATTAAAAATGGTGGCTCCAGCCCTCACTGAAGAAAGCGCGGCGATAGTGAATGTGCGCGAAGCACTCTACAGCCCTGCCAAGTGATTTGAAACGAAAAAACGAAAAATATTCTTAAACTAGATGAAATTCGGGGGGCCTTATAAATTTCCGATTTTTAAAAAACCCTTTTAAAAAAATGGCGGCCATTTGAAAAAAAAACCTGTTTTTCCTATTTTTTTGGCTTTAACGTTAAAAAAAAAGATTAAAAATTTTTTTTTTGAAAAAAACGCTTCCTGAAGGCCCCCTAAATTGAATAAGCTTTAATTTGAGCCGTCAAACATCGAAATCGGTTCAGTCGTTGAAGCGGAATCGTGCTTCGCGCGCAAAAAAAAAGGTGTTTCGAGAAAAACGCGTTTAAAGTTTGACAAAGAAAGATAAATAAATAAATAAATTAGATATGAAAATATCCTTTTGCCTACACATTTTCAAGACCCAAAGAATGAAAATAAAGCAACAAAAAAAATTTTTTTTTGATCGATTTTGACCAGAACCTCCCCTTAATCATTCCTTTCACCATTTCAAGCTGTCTCAAACAGCACGCATGTCTTATTCTTAACGTCTTTTTAATATGTGTGCTGTTAGGGATGTATTTAGATTTTGATATTTTTTTAGAATAAAAATGCGCATAACCATAGGACGTTTGGACTTTTGAATAAACACTGGAATTTATTTGCATATTTAATATGAAAAAATGAAAATAAAAAGGAACAATATATAAGTATAAAAGATTAAAGGAGAACAAGAAATATAAAACAAAAGAATATTTTAATTATGCTCCCCCTTTGGGGAAAATCCTGCGGAAGCACATGTATACATATATGGCTGATAATTGCATTCTGCTGCAATTAATTAACACAAAATGAAAATAAGAAACAATATATATATAAAATTAAAGGAGAACAAGAAATATGAAACAAAAGAATATTTTAATCATATGTTCCCTCTTAGAAAAAATCCTGCGGACGCACATGCATATATGACTGATAATTGCATTCTGCTGCAATAAACACAGCTACACAACAAGTTTGTTACATTACTATTGTTATTTGTAAAATATGTAGGATATTGCGGGTTTATTAATGATAAATAGAATCATAATTGTAATCAATATATAAATTATATTTGTTAAATAACAATCTATAGAGATGCAACTGCAATTTCTCGTGGTTTTTGGAAACGATTATTAACAATTAAATATAAAATTGCTAAAATATATACTATATTTGAGATATAATTGAAATATTTTTGATAGAATTTAATTACATTTTGTATAGAATATACAATTGCGGAAACAAAGCTTTATCTAAGAGTGGCCTCACCTTTTTGACTGATTTTTCGGCAAAGAGTAGGTTCTAAATGACTGAGATGTTCCAAGCGAGGTTGGAAGCTGCAGTTCACAGTTCCCAGACTGTACGGATCGAACGGGTCGCCGCATCTCGGGTCGTACTCGCTGTTGCATTGATAACAAATTATCGCCTCACCTGAGATAAAAAAGAAAACCGATTAAAATAGTTTCTCCCGAAAACTTTAAAATTCCGAAAAGTTTCTAGAGTTTCTAAGGCATACTTTGACACATGCAATAAATGTAAAGTGCGCATATATTTTCCTTATGCACTGTAAAAATGTATATAATATTACATTAAAAATATATGTAAAATTACATAAATAATAGATGTAAAATTACATGATAAATAATGAAAAGATGTCGGTATATATCTTCATTATTTATCGTGCAATTTTAAATCTATTATTTATGTAATTTTACATATTATTTTATGTAATACGTTACACATGTTTTTACAGAGTGCAATTATATAAAGATCGCGCGTCGGAATGCCAGCAGACTATTTTACATATACATGTGTTTGAAATTCCAATAATTAAAAATAGCAATTTTAAAAATTTGCGATTTGATCGTATGTATATATGATAGGTTCGAGACAGGATATCAGACTCGAGCGCGTCGATCGGGGAAAGGTCTGGTTCACGTTTTCTCGCCCTTCTGATGACGTAACGCTGCACGCGCACCCGTTGCATCCCACGACTACGGAACTAGGCTGATACGGCGCCAGCTGATATCGAACAGGCAAGGCACGCGATGACCTACACTCAGCTGTGTCGTGGATCGATACGAAGAAACCGAATTTTATAACCAGGTATAAAATTAGGCGATTAGAAGGAGAATGGATGAGCGACATGAGTAAGTCAATTGCACGTTTTACTTCGAGTATCTATGATTGTGACCTCACAAATTTGCCAAATATTAATCCTTCATTTTCTTTGTACACCTCTATACATTTTTCCCTCTTAATCTTTACATTTTTTATGTATTTTTTAAAATATTTTTTTTATATTTTACTATTTATTTCTGTATTATTTCTTATCGTAATATTTGTTATAATTTTATTTCCGGACAAGTATATTCCTAAAGTACGAAATAAAATATTACTACTACTCTTACGTAATTTATTCCTATTACACGCGATTTTACTTGAATTTATTTTATATATACTTTATTACAATAGATAATATATAAAACGTGTATAAAAATAAAATTTATTTTTATTCAAGCTACTTTTGTAAAAGAGTTGAATAAAATTAGGAAATTTGCTGACGATGAATTAAATATATTATTAATGATATCTAAACATGTCAGAGGATAAAACATTATCGTTAATCTCAATCGAATTTTGATCGTAATAATAGACAGTATTGTACTTTCACTCTAATAATGTATAATTTATATATTTACAATCGAAGTTATATAATTTTCTCAATTCGCATTATTGCCTCTACATTAACGATAAATTTTTTATGAACAAGAATCGAGGAAACTATATAAACACTATAAGCATATATAGACAAACTAGCAGAAAATATTCTTATCTAGAAAAGCAATCTATATATTTTGGAAAAAGAAAGCATATATATATATATATATATATATATATCTTATTAATATATCTTATAAATATGATATACGAGATAATGTAGATAAAAAATAAGAAATAATGTGATAATTAGGAGAAAAGGGAGATTACGCACAAGACTATACTGAATACTCAGAAAGGGATGAGGAAAAAAGGGGAAGAGGGTGAATGAGAGGAAAGGGGTCGGAGAAGGAGAAAGTGGGTCGCTCGATAACTTTCACAACGGTAGCTTTCGTAGACGCTATCCTAAATTTCAACAAATTGTCGGAAATAGCGCACTTAACCGCGATGTATCAAATTGCGGATTGCCGATGCCAATTACTCTCATATATCGGCAACTGCTTCGATCGGCGCGAATGGAAAAAAAATCGGACGTCGCGTTAAGCATCTTCCGATCCCTGTTCGCGAGAAAAAAATTGAGAGAGAAGCGGAATTTTTAATTTGAAAAAAAAAAAATAACTCAATCGTGTATATTGAATCGATCGCGCGTGATAAAGTTCGCCCGAATATCGAATATCGAAGAAAGTGACGTCATCGCGCTATTACTCTCCGTTGTGTCTCCATTTTTCGTCCGAAAACTTTCACCTTTACTACGATAAGGTCGTCAACATTGTAGATAAGGTTTGTTAAGAAGATAGCGAGACGTCCGGCTTATTTTGCACTATCAAAGGAAACGAATTTATCTATTTCCCGGGTTTGACTTTTCCGCTTTCGCACTCGCCGGACACGTATCGACAACGTCAGCTGAGAAAAATGCGATTAAAGCTCGACGATTCGTTCGATCGAGGTCGTGAATTTAATACCAAACAATGAAATCTAGCTGGACAATAACTGGCTTAATTTAAAAAAAAAAATTAATTGTTGTTTAATTTCCAACGTTAAGTGACTCTGCAAACAATTTTTCTCATTTTGGCAAAGATGCATAAGCGAATTATTTTGTTAAAATGTTTAATGCGTAATTTTGCAATCATTTTTTTGTCACAAAAAGCAAAATTTTTATTTCACGATAATTAAATAAATTGCAGCTCAAAAGCTCGGATAAATGCATAAAAAAATAACTATTACTTTTTTCAATTTATTTTCGTGCGATTTGAAACGATTATTCGGTGGCTCTGTGAATAAATTTGTAGCTTATGCCGAATGTGGAGATATATAGTATAGTTTTACGATATTTTTTCACGATAATAAAATTCAATCCGACAATATCACGCCTCGCTTATTTAATCCGAGATCCGAATCTCGAAGTACCACAAGTGCTACTGTTGTAAGAATTCGCCGATTGGTTTTTCACTGGCCGTAATACCGCGTATAATGCTAATATCGTTAAATAATGTCGCAAATCGATGCATAAAGTGAGAAAAGAAATAGATGAGAGATCAACTATGCCTTAAAAAATAGAGAATCGAGAAAGAGTTAATTTCTACGAAAACCAAACTCTACTCTTAAAATAAGGAATCAGTTTCTCTCAAACTTTTGATAGTCATGTCTTTTTCAAATACTTAGAAATATGTTTAATCGAATGCCAAATAGGAGAAATGAATTTATCTTGAAGTAAGAAGACGTAAGGAATTGTTAAAAAATGAATCTATATCTTGAAGTAAGTTGTAAAGAATTTATCAATAATATAAAGGACTTATCTTTTTTTAATCTGCTAGATTGCTCTTTGTAAAAAATAAAATAAATTGATAGAAATAAAAAGAAATTAAAGCCAATTCTCTTTTTCATCAGAAACAATTTAGAAACTTCGAACCGAGAAGTTGGTATAGTTGCTCCTTTAAATGACCTCCTGTTTTACTTATGTAATAATGCTGAGTTCAAATCTTTGCGTAACAATTTCCAATTCTTTATAGCAATACATATTCGCGATAATATCGTTTAAAATAAATGATACTATTTTATATAATTATGTATAAGTAATTTAACTTGCGTGCAGAGTGAAATTGAAAAGATACTTATTAGCTTATTTAACTGCAAAGTAAAATTTAAATGAAATATGCAGCAGGTATAATGTAAATTTGTAAATCGTTACATTGATAGCGTATTGCAAAGAGATATTTTTTTCCAAGAAATTGCAAACATCTTATAAATCCACTTTGAAGATTTGTTTTTACAGGAATCAATTTCTTTCGATACATTTAATTCGTCAAATATATTAAGCTTGCAACGCGTTTTCACTTTTGCATGCACTTTTATATTTCTCGCGAGCTTGGAACAAGCAAAAAGAAAAGAAAAGATTTGAAGATGTTATTTCCCGAATGATACAAGACGTTGTAAAGACATCTAAAAGACACACTCCATTGAGACATTCTTTAAACGTTTTTCAGATAACGCCAGGTCTATAAGACTTCGTAAAGATGTCTAAGAGATATTTAAACATCTTTTAAACATTCTTTTCGTAAGTTTAAAACATCTATAAAAGAACCTGCAATTTCTCGGATATTTTTTAACTCTTTACAATCGTAACTTCTTCGCTAAATTGGAGAATGCACAATTTAACGAGAAAAAAATTATCTCGTTATAATCTTTATAAAATTTTGCATATGACAAAAAATGATAATTAATTATATTAATGTAAAAAAATATGTAATATATTACATGAAAATGTGAAAAATTGCATAAATAATAAGTGTAATTTTACATATTTTTGAAGACGGGAAAGACTTTACATCCGAAATTAATTGAAATCGCAAAGATTTGAGTATTTCTTTCTTTTTTTTTTTAGATTTTTGTGTTGTACGAATTTTGCCAAGTCACCAAACAAGATATAAGAGATTTCCCTTATTCGTCTAGACGGTGCATTCACGGCGATAACTTTCCCTGTTATCAGCTCTTCGCCGCATTGCGCCGTATATACGTATATTTTCTACGACTTGCGAATAAAATGACCGAGGTCGTATTTTATCGATCGTTCCGGCGTTTTAGGAGACGATATTCGCAAATGACAAATTCCAATTATCGTCCAATTAATTAATACGTATTGAGAATATATGGGAATGTTCTATTCAACTCGCGCGCGAGGATACTTCGATGTTCGAACTCGTTACTCACAAACTTTTCGTTCAAATTTCCTATGCGAACTTTCAAGTGCTTCTCTATTGTACTAACAACTATATGTACATTTTCCTGGAAAATGTGCCAATGAAAACTAACGCGACTAGTCGCGACTCTAGAAGCTCGTGAGAAAAAATATTCAAATTTTTCATACATTCTTTTGCACAATATTAAGAAAAAAGTTTTGTGTAGACATTTAAAATTGTATAATGACTGCAAAAAAATGCATTTAGAGTACCTAATTTATTATCATGTCAAGTACAAAGGCATTTATAATTGTATCAATTTTTTAAACAATTATAATAGCTTGTGTGAGATAAAAATAAGCATAAAATTATTTGCTTACATATTTTTACAGTGCTTCGAATAAAAAAAGCTACTATACTGTTATACTACTTTATTCCCGCATTTTATATCCATGGTGAATTGTAAATCTAAGGAATCGAGGGGAAAAACATTTTTATATATAATTATATATAAATAATTGTATAATTATACCATATAATCGTAAATCTATCTGTGAAATATGTCCATTTTTATACATAATTATATAAATTTATATAAAAATTATAAGGGTTCATATATATAATCGTGCCAAATTATATATGAAACATATATTTATATATATGAAGAAATACTTAATTATTGTATATAATTATATAAAATATAATACTTAATTATTATATATATTTTTATATTTAATATATATATATATATATATTTTTATATAAAAAGCACTTTCATCTAATTATGTATGGACATATTTGATATATAATTTTGCAGTTATGTGTATAATTTTCTATATTTCTATATATAATTTGATATTGTTATATATAAAAATGTTGTTCCCGGGTTGCTTTCGCGCGCGTACAAAGAGCTAAATTTTTGATATCCGATTTCGTTCCTTCTCCTTTCGCGCCAACTGAAACGATCATCATCGGATAGAGGCTCTCTCGCTCCGACAATAATCGCGCTCCTTGAAAGAGGATCGATCCGCTAGTATATAAATTCCCAGGAACCGCGAACTGGTGAGTCCGCGATCGGCACTCACCGCGATCGAAAGTCGCCGCCAGGACGAGGACGAAGCCGATGATCGGCGCGGCTCGACTCGCGATCATGGTCATCGCCGTCGTGATCGCCGGACCATGTGCTCTAATCGCGCCGGATCCGCGGTCGTCGCATGGAAGTCGAACGAGCACGTCGTCTGGGGGAGTGCGGTTCCGTCGTCGTCGTCGTCGTCGTCGTCGCCGGGGAGAAAGGATTAGGCAGTGTGGAGTGAGCGTATTTTAATACGGAGATTTAATTCGCGTCCGCAACCGGGATGAGAGAGAGACTCTCCTTTTCAGGGACGGTGGTTCGTTCTCGGGCTCTCGCGCGCTCCGTTCGCCACTTTGCCCGGACGCATAGCAACTGACGCGCGATATCCGACCGTGTCAGAGTTTCCCTCTCGGCCTCGGCTCGCTCGGCGCACTCTATATCTCCGCGCACTATGCGGCAGATTCCACCCCTATCCACCCTCTCTCCTTCGCTTCTTCCCTCCGTCCTGAGAGACGCATACAGACTACCCTTTCTTGTCGCAGCGAGATTCCGAAAGTGCACTTTCGAGAAAGCGCACTTTCATCTCCGACACACATCTCTGTTCTTATTTCATTCATTATTATAATCGCACAAATTCATGGGAGACCGCACAGGGGGGCATTTACCTTCGTTGGAATTGGTAAAACATTTTTAATCATTATTTGCACCCCTTTTGAATAAAATTGCTGCAATTTAGTTTTAATATAACAAATCAAAATTAAATTAAATTTAAAAAATTAAGAAAAATTTTAATCGTGCATCCCTCACCCCCAACTGAAAAAATCCTGCGGATGCCCATGCAGATCACAAATTAGGATAGTCTAAGAATAACGTATTCCGTTTCGATACAATTGTCACATTTTATCTCTGACATTCTGTTGTTATTTCATTAATAATTATAATCACAGAGATCCATGGGCGTCCCCTTGGAATCGGTAAAAAAATTAAGCATTTGCTCCCCTTTTAAATAAAATTACTGGAATTTATTTGCATATTTAATATAAAAAATAAAAATTGAGAATAAAACAATTTTAATCATGCACCCCCTCTGGGAAAAATCCTGCGGACGCCCATGCAGAGATCACAAATTAGGATAACGTATTCCGTGTCAGTACAATTGTCGATCTTACAATAATTAATATTTAGTAACATAAATATTTTGTAAAAACATGCATATAAAAGATTAAAAGCTTATCGTTACATTCTTTCGACAATACAATTTTAAAGAATTGTGATAACAATTTTTATCTTCAAACAAAATATTATATCGTATCTCTACAAGGATTAATGATCTAAAAAATTCACAGTTTGTTAGTTTCCATATATATATATATTACATACATATATATATATATATATATATATATATATATATATATATATATATAGAATCGTCTGCATTCTCTAGGACGCGATGTCTCACGATGACAGTCGGCGACTTCCGCTCAGTCGGATATATTGGCTTTTCAATATCTTGCTGTTTACTGTATCCGCGTATGTGTACATATATATAATGTCCTATTTCTTTTATCTATTTTCCTGGCAGCAGCAACGCCTTATAAATTATGATTTCTAGAAAGAGAGGAAAATAAAAGAGATGAAAAGGAGAAGACAGTATTTTGTATGGTGTGTTTCAGGCACATATTTTATAGTCGTGTTTCTCTCGAGGACAAAATAATTTCATTTAAAGACTAGATTACCCAGCTATTTAATATTAAAAATTAAGAGAGAAATAATATATATAAAAACAATATATAATATAATAAAATAATTCATTAGGTTCTTGCTAAGGTAAAATATTTAGAAATTGAGAAATACATAAGTGAAAAAAAGTGCGAAAAGTAGATGTATGTAAGGAGATCGCTCCTTATAAAGGAAACTTTCATCTCTCCGTTGTGTATCTGAATCAGGTGAATCGTTATAAGAAAGTGTCGCGAGGAAACCCCTGCATCGCACAGGAAGCACTAGTATCGAGAAGCACTACAGTTTGACATAAGTAAATAACATATAGGTACACCTTTTTCGAACAAATGGAAAATTTCAATAAACGCACAGGATTTTTTTTTCTAGAAAAATATTTAAAAAATATATTTTAACGTGTATGTATATTATAATATATATTGTTGCGTCCACACGGGCTGGAGATCGATATCTCGTGACTTTCACTATTACTAGTCACACTCGTGCTCATGAATGAGGAACAGTTTTAAAATACAACTTAATAAAAACACAGAAACATACAAGGAACACGCAACAGGAATTATAGAATTAATAGAGCCGTAAAAAATGCGCTCGCACGAGATATCGATTAGCGTAAAATTTTATATTATCTCAGGACATTTTCCCTTTCTGATTAATAACATCTCATGCATCGGATGATCTTATCATCTCGTTTCGTATCGATCGAGCATAGCGAATTACAAATATTATCGCAAATTTTATCGCTGACAAACAAGAACGCAACAATATTATTATATAATTTTATATTCATACATACTTTCTACATTTATTGCGAAATGTGGACATTTGAGTCTAAATTTTACTTATTATATCTCCTATAAAAATTATGTTGTATATTCATAGACTGAGAGCGACACTTTTTTAAACACCATATTTAACGATAAATATGGGATATTTAAATGCAAAAATATAATATTTATAAAATATATATTTGATAAAATCTTTAAGACATTTTTATCAGACATGCTTTCGATGTTATTTAGATGTTTACGTCATTGTGCTTTATCAACATTGCATTTCATTATAAATATTATTTCTACATCTTTCATGGAATATATCATTATTATATCATACGTTATTATTAATTAGTCAGAGGTATGATCGCTTTAATGTCGCTATTATAAATATATCGAATTCATTCTAAATTTTTTTCGACACGTTTCTTACATCGAATTCCAAATAGTTTTTTTGTCTGTCTTGTTAACATAAATACATAATGAACCATAATTCATCAGAAGTGAAAAATAGCGATGCTAAATTATTCTTAAAATTATAACGTAAATTAGAACAGTTAATATAAGATAAGCTGTACAATATATATATAAATCCATTGGCAGTAGGTCGAGCACGTTCAAAGCGCGAGTTAAATTCGCTTTGGCAATAGCAGTGCCAGAGAAAGTAGAACATAGCTTCAAATCTATATAATATATTGAAATCATTGTAGGAAAATATTTTTAGCAAGGTTGACATTTTTATGAAAATTAATATTTTTGAGGAAAAACGTCACGTTTAATATAGAAAAAAGTACTTTCACGGTAATATTTCCATAAGTTTATTGCAAATAAAATTTTGGATAATAGATTATTGTAAATAAGCTATATATATGTATGTATATATAAAATAAACTTACGGAGACAATGTACATATTTAAATTATGTAACATTGTTCTGACTTTTTGTTTTCTAGTTATAACTATGATCTTGGATATCCTTAGAAGGAATTCATTTTGTATCACAAGGCGACACATAAAATTACATAACACGAAATAAGACGTCAACATGGATACACAAAACATTTCTTAAAAGGGAATGTATTTTAACATGATTAAACATTCTAGAATCCTCAATATCTTCCCCTCTATTATATTATCAGGGGTATCGTGAGAAATCCCTTAAACACAAGATAACTTACAATGGCATTGGAAAATTGAATACGTTATTTGTAGGAAACAATTCTAGAGTGATTGTAATCGATATTTTAAAATTTTTTATACGTTACTGTAACTATATTTAATTATAACGTCACGAATAAAACATAATTAAACCTAAAAATGTAAGTCATATACGATATAAATTACATAGCAGGCAATGAAACTCGTATAATTATTTCAATTTTTAATTTAAAATTTATTTACCGTCGCTCTAGAACTGCTTTTACTCTGCGCGGTTTACAAATAAAATTGTTATATAACGTTGTAAAACAAAGCACGTACAGGCACGTTTAGTGTAAGTACTAATATCAATAGCCTCGTATAACAAACACCTCTACATTCGTACGATTACGCGTTAAAAAGTTTTTGTTCAAGGCCAATTAATAGCCAAAGATTGACGTCGAGTCACGTACAATAATAAATTAATATCTTAAAAAATATTTTCGTTTTAAAAAAACATGTGTATGTAAAGTAAAAATTGCATGTGCAATTTGATGAGAAGCAATTTGACTGTAATAGCTTGTCATAGATTAGCTATGGAGTAATAATAATAATAATAACAATGAGAATTGTCATTAATATATATTCCCCAAAATTTTACTTTTACTTAAATTTTTTAAAGATATTAATTATTTTTAACGTTTCATACGTGTCTCACATCCCGTATATTTATATTTTTTATAAAAACAAAATTGTCACGTATAACGAGGCACATATTGTGATATAATTTCAATCTGTCCACTACCTTTGATGCAGTTTCAAACAACCTTTATTTCTCGGGCTCATCGGGATGCTCTGTCTTGATGTGATGGGTGAATGTGTACTGCGTCGTAAAGCGTTTCTTGCAATAAGGACACTGATATGGCATCACAGGATGTGCGGACCTCAAATGCGCTACTGCTAGCTCTCTCGAGACGAATGGTGATTGACATACACCACATCGATGTCTAGAGATAAATACAATACAAAATATTACTTTTTTCCTTTGCCTGTGTCTCTTACTTTCAAGAACAAATCACATAAATTCAATAAATAAGATCAAATATATTTATGTATTTAAAAAGATTTAAATATATAATTTTTTAAAACATTTCTTTACCCATTAGCGGTTTTGATGAGAGTCCGTTTAAGAGGTGGGGGTGTACTTTGTTCACTGATTTCAATTTTTGGCTCAATAAGAGACATATTGTATTCCAACGATGTCTCTGGGCGTAATTTTGGCATCGGTTCATCCTTTTCAACTTTAATCTCGTGTTTCTGTGCCTAGATGTAATCATCGGTTAATGTAATTATTGGCTTCAAGATATGCAGAATGTATGTATATATTGTTGGATATGTAACACTAAAATTGTGCGTTAATCGTACATTACATACCGTACTGCTATGCGTGCCTTCGACGTGCATTCTCATATGAGCATTTCGTGATTGCGAACTTGCGAAAGATGCGTCACACTTTGAACATTTGTATTTCTTATCCGTATCGTGAGACGATGTCTTCTGCTGAGATTTTGCGGCAGTTTTCTTTCCAATTTGTGCCTTGCTCGTGCATTGATGAGTGAGAAGCGATACTTCTTTGAAAAAAATTTTATTACATTTTGCGCAGTGATAAGTTCTATCCACTGTGTGCATCTTTTGTTGCGTTTTATCCATAGACGATGATTTGTTGCAAGTAGCAGATGTATATAGCGAAGCATTATCGAGCGTCAGGCGTTTATGGCAACTCTATCAATAAAAAAATAAATAAATAAATAACTCGTTATTTAAAAATGCCACAAATGAACAATCATACTAATAATTTTATTGAATCTCTTACCTCATGCCTAAGCAGTTGCGATTGTTCCTTAAATGACTTTTTACATATGTGGCATACGAAGTTTTTATGGGAATTGTCCGAGTGTGTTTGGAGATGTGTTAACATTGTTGTATGGTCGCTAAACCATAGTAGACAAATGCCACATCTTGCAACGTTTTTGAATCCACTAGAATTGCGCTTTGTTGAAGATTCGTCATCTAACAGAACATTATTTTTCTCCATCACCTATAAATAAAATAATAAATAAAATTTTAATCAAGCAATTTAAAATCTGTTATAATTTTAATTTATTTTATAGATATCGTACGTTTTTTATATAGAGAAAATTATAATAAATGTTTAATCAAAAGATCTTGGAGATTAAACAAACCTCGGAATAGAATCTATTCTTGGTACCACGAGTTTTAGCTTCTCTCGCTTCTCTTGCTTCTCTTTCAGCATTCAAAGCTTCCTCCTGCTCAACTGGTGACAAAACTGGTAACATTGTTGGTTGCACATTATGCTCGGTTACTCTGTGTGCGGCCAGACGTATAAAAAGTCCGAACGACCGGCCGCAAATGTCGCATTTATGTCTTTTCGGTTCATGAGTACGCATGTGATTTGATAATGCACTTTGCTGAGTGCAAACCTATAATGGGGATAATATAAAAGTATATAGTAGAATTTAACAAAAGGATTCTTCATATAGAAGTATAGAAGTACAAATTATAATTTAATACCTTTCCGCAAGTGGGACACATAAGAGACTTTACGTTTTCATAGAATTGCTCTTCTCTTTTAATTTCCTTTGGCCGTTCTGCTATCTTTGCAGGCTCTACGACAGGTAGTTTCTGCTGTATTATCGAATTTGCTTGATTATGCGTGTGTAATAGAATGTGATTTTGATAACTTTTTACAGTGGGAAAAAACCTAAAAACAGATGCATATATGTTTATAATATATAAAAAGAGCAATCTATAAAGTAAATTGTATCTTTAAAATAATCATCTATAAATTACCTATTGCACAATGAACACCAGGTGTTAGTTCCAATCTCAGTCAATTCGGCTAAATGATCGCGCAATCTATGTTGCCTTAACATTTCATAGCTTATAAACTGTCGATCGCATTTATGACAATCTTGCAAGTTTTCCGTATAGTCTAATTTGACTTTTAAATGATTATTAGCTTCGTGCTTTGCTAAGACTTCCACAGAATTAAAAGATAAAGAACATTTTCTACAGGTATATACACGCGGGCAGTGCAAATGCATGTGCTTCATTAGACTGTCCTTTGTTCTGAACAGAAACAAAAAAAAATTAAATTAAGTTATGGAATAAATCTGGCGAATATGGAACAATCTGTTGCGATATATCGCAAAATTATTATAATAATACTGATTACAAATACTTACTTGTAATAACTGTTACAGGGTGCGCACCACCATTCGGAAGTTAATTTTACTCTAGGTTGTAGCTGTTGATGATTATTCATTGTCAGACTACCAGTCAAAACTTGTTCCAAAATACTGGTTCGTTTCTCTTCCTTTCTCGTTTGATAATCTGCCTTGAAAAGTGTGTCTTCCATGTCTTCAAATATAGAAACATTTGTACCCATTTGCATATTTGCGTCAAATATATCTGACAATTTGCGTTTCTTCTTCGATGGCTCACAGATTGTAGTTTCAGCATCCAAAATTGGATCTGCATTCATCTCTTTGATTTCCACCTCGCAAGGTAGTTCAGGCAAGGTCTCCATGCAGGCATTTTGCAAGTGATCTTGACTAATCTGATTGAGCGGAGTCACGGAATCATCAAAGGGCATAGCTATCGATAGAGGAACCAATGGCGGTGGTGCTCTAGACTTCTCCTTGCAGAGTTGCGCCTGCGAATGATAATTCTAATGAAATCCATGATTATTAAAAGAAGAAAAGTAAGTTGAAAGAGCAAACTATTCCATCGACAAACCTGACATGGATCCGCTGAGTTTTTCATCGCGTCCAGGAATATCTGTACAGAGTCTGTCCGCGTACACTTGTTCAACATGGCATACATACTCTTGTAGACGTTCAGGCAATACTCTCTGAACTCGTACACGTCGTCCAGCCTCGCCGCGCAGAACTGACAGATCTGTTTGGGCAAGGGATCGGTTTTGTAGACCAGGACGGGCAGGCAGGCCCGCAGCTTCTGAACCACCCTGCGTTGCAGACCCTCGTCCCCGAAGATGGGCAGCATCTCGTTCCTCTGCTCCAAGCACAGTCTGCAGGCGTTTTCCAACTTGTCCATCGCATCGTCCATCCCGAAGAGAGTCGGGTTCATTAAGGAACACATATCGCTATCGTGAATTGGGTTAATTCACACTCGACCAAGTTGCCACAATCACGAGGCACGTCGACGCGAGCATGTTTCTCCAATGTATTTCAATATCGCGAAATGCGGTTCCTTCACGCGTACACATGTATATCTTCTCGGGGGAACTTTACTTTCACCTTGGCTCGTTCAGCTTTTGAAGCCTAAACTGAAGACTTTTGGGGAGCGAAAACTCGAATTCACTCCGACTTTTCATGCGCAACAGTCGGTCAAGCGTCTCAACTATTACGGCCGTTCTTCTCTAACGTGGACACCTTCTACGAGGAAAGCGAGGGTTGTACCTAGTCGACGAGAGCCTGCTTGTTACCATGAAAAGCCTCGCCATGCGCCATGCAGACGTCCTGCAGACGCCATTCTTCAACAACTCTCTCTTTCTCTTTCCCTCTCTTTGCCTCTTCGTCGTTGCTCTGTGCTCGTATTCATTTCATTTCATCACGCTCGAGCCTGCTCGGATCGGGCAAGAACTGAGCGAATATGTCCGTTGTCCATGGATGGGAACGAATATTTTTGTTCAGACACCTTTGTTTCAACTCTATTTATTTATATGAATATATTTTATGTCCTCGCAGGTACTTGATCCTGCTTTTTGCACTATAACTAGGACTACTTTTACAGATGCCATTTAAGGAAGAAGAAGAAATGGAGCGAATATTATGCAAAAACATTAGAGAATATATATAGCTCTAAAAAAATATATAAATCTTATAAAATACATATAATTTTATATTCTTGTATTGAATATATTATTACGAGCATAATTTTTTATGAATTATTTCTTCTAGATTTTTATTATATCTTATTCTCCTCTCTCTAGATTATTATCTTTTAGCATTTTAAATCTTTATTCAATATAATAGTAGATTATTAATTGTAAAAGTAAATATATGTGCTCTACTTATATATATTTTACAGTATAATTTATACTGCTTATATATATATTTGTTGAATATAATTTATTACATAAAATTACATGATTTTTCAACATATAAATATATATATATTTATTTAATGCTTCATCTATGTGTGACAAAACTTTAATTTCACTATCTCTTTATAGTTTGCGAGCTAACAAGATATACACGTATTTATAAACCATTCTAACTCATATATAAATTACAGACAATACATCAAAAAATGATTAATTTATAGGAAAACTTAAAGACAGTGTAAATGTATTAAAAAATCGTATCATCGATTTTTTTATAAATATATAGTGTAGAGTATAAATATATAATAAGAGATTATATATAAACATTTTTTTGTCCAATAGACTAATAGATCTTTGCACAAGCCCCTGCCAAACCACTATAAAATAAATCTGTTTATATTATTAATTATATTTTAGTGCCAGGCAGTAACTTTAATAATATTACTGTAAGAAACAATTATTTCGCTTTTAGAAATTATTTATTTTCGGATTTAATTTCAACATAAAACACAATGATAAAATTAATCAATTTAGCAAATTATTTTTAGATATTTTTTTATATTTAAAAAAATAAATCCATTTTTTTTTTATAAGTTTTCAATTTTGTTTTGCTATATACATTGTGATTATGTTCCATAGATAAAACATATTACATATAACAAGTCACAATGTGTATAGGATTTATACATTTATTGACAAAGAATATGTAAGCGTATCAATATATAAACGTATTTCTGTAATCTTATTGACTAAAGAAGAATAAAAGTCACTCTAGCTTCAAAAATTACTGTAATAAAGATATTATCATTAGCAGAGCGTATATAAGGTCATTTAAGTTATAAAAGATAATAATATCTGTCTTAGTAAATGTGTCTGGTAATTAAATAATTTTAAAATTTTTGAGCGAAATAAACAACATATATTTTTTGTTATATATTATCTTCAAACTCATTTATTTCCTAACTGTGCGAAGGAGTTTACTTTCTATAAATTGGGGTAGATGTTCTTAGTATTAAATCTTTTCAGTGTATATTAAATTAGTTTATCATAAAAATATAATGTCATTCATAGATATATATGCATTTTTATCAAGCATGCCGAATCAGACAGTAATATGCAGTAGTACTGCATTATATAATTTACCGGTTTGCATAGAAAGTCTCATATTCATTAAAACAAAGAGCGTTTGACGATATACCTTTATGATATAACGCGGTACTCTTATATCAAATGATTAATATTATAGATGAAATGAAAATTCATAAATGATGAATGATTTTCATGATAAATCTTCCTCCATAATTCGGAAAGTGTTGAAGTGAATGAACTCTGATGACGTTTCAGATAGCAAGCATATGAATGACGTCATTTTGACATCTAATGACGTCAGTTTGCTACTTGAGGCAGGCCCACAGTCTATGGTTTACAAACTTTTGCATCTAATAACCCCAAACTGTAATTTGCGGATTACTGTTGTAATCCGCAAACTTCATATTACAAGGCATTAATTGAATTTTTATTTCATAAAATTCATCTTGCGTTTCATTGTTTGTGTTTTAGCAAAGCATTTGCTATTGAAGGACCTGTACAGAATCATTCATAGATATATATGCATATATATACGTGTGTATCTCTTTAATACACATGTACACACATACACGCATACAGTTTATCACTTTCAAATGATATAGTAATATCTAAAGTTAAAGAAAGAAAAATGGAAACCACTAAAAAAGATTTGACAGGTGTATGTCAAAAAATAGTGGGAAGACCTTGTTCCATAAATATGTTACACTGTACATGCTCTATATAACTTTCCCTAGCACAGGCCAACGTGCAAGTTTAATGTGCTATAATATTGTACATGCTGATAACTATTCACAACCGAATGAGGAGACGAGTCAAAAGCTTAATTGATAAAAAATCAGTAACAAAATGAATTATATTACATGCTCCAGATTCATTCCTATATATATATATATAATATATAGATCTTTCTTTCTCTCTTTCTTTCCTCAACTAAAAAGAAGTTTTTCATTTTACTTACAATCAATTTGTCTATAAAGGAATTAACAATCTTTGACATATGTCGATTTTTTTCTTCATTTTTCTTTCTTCTCTTTCGTGCAATTAAAATTTATCTATGTAAAATACCTAAAGTTCATTCCTATTGTACCACTCTTATTCATTATCTTAATGCTTTAATCAAAATATGATTAACTTCTTTCTTCCTTTCTCTTTTAAGCAAATATTTTAATCGGACGTCTATATTTTAACAGCAAGAGTTAGGAGCAGTCGGCGCGTGTTTCCTAGATATCTGCATTCTAATTGTGTTTATACAACAATATGTAATATTTACGTATAGACAGAGTACTTTTAAATGCGGCGTGAATGCGAAATATCTTATAATATATTTTTATATAAATATATCAAAGGATAAACTTTTCAAACGACATATTTGTTACGCTTCCTGATTGAGAGACGAATTATTTATATACTTTTACACATCCCTACTATCTCGCTGGCATGGTTGGCATTTTTTCAAGGAAGTCCTGCTCGATTACAGTCTCTAATTGTGTGTTATTTATCGGCACGTACGTGTCACATGTGGCGCGACTAAGACTTGAGAAAAAGTGATGCAAATCTTGCAGAGAGCGAACGTTATTTGATGTCAGTAAAAGCTCTCCTGGATTCCTTTTGGGCGATGGACCGTCTGGTTTGAACTGAAAAAATATGAAATGAAAAAAGGATCAATATATAAGTTTTTTTTGCAAAAAAGATTCATTCTCAAAATATATTTAATATACAAAGTATTTATAATTGAAAAGAAAATTCCATTTTTCTTTATCAAAAAGAATTCATCATTTCTTGCAATTTTTTAAATATTTGTATTCAGTAATTTTTATTTATGGAACTTTTTTTATCATTGCAACAAAAGAATTTCATATACAATAAAGGAACAATGCTAATTAAATAACACAAATAAAAATGTACGTTTGTAGCATTGAAAATGTTATGCAATATGTCCTACGATTGACTAGAGAGCTGTATAGAATTGGCTTAGTTGCAAAAACGAATATACATATATATAATGATTTCTCATGTATATGCTAAAATAAGTAGTTCAGTTGTAGTGCGTGTATATTCACACATCGAATCCCTGCGAGCATAATTATTTATATTTTTATATGCAGACTGAAAGATATTAACAACAATATAAAAAGAAAGCTTCTCCGAAATTCTAATTTCTCTAATCTAAGCTCTCAAAATTCTCTACGTTTCAGCAGAAAAGGTTGCATTAAATAGAGATTTTGCGTTGTAATAACAATGTCTTTAAATGGAACCGATACACGGAGTAGGGTCACAATAATAGAGAATACTCGTGCGATATAATCCAGTATGCACGTAGTTTGTGAACAGAAGCGCTCGTACAGAAGCGACTATAAAATACACAATGGCTTGGTTGAAAATTTTATCTTGTTACGTTCTGTGGACCATAATAGCTGTTATTGCACGTGAGTATTAACACGACACGTGTGTACGTGTGTTATATTTATTCATCTTCGTTAAAGAGTGACAGACTCGCATAAAATATTTTATTTCTTCTCCTCTTTTATCTTTTTTTACATTTCGTTTGTGCAATTTGCACTTTCGATTATACAGATTGTTTTTACTAAATATGCTTTTTTAAAAATCAATTTTAAATCGATTTTTTTTTCTTGTTAGCGCAAATTTCGAGCAATTTTATTGTTTAACACAATCTTTTATTAATTTACAAATATTTTTTTATTTGTCTTTTGGCAATTTTTTTTTGAAAAAGTCTTTATATTTGAAATCGTTTATAACTTGTGAGTTTTGGATATTTTGACATTCTTCTAAAAGAAAAATTGATTCAAAGTTGACAGTTAAAAAGCGCATTAAAAAAAAAATAATTTACACATTTATCTAAACAAATTTATAATATTATTCATAAACATTCATAAATATAAGAACACTCCTCCATCTATTCCAATTCTATTTTTGATGCTTTAAATGGCTTTAATCTAAGTTAATTGTGATGCTACTTAGAGAATATTAATGAAAACATGCGAGATCTTTCCTATCCAATTAATTTAATGAATTCTCTCAATTTTCTCTTACTGAAATATATCATTTAATCCTTTTATTTTGACTTTTAAAATATTGTTAAAATAATTTTCATTTTTATTTTAATAATAAGTCTTAGATAACATAAAGCGATTTATAAAACATCATCGACATAATAATCGATCTTATTATTTAATTTGAACATGCATTTGGAAATTCTATTTGCAAAGTATCATTTAATTGAAAATCAAAACAAAAAGATTTTTGTTCTTGAATGATCAATTAAATCTTTTCTGTCTTACTGGTAGGATTTCCGAATCCTTAATGAAGATTGCAATAATTTAATTAATATATCTGTTTCACAGAATACAGGGGTGATCCCGATTACAACGATTTTGATTTTTATGAAGATCTACCAGCGGATTCGAGAGGTTCTGATAAAAAATATAGCAGCGTTGCTCAAGATGATTTTTATATCGCAAAAGTTTTCGACGATGCGTATCCCGATTCGAATCTCCCTGACTTCAGAAATAATCTCGATACCTTTAAAAAGAGGGGTCCGTTCGAAAACAAGCAGTTCAACTGGTACAAAGTGTCCGAGAAAGTTTACAGATATACTAAGCATCGAATTCCCGGGTACGATTACGACGAATTCGACTATGGACGTTCCAAAAGTTTTCACAAATGCGACGAAAAATCGACCTGGACGCATTGCCTCTGTCAATTCACGTGTTCGAAGCGAGACGTAGTAGATTGTTATACACCCTGCAGAAGCGGGTGCGAGTGTAAGGAAGAATACGTTTTCGACGAGAAAGCGCAAAGATGTCTATTACCCGAGCAATGTTCGTCGGAAGATAATTATAATTACCAAATGTAATCGTTAGAATATTAATCAAATATATTTACAATATTTTATTAAGCTTTGTCAAGCGATTTTTTTCATGACGCAAAAAGTATAATTGATTAAGGCTTCTGGATCCTCGCTGTGGCTGTTAGATTGTGACATCAGAAGCGAGGAGCCAGGAGCCTTAAAATGTGCCTAATAATTTATTATATTACAAAATAAAATTACAATCGAGAAAACTTACCTTGCTATCCATCAATTTCGCTATTCTCGTAATGTGCGGTACAAAGTCCGAGGATAGATTATTGTTATCTACATTTCCTGCTGCTGCGTCTCCAACGAATGCCCATTTATACCTGTGAATCAAGTGAAGCAATATATAATTATATACAAATAAAATACGCATTGTATATCGTCTTGTTTTCTATACTTACATCTGAAATTGCGGTAATCTGTGCGCGGGCAACAGTAGCGCGAGGTCCAGCAGCTTGGCAGCAGCTAGTTGCAGTTGCAACCAGTGAGGATGTCCGTGTGCTTGAAGTCCATTGCTGGCGTTGATAGCCCACGATGAGTCCAAGGCAGATAGCAGTTTAATATGCGAGCTGTGCATACGAATACAAGTATTTGTGTCATTTAGATCAAACTCTCTTACAACATGAAATTCAAGAAACATAATTGCTTTTAGGTCAGATACAACAAACAAAGAATTCTCCCCACAAAGTTCAATCAATGAGAAGGTATTATTAGTATGGTATTTTTTGACACTCGATATATACTCAAACAGTGATATATAAAATAGTTCTCTCAAAATATCTTTTTTTTTATATTAGTATTAAATGAATGTACATTTGTTTCATTTTATTCCGAATAGATACTAAAAGAGTGTACTTTTTACGTCACTGTACATTCGAGTGCTTTTATACAATATTAACAGTATGCGTACGCGTGCTATATGTACGTTATACGTTGGAGACCATTAAATTACCTGCTATGACGACTGCTGTCCCAACACCATTCAAGTTACGGAGGCACCACAAATCCCGAGGATGCCGAAACAGGGAGCCAAAAAACAGTATGATATTAGATAGTATCCATGTTAATAAGGGGAGGGAGGGACATATACAAATGTTCCAACATTCTCTTACTTAACATTCTTAATGAATACAAGATTTCAAGAAGTAAAATCGCTTTTACGTCTTGCATTTCTATTCTACACAGCATTCACGTCTATATTTCGAGCATTTTGGAAACCTTTATTGAATTTAAGATGCCAATTTCAAAATCAATTTGGAATATTACCACACGAATCGCGTTAGTACGGTGATAATATATCTACAGCAAGCTCTTCATTGCAAAACTTGCTGTTCACAATCAGTTCTTGAAAACCAAAATAAAATGCATAGTTTTGAAATATAAAAAAAAGTAATCTCTTGATATTTTGAATGAAATAATCCCAATCGCGTATCGTAAATGAACATGCACATACGAAGCAACAGTGTCCCATAAGCAAAGAAGCACAGGCATCGGAAGAATTTGCATACCTGAACTCTTCGCTGTCCGTACTCAATTCTTGCTCGATATAAAGAAAGACTTGAACAAGTTCGCTAACTATGACTGGCCACAAGGACGTCGCGTGTTGCGGCGACATTCTCAATAGCAATACGCGAAAACATAGAAATACTTGTGCCTGAATAGACGGGATCACTTGAGGTAGGCGTAGACTATCTGCTAAGCGTTCTGAAAGAGCAAAATGATCAATATGTAGAAACAATTATATATGTTACAATCATAATAGGTTATATATATTTTATACTTATATATATATTCACCTTGTATCTCTGGCATATATTTATGATATTGATCCATCTCGCTGCAAAGAATGACGAACGCCAATCGCTTCAAGAGCTGCGCTTTCTGCTCATACTCTTGTTCCTTTGAAGAAAATATACTGATTCCGCTGCCTTGAGCCATGGACACGCGATCTTTTTAATGAAACAAACAAGTGTAACACGTTAGTTTCTATATGTATAAATGATGAGCAAACAAATGTACTGCAATGAAATCAAATATGTGCATTACTCATTAAATCTCTGAAGGTAGTATTATCATGCGTCATTAGATTGTCTATTATAGTTCTCCAGTACGGTAGGCAGGACGGTGTCATTTGGAAGAAGGCCGAATCGAGTAACAAGTCTAAAACGTCTTTGCGCCATGCTTTCCTCGTGTATTGATATCCCGACAAGGAAGCCAATAATTGAGAACAAGCGGTAAATGAAGCGATATTCTTCATACTGTAAAATTAAATAAAATATTATTTTTTCATCTTATTCACATTATAATGTATGTATATAAAATTTATTACATTTAGCCAATTTCTAAACTCACGTGTGATTTTTCAGATAAGGTGTAACGTTATACATGAGATTTGTTAGCAGCGTTACAACACGTTCTTTTTCTTGTGAACCATAACTAACGTCCAATAATGGCGCGAGTATTTCTGCTAATACTGCTTGCGCTTGAACACTGTATGCTGCATTAGGTGGAGTTCCAGGTGTTACTGTAAGATATAATTCACATTGACTATACTATAAGAAATTAAAACTGAAGCTATTTGCAATCGCCAGATTGTAAAAAAGCTCGATAACAAAAACACTGCGTGCGTTATATTTAAAAAATTCTATAATCTGACATCTACAAAATAAAATGTTATATTTTACGCACCAGCACCATTTTTTCCCTCTTTACCTTCCGAAGAGCCTTCCACTACTTCGAATACATCTTCTCGAACGGCTAAATTCCTTCTTAGCCACGTTGTTTGCTCTAGACACGCACCAGCTATTTGTGAACACGATTCTATCAGCTGAAATATATTTATTACATGTAGTCGTTGTGTTATTAATTATAGGCATATAACATCAGATAATTACCTTTGCAGATACATCTTGTAAATCTTTGATATCCTTTTTCTCTTGCATAGGCGGACACTTTTGTACATATTCGTTCAGTATAGCCAGCAAGAGAAATTGAGCGGGTGCCGTTAGCGATAAACCATCTTTCAATAAACTAAGTAAGGACGCCCAAGACTCGATAAGCGACTGCGACGTATTACTCTGCATATATATGTAAAGTAATTCTAGCACTGAGACTTCTAGTGAGAAATCCTGTTTGATTCCGTGTATCGGCGGTGGCGTTTTCACTACTTGATGCACGGTGTGCACCAAAGTGTCAATCGGCATCACACGAATAGCACTAACCAAATGAACCATCACTTGTTGATTGGGACAAGCTTCTGGAAGTATCTGCACCAAAACGAATTTATAGTGAATAATATATTTTTTTCAAAACTAATAATACTTATTTCTAATTTTGTCATCTCTTTTTTTACCTTCTTTGACGCAGTGGATGGTTGGCGCCTTTCGTGCCAAGCAACCGCGACCGCAGCCAAAAAGTTGGCTCCGTGATGGAAAGAGATTGGGGATAAGAGTTCCAACAATTGATATTTCACTATTCTCGGACTGCCCACCACGCAACTTGCTTGTTCGCTACACATTATTGTCAAAAAGAGTAAATTATACAATGTAAACAATTTCCATGATCAAAAAATATAATAAGACGCATACTTGTCTTTTGTTGCTAGAACTGCTTGCCATAAGGCAGATAAGGATGCTATTATTCTCGGTAAATGACTCAACGCTGTTCTTCTGGCGTGTTGTTGCAGTTCAGTTGCGCCAGTTTTATCCTTCGTTGTGGATAGATCCTATAAAAATATAAAAACTTTATGAAAACAATTCTAGAGGCCAAAATTGATAATTTCTATCAAATATTAAAATAGGAGAATAAATATATATATATATATATATATATATATATATATATATTAATTTTCTTTTATCTAACTAACCGGAGAAAGTGGACTCGGCATAAAAACATGTATGAGATTATTGAAGATCTGTCCGGGATTAGCACCAGGAATTCCTGTTTGTATTGTACCACTTAGCGGCTGATTAAACGAGAATCCAATTTGCTGGGAGGTATCCAATAGACAATAGTGCAGTAAGTATGTCAAAGCCTCGAGATGTGTCACTGTATAATCCGCGGGCAAACAGCATTCTACCGTGGTTATATCTTGTAACTTTGATGCCGCCTCCTCATTAATATAATACGACGCTAGGTGTTCAATATTGTTGCACAGTTGATGAATAACTGATGTTACAACAGACGTTAAAGATGATCCCATAAAAGGGAGACTGGACGTGACAAGAGTTGTCCAATGTTGATGAAGATGCCTCATATGATCCTGTGAAATTTCATTGAATACATAAATCATTTGTTTGATCGATTCTTCGCTTAATTATCCCTATCAATTATTCATGATTTCATACATATTCATTTGGATATATTTCATAATTTGTCGTGATTAAATTCTGATATAATTTGTATTATAATATAAATTAGAATATAATAAATTAGATATAATGTAATATAAATAATATATATTAAAAATAATCTTATAGAAATTAAAATATATATAATTATAAAAGATTGGAAAAGTAAAAGATGACATAAATAATTTTTGTGTGATAATAATAGAATATATAATATCGTAAATAAAGAAAAAATATATAAAATATATTGTATTTTTTTTTAATTCTATAAAATATTTAGGATCGATCTAACAGTATACATGATATGTAAGTAAATTACGTACCAGTTGCAGTGCACTAAGGATACTAGCGAGAAACATCGGTTGCTGTGGAATCGCTGCTCCAGAAATATATTTCAGATTGTTCCCGATTAAATTCGTAGTCCTTGTCGGTGAACTTGGTATAGACGACGTCGTTGGATTAATTTCTTCTCCTTTTTGATTACTACACTGATGTTCCAACATAATTAATGCCAACAACAACCTTAAAAAGTAATAAAATCGTTACAAATAAAATTATGAGTATGAATCTAATTTTAATGCAAATTTTGAATAGTTTCATCAAACTCACATTGAATTAGCGATATAAAATATTTCTATTATCTATTGCATATATTTACCGTAATAATTGTATCTGGAAAGCTTCTGTATGATCGCTCGCTCTATATTTACATTTGTTAACATCGTTATCGATAAACGGATCGTTAAATAGTACAATTTCTTCGGTGAATGTGAAAACATCTTCATTCTCTTTATGAGCGTTTTTCATACTCATAACACTGGACACGAGACAGTGTAGAGCAACCTTTTGTACTTTACATTTAGTCAGTAGGTCGACTATGTAGCAACTGAAACCTTTCCCAGAATCGCGAACAATTGGGATTAATTCGGAAAATATTAGCGTCAGTAATTCTGCACTTGCAAGTTGTACCTGTGTAAAAAATAACATTTTTGTAACAATATTAAAACGATATTTGCTATAAAACTTAAAAGGAGAGAAACAGTTTAATAAGTTTAATAATATATTTATAGGATAAAGAATATTTTTTAGAGTCTGAACATACCTGGCGATTACCCGCAATTTCTTCATACGTAAGCCTCATCTGTCCGAGATTTGGATAATAGCTTCTCGCAAAGTACAGGCACACGCTTATCAAGACCTCGAGATACATACTGCTTCTATAAGCGGCTATAAATTCCGTGTTAGCTATATCACCATGAAAGTTTCTACCGAAAACACTTTTCCGATGCCTCGCCAGTAGATTTAACAGCACTGTATTCTTCGTCGCATTCGCCACACCTGTCGTCGCCGCACAACACAGAAACATTCGCGTATTTGTCAAAAGTTCGTTCCTGAGCGTGCGTAAAGCGTAAAGGGTTCTGGCCGAATCGTAAACTCCGCAGTAGAGCAACATGTGGGAGTGAAGATTGTGAACACCCAGACCGACATTAGTTCGATTAGTTTTTGCGGGATGCTGCTGAACTTCCTCCTGTAAGTAGAAAATCTCGTTGAAAGAAAATGTATTGTATTGTATTGTATTGTAAGTCTTATATAATTTTGACGCATGATAATATTAAATCTGGTTTTAGTATTCTTCTATCAATTCTTAATATTAGATCTATTCTTTTCAGTTGTTCAGAGTTTATCTTTTTACTCCACGTTAGAAAGAAATAGATAAACTCTGAATTAGTGCAATTAGTTCAACTGGGAAAAAAAACAGATTTATTGCATAAAAGATACTTGCACTCTTTGGTGGTTCGGCAATGTCGCACAATTGCATTGCGCGATCGAGCACCTCGTTCAGAATCTCTTCGACTATACTGGCGCTGCTGGAATTGCTAAAGTATTCTTCCGCGGTGGTGCTAACATCCAGATCGCCGTCTTCGTCGTCGTCCATCGTCCAACTGGGCACCTCCGCACTCGCTTCGAAACTACCGATCATTTCGTGATCGTAATTCGTGTTAAATTCGTTCGTACTGTAATATCTGCCTTTCATGATGGTGCCCGCAACTTCTCTGGAACCACCCGGTAGGGCGTTCACGACGGGTTCCTTCTTCTGTTTGGGTTGTTTATTAGTTACTTCGGGACTGCTCGAGTCCAAGCTATTCGTTATAGAATCCAGAGACGAGTCGACGTCGTCGTTGAGCTTTTTGAAGTTATTCTTATCTTTCGCTTTCAAACTAGAAGAGTTTGCCGATTCGAAAAGACTCTCATCTAAACTGGCAGTGGAACCTTTATCGAAATCTATCTTCTTGAAACGTGTGGCATTTTTAAGCAATGCCGTCGTCAAGTTTGCCTTACGTATACTGGGCAGCGAGTCGTCCTCCGTCAAGGAATCGTTTGAGTTTTCATTACAATTGATTGAGAGAGGATTCACGAATACGGAGATCTTGCGATTGCCGGATATGCTAGGCGGCACCTCGAGTTCCTTCATAAACTGATTTCTTTCCGTGACATAGTGATTGCAATTATCACCACTCGCTAACGTCGTCACGGCGAAAATCCGTTTTATTTTCACGGGATTTATCGTCTGTTTCTTCTTCTTACCCTTCTTCCATTTTTTATCCTCATCCACGTTATCGCTCACGTGATATATCACATTGCCGTCGACCGAACTAATCGCATAAATTTTTGCGGCACCTTCCGTATCGTCCTGAATCTCCGATTTTTCCTCCACCGGGTCGTTTTTCGTTAGGACGGTATTACTGTGTTGTATACTCACGTGGAGGACGCTCATACGACATGTGGATGGATCTAAGAGTATTGTCAACAAGGGATCTATTACACGCGATATGTCGCCGCGCATCAAGGAATGTAATAACCACGATTGAGCTAGTAGTTTTAACGGCGAGTTGTCCGCAAGTTGAAGATTGTCCAGCATTTTTAACAATGATCTAGACAAGGAACAAGAACAATGTGAAACTTGTAATATGAATTGCAACTAAACAAATTACAATTCTCTTACTTACTGGTCGAAAATTCTGAGACAGCCGCGCAGCCGCGGATTCGTTTCGATTTCTCGTCCTAAGTGCCATAAAGTGGCAAATCTGCCGAATGCTTCGATCTTTCTTTCAGGATTCTCGGAGGGAGCGCAGATCCTATTAAGTCCTCGACCGCGTCGCAGGAATTGTATAAAGCATGATGTAACTCGTGCAACAATTCTACGCAACGCATCCTAAACTTATGGGCGGGAAGCTCGCCCAAATGATGCCACAAGGAATGCGCCAATACCTTTAATACATTAAGCAATCATTCAAGCTTTTCAACATGCTATCTTTGCCAATTACATGTCTAACATAAGATATTGCAAGAAGAATATTACACATATTATATATTACATACCTGAAATACATTGGTATATTGCATTAAGTAAGTTACGTGCCATTGTTTCAACAACGGCACCATGATCACTGCCGTTATACCTTCTCCACTCTTTGGATGCGTCTCGATGTCGTTATGGGCCTTCAACAACGCCACTAAGTCCAATAATGTGGCTATGCTCGTTAATTGTAACGCTGGTTGCTTCTGTAACCAGCAGGAACAGACTATCAAGACTTTCAACCAATCTGGAAGAACGTGCTCGAACTTGGGTTCTTCCTCTACGAGTACATCGTCGCCGGGCAGGAAGTATTTTGGAAACGTGGACAACTCCACGAATAAGCTGGACGCTATTTTCATGGCCTCGTTCCATTCCGAATGCGTTGCGATATCAAGGAACAGGTGAAAAATATCCAGGCACTTGGTATCTTCGATTACAGATGCATCTTGACTAAAGAATCCTGAGTCGTCTGTATTTAATCTGGAATTCAGCAGGAGTTCCAAGCAACGCATCCTCTCGTCGAAACTCTTTCTCGGGCAAGATACTACCAAGTGATTGAACATATCTTGCACAGTTCTCTCCTTGCTAAGTATTCGATTGCTAATTAACTTGACGTAAAATATTTCATATTGACGGAGGCACTTTTCCAACATGGAATGCTGTGCCTGGAATGCCGGAGATGGTCCCCTACATAAGGATCCTGTCGATCCCATTGGACTGACGTTCGTAAAATGTTTTGACGTGGTGGTCAATTTACTGTTCGAGGAAGAGCTTATTTCGTTTTCGACACAGCTTGCTTTAATGTCGTCCATGCTTTTATTCCTAGGCAAAGATTTCGCATCCTCGCTTACTACAACCGATATATTGGTACCGTCGGCTTGTATGGTGTACGTATCAGTTAACTTGGGAGTGCTTTTACTTCCCTTCTTCTTCGACTTTTTTTCGCTCCTCTTAGCGGCGCCGCCGGAATTAGCTCTTCTTCTCGTACTTGGACTCTTTTCCGCGAAGGAGATACCGGATATATCGGGCTTATTCAACTTGCTATCCGACTGACTTTTTTCCAAAGGAATCGCCGTCAGGGAATTATCACTAGGAACTGTAATGTTATTCAGAGATGTTTCTACTTTGGTATCTACTTCGTACTTGTCCGCATGAGTCGTCACCATCGTCGGTTGTACCTTCGACAAAATCTTGGCGCATAATTTCAGACTTTTCGAGATCTCCATCGAAGACAAAATATTAATATGATATAAAAGCTTGTTGGTTATTTCGTAAAACAAACCAGGAAGGTGCTCAGATGGAGTGTCTATGAATGCATCTAATGATACCGTCTCGAGTAAGAATTCCGTTAGTATGCACACTTCTACTAAATTTGGCATTCCACTACCAACAGTTTTTACAGTAGCATCCTCTATAATAACCTGTGTTTTTGCTCTTGTATTACAGGCCTTTCCGAATAAATGTCCACAATGTATCCAGATGTATGATGGTTCCAATGTCGAAAATAACAGATTCGCAGATTTCACTACTTCATTCGTTTTTGGTATGTGATTCAGTGCAGATTGTTTACAGGCATTATAAAATGTCTACAATACAATGCATAGTTAGAAAATATTTTTAAGAAAATGATTAGCATCTTATCTCTTTTTATAATCTAGTAAAGCTATATTTACCTAAACACTTCAAACAAAATATCGTCCAAAATTACTGGTCCAATATCCACTTTATCGAGTAACGAAACAAGTATTCTATATGGCTTCAAATCCTGTGAATTTTCTTCACACACTTCTTTAAGCAGACATTTTATCGCTTCGACTAGCATTTCTTTCGAATACGTATCGAAATATGTTACAGAATCCTCCTTGGTGTCCACAGTTATGTGGTTCTTTTTCTTTAAAATCGATGTACTCACTTCAGTACCCAATAACCAGGCAAACAAACGCCTACACGAAAATATGTAGTAAGTAAAGAGATTTTTTGAAGAATCATATATATATTTATTGTATCTTTCTTTACCTGTTTAAGCTCATGTCTCTTCGCAATATAGTAACTAAAGCAGCTTTGATTAATAATATCATATCTTGATGTGTCAATTGACTGTTATGTATAGGAAAACCTATTAATAAAAAATCAAGTGCACTTCTTTGCACTAGCACCGAAGTGTCTTGTACTCCTGCGCATAAGGCTGATACCTGATTTATAAATTGAAAAAAATTATTAAAAGATCACTTTAGTGTTCTAAAAAATTTATCTAGTATTCAAAATGTAATTTTTTATCTTACCATAATTTTAATATTAGTACCCATAATGTATCTTTGCTCCTCCATTGACAGTTTCTTGTTGAAGTGTGCTAGCACAAATGATATAGCAGGCAAGCGAATACCAGAATTTGAAGCTAAGCAATCCCAGAGACATGCATAAAAGTGTTCCGCACCCACACCATCGCACACTTTTTCCAGTAAGGAATTTGTCCTGATAAAATAATATATATACTCATAAATATTTGTGTATGTTGTGATATGAGTCATTTATGCATTATTCATAAGTATTATCTTTAGATTAATATATGAATAAAGTGTCAGAAAAAGTTAATATAGTTTTGCATAGAATATTAATAACTTAATAACCTATCGAAATGATCAGATCCATCTTCTAAGCCTAAAAGAACACCGCTTAAAAAACCGCTTAGTCCTGGCCTCAATCTTTCACCAAGTGGCACAAAGTGTGTCTCGTATACTGTTAACAATGATGGTCTGACATTCATAGCGGCATGACCCAACAATGGAAACAGTCCTATTAAAAAGATAGATGAAAATGTAGAATGTGTTGAAGTTGTATGTAATTTTTTTTCCATTACTCAACACATATACATACCTGCGCTATAAATAAAAAGCTCATGACTGAGTCTATTAGTGCCCATACACTTAAAAATAATGTCATATGTTTCTAAAGCTTTCAAATGAACACCAGAAGGTAATGCTGGATGCATACATTGGGCTAGTCTCTTTGATATTTTAATTCTCCTTGGAATAACAGGAAACTTCATATGACTTAGCAACACCTTGTTAAGCTTCCTAACGCAGAAATAAGATCTGCCCATTCACTCGTATATTCAAAGCTTTTTAAAGCCTTGTCAACAGCGGACACATAGCTGTGTAACAAATACAATATTTTATTAATAAATTTTTTAATGATAGTATGATATAAATATTAGTTTTCATAATACACATAAAAATTGTATTATAAATATAATTTATATTCATTATTATACTTACACTCGATATTTCGAGTCTTTCATTAACTCGTACTCCTCTAGAGCGATAGAACCCATTGTTGTCTTTTTTGTAATTTATTTTACGACTAAATAAGCTATGTAATATTATGTCTCAGTGTCACTTTACATGATCCCAATTATATTTTGTAAAATGAATCATTGCAAAGTTCCTTCCTGCTTATACCACAGATCTTATCATATAACACATCGTATTTAGATAAGAGGATACTTCAATACCTAGAAATTTACAGCTTTTATTATTACAGGACCGAGTTACACGTATAGTTATGCTTCGCAATCGCGTATTTTTGTTCAATCCAACCAGATATTTCCATATTCAGAAAATCAGAAATATTTTACCCGAATTTACAAGGAAGGAAAATCCTGCTTTTTCTTACCGAATGAATAATCGTCTATAAAATATAATCGGATCACGATTCATCGTGTGTTTACACAACCAATCTATCGGCTCTCACTATCAGCTTGGTTATCACGACACAGAGAACCTCACTTTATTCCCGTCGAAATGTTCAGTAATAATTGATTATTGATATATCTTTGAATCGAATCTTGATTTTGAATTACAATTTGTCTATCAAGAAGTCTCCACGAAAGAACTGATTTTTGACACGTAGCTTATTGAGAAAACGGTACTCCAGCTGACCTCCAGCTGTCTCGAGCGGGTTTGACGTTTGACTCGACGCGCTTCCGATTTTCGAAATTGACGGAACACTGGCCCCTGCTTCTTCGGGCTTACCTCTAACAATAAATGTTGACATTTCGTGCATGTGCCATCGACGGAGATGGCAAGGCTGAACGTCGGAGCGTCGACGCATGTTCGACGATTAAAAGCACTCTTGACATACGTGGACCCACGCTTGTCACATACATATATGTATATACGCGCACACACGCACAGCTTGCGGACACTAATATATTTTCATATTCCGTCAATCTAAATTAATTTCGGGATCAACGGGATCAAGTAGCATAACTCGCCAATTTTCCCTTTTCCGTTCCTAGTTTCTTACTCCACTCTCGTTCGATAATATATATATTCATGGACGATGACGACATTGGATTTCACGCGCACTGCGTGTGCATCATGTGCGTATGTCGGTGTGCGCGTGCATATAATATGGCTGCATTCGAGAAATATATAGAAATTTGTTGAACGAGTTGTTATCATCGAATTAAAACATCCTCTTTTAGATTAGATACACCAATGAAAATTGAATGGCTGTCCAAAGTTTTTTCTTCATTGCTTGATAAATTAAAACAAATTCTTAAAAAACCAACCTCTCAATGTTTAAAGTCGACCAGACTGGCAATAATTTATTATAAATAATTATTTGAAATACAACAACGTTTCGGCTGTCATTGCAGCCCTTTTCAAGTACATCAAATTTAAAACAGTAAATCAACTTCTATGCAAACTACCGACAATGTTAACGCTTGTTTTGATGAACAATGTAAGACTTTACTGTTTTAAATTTGATGTACTTGAAAAGGGCTGCAATGACAGCCGAAACGTTGTTGTATTTCAAAATTATTTATAATAAATTATTGCCAGTCTGGTCGACTTTAAACATTGAGAGGTTGGTTTTTTATTAATTATTACTGGCAACCTTAAGGATTATTATTTAAAACAAATTCTATTTTTTGGTATAAAAAATATATGTTTGAAATTCATATCATCATATATTATCATTTTTTCTCTTGACAGTTGCGCACGAATGATAAAACATGAAGAAAATCTCTAATAATTAATGACATTATATTAACATTTTTTCATAAATTGTCCTTCATACACAATCTATGAGCACCAAAATTACAGACTTATAAAAGTTATAAACACATTTCCAGATAAGATGAATTTCATCTATAGTTAATACACTGACTTATTTAATAAACTTATCAAATAATCTACTTTTGCAAAAGCTTAAATACAGCCCATCTAATTGATGTATAAAATTCATATGGAATGTTTACAAATATCATTTTTAGCAAGGAATAGACATATCGACAATATTTGTTTACATATTATTATACATTAATTCGAAATTATTAAGAGAAATATTTAAATATTGAAAAACATTTACAGACTTTCATAACATAATTTAAATCAATTTTTCTAAAATTATAACAATGCAATACACACATTAACACAGTTTTATCATTCTATTTAAAATGAATATATTATACTCATAAATTAACCCTCTATTGCCTCAATTAATTTTTGAAAATTGGAAAAAATGTGTCCAACAAATATATAAAATAATAAATTAAGTATCTATATTATTAAATAATAAAAAATGTAGAATCTTTATATACAATTTTAAAGTTACTGATTAATAAAGAAACAGGGACCAGAAATGAAATAATAGTAAAATTGGCATGAGACTCAAAAGATTTGAGCCAGCAGAGGGTTAATTCAAATGAGATAATTGTTATGTTAAACATATCCAGTATGTATCCCATAAGATTGTACATTATTGTGTATTTTGATATTAAATCCCACATATTTATGACTCTGCATCAGGAACATAATTTTGCACCCAAAGGTTGTGCTTTTGCAGTACGTTCCAGTCTTTTCTGCTGCTGTTCTATTCTTTTCTTCCTCTCTCTTCTCCTTCTTTGTTCTCGCAATGCTTTGGTAGGGTCATTGAATTCTTCCATAGCGTCTACTTCCCAAGCAGCAATATTTTCTTCCCATTCCTCCAATTCATTCTACATTCATAATATAAATGTAAATTTCTACCAATATGTCCTAGTTTTAGTTTTTTTCAAGTAAAAACTTACAGTTGGAACAGGATCCATGGGTATAAATTTTGTAGCATTGGGAGACGAGCTATCCAAATGTTTATCCTTTATTAAAAGTTTTGTCTGTCTAGTGATTTTTGGAGTCATATCCTATATAATGTTTAAAAATAAAGTTAGTAAGATAAAGTATAAGTTTATTTAGATATCAGCGCATTGGAATTAGTTTTAAAATTACCTCAAAAAAGTTAAGCCGTTCCTCAGTAGGTACTTCAGGAGGTTTAACTACTTGTTGTCGATACTCATCTATCTTTGCCTGTACCGTGTTGACTGGTTTATCCGGTATAACGACAACTGGATTCTCTTCCCATTTATCCCATTGTTCTAATTCCTTAAATAAATAATATTTGGTAAGCATTAAATTAAAGTTTGAATACATGAAAGCTAGCATTTCCTTATTTTTAATAAATCTACAAAAATTAGCATTTTGTGATATTACTATAATTTTTTAAACTTGTTTTGACATATTTTAGAGCAAATGTCACAATAATCTCAAGCTATGAGATAAAAATGGCGCGTTAAAAATAAATTTGCATAACCGCACAAATGAGCAGGCTTTCGTGACATTTTGACAGATTCATCAATGGCGATAATTATATTGACAGATGAATATTGATAAACATACCGTCGAGTTAGTTAAGACATTTGGTACGACACCGACCGTGGACAGGGGTTCGCAGTCGCAGGACGATCTTCTACGACGTCGAAGGCAGCACATCGCGCGTTTTAATAATCCGAAAAATATTACGAACAGAGCCTTGAGCCAATTTATCAGAAACTCCACAGCCATTTTTCACGGTAGCTAGCTAACCTCCCTCCTCGGAAGACAGAGATCCGTGCCGGTTTTACCGGGTGCGAGGTCGATGATCCATCTTGCGTGTCGTCGAGTCTTCACATCCTCCCGCGTCTTTCTCGCGCGAGACACGATGACATTTCAGGAAATTGTTAGCCCTATTAATTCGGAGACCCTCTTATTGTTAGACGACACATAACCTACATCGTCGACCCTTCTTTTTTGGTTAATGTTGGTTACGTTGTCAGGTATCGCTCGATTCGACTTGAACGTAAAGTCGATTGTCGATTATCGATTAGTATCGAGGTGCGATTCTCGAGATATTCTTTCAACGAGGAAGGAGTTCAGTCAAGTCGCAGACCGTGTCGCATCTTTACGCGAGTTTATCGCTTCGTCCACGTATAAATACAGGTATGTACCGATTTTTCTGAATGTCTGTCATATTGAGACTCGGGCTTCTGTCGAGCCGTTGACGTTAAATATCTCTAGTGTCAAAGATGCGATAATCTAATGCGCGGTAGGCAAAAAAAATGCATATATGTGCGTTTATTTTTATTACCATTACATGAAATATGTATGACACACATAACTCTTCATCATTTCCGTCATTTCTCAGAAATTACTTAAATATTATGTTATATATATATATTTTTTAATTCTATATATATATATATATATCAAAGATTAATAAAGTAAATCATGAGAAATAATTATAAAGAATCTTTATTTTATCGGGGACTCAGCAGGGCTTTCAATTTTTATTTTTCACATGGATTATAATTGCATTTAGATGCATATACAGTATTTTTTCTGGTCTATTAGTAGTTTTAACTTTAGAAAATCGTTTTTCAGGGAAAGTTAATTGGATCATGAATTAAAATCACATAGATATGAAAAAAGATGTACACCATATACCATAGATATACTTGAGATACATATATATCACTATACTTTTTATTTATGTTGTTTTTAGCCGCGCGTGCATTTCTCACGCCTGGCGTCGCGGTCGTACTGACACTTTTCATACGGAGCGCACTTCACTCCGTTGCAGTAAACGGCTTGTTGATTTTGATCTGCAAGGAAAAACGGCGGCTGCGGTAATTCTCCCGGTGAGTTTGTAAATTTATATTTTCAAGAGGCCCATATGCACATGACAGATTGCGTACATTATTCGCGTATGCAAAGGAAAAGAACCCATACAGCACACAAGTTTATAGCAATATTGCAACAACATTGCAATATTGCACATTGCATAGCAATATTGCAGAATATTAATACGCATGAATTTGCAATGTATGCAGCAACATTTCAGAAATATTATGAAAATAAAATTCACGCAAAAAAATATTAGGTACAGAACATTCAGTCCGATCATGTATTTGGCACATTTCCAATAATTCAATAGTAATATGACATATTTATTTTATTGCATTATTACTGCAATGTTATAGAATAATATTACTGAAAGCGGACATTTTACCGTTGTTGCAACCTTGCAACAAGATTGCTACAACATTTCACAATGTTTATGCAATGTTGTAATATTGCAATGAAATGTTGCCACAATGTTGCTGCAATCTTGTTGCGCACTATGGGAATAGTTGCAAAGAAATGAATTGCAAAAAAAAAATAAAATATAATTCTTGTTACGTACTGCTCGAACCCTTATATCCTCCATCGGCGCCGGTGTTTACAGCGCTCGATTGGGCGCACGATGTGGAACCGCATTTATTCGGGCAACATTTTTGATTGAAAGAACATTGTGCGTCGCCCATGCATCTAGGGGTGCAATTGGTCACTGAATTTCTCAGTGGACAGTTGCCGCTTTTATCTGTAGAACGAATGCAACGTACTATTAGTAAAGAGAATTTCTACAATTTATTTTTGTTAGATTAACACTTTTATATATTTTTTTATATTAACATTTCTTAAAATATATATTGAAATATCAAAGGGCAAAATAAATTTTTTTACACTTTACAAAATGTATTATTAAAATATTTACCCGTTCGTTATTACTTCAACATGTATACACGCGTTATACAAATACATTTTTATGGTTGACGTATTGTGAACAGCAGCTCATGCGAGAATATATTTTAATTGAATATTGCGTTGCTTAAATGTCCATATTAAAATTTTTGCATTGCAATACGCCGTTCTTTTTATTTGATACGCAGCAAAACATTTTGATATAGATATTTAATCAGAAAGAAATATTTTTATCGGCTCTCAGTATTAAGAATATAAATAATATTTATATTCTTAATAAATATGTAGATATTTAAATTATATAATTTCTTTTGAATTCGTATCATATGTATATTTATATTTATACATATAAATGTCTCAGAAAATAAGTAGATTATAATATTTAGATAAGATAATATATATATATATATATATTTTTTTTCTTTCTTTATAAAGAATTTGGAATTAATTCTTGAAGAATTTTTAGCGAATAATTTAAGATATTAATAGTATGAGATATAAAAAGATAACTGAATTTTTTATAAACTGAACTTTAATAATGCAAATAAAAAAGTAAAAATAAAGATTTAAAAAAATATTAATACATAATAAAATAATAAAAATTATTTTATTTTTAATTTAAAAAATAGATTCTATCTTAGTATTTTCATTTCATTAAATTAATAAAATAATGATTTTCCTAGAAATTTTTTTACCAAAGTTGAATAGAATTTTTACACATGGAAAAATTAGTGTTTCAAAATTTTCTAACTATTAAAAAAAATCAAGTTTTATAGCAAATAATATATGTTTAGTTTTATTTTTTTTATATTAAAGTTAAACAGAATTTTTACTTTTTACACATGAAAAATTAGCGTTTTGAAATTTTCTAACTACTAAAAAAACTCAAGTTTTATAAGAAATAATATTATGTATGTCTATTTTTATTAAATCTTGAGGAACATTTGGTATAAAATAAAAGAGCTATAAACGCAATACTTATTGTTAGAACAAAACAGGTTTTCCAAGATTTATGAAAGATATGCAAAATTACACATTACATACATTTACATTTATTATTCTCGGGTATAATTAATAATGTTTACTTACGAAATTGAGCAAAGGTGCTGACAACTAGCAGCATCAGCACCACGGTTGAAAATAATAAACTTCCTGCAAAGTACAAATATTACATATTAATTACACAAATAAACTGCAAAGTATTATATAAATTTTTTTGATTAATTTTCATTTTTTATAATACGAACTTAGATAAAACTTTATATTGATGCATATATATATATATATATATATATATATATATATATATGTGTACGTATTTGCATACAATTGTAAAATGTGTGTATGAAAATTGAAAATGATAAAAAAATAATCTGATATATATATACATATATCTTATAAAATAATAATTTGATATTTTTATAATGCAAACTGCATGGAATTTGTTATTTTACTCGATTTTTAGAGTTTTGTGTCATGATTAAGATATATGCTAATATATCGTGTGGAAGTTGATATTATTTTTATGCTGTGAGAAGTGTGTGCGATGTCAATCATAATAATCAAGGCTACGAAGCGTTTAAATACTTACGTTTCATTTTATGAGCTGTTCTCGAATACTTCTAAACGCACAACGATAACAACGTCCGCCTTTAAACACTTTCCACCTCCACTTTGACATTGAACAAGTAAGGACGAAAAGAGAGTGCGAAATAAATTGCGATATGCGTGTTCGTCTATAATGTGGTCGGATTCAGGAAAATGTTGATACAATTACTTGAACTTAAGTGCTTTTTTAGACGTTGTTTATGTAACGTTTACATTGACGTAATTGATAGCAGTGAAATCCGGAGATTACTCATCGCTATGAAATCACGTAATTAATGTTACGATTTTTTTATTTTTTTTATTTTGTATAACAAAACAAATCCGTTTGCTTTTTAAAATCGTGCATCTGCTGGATTATGTGTTTCCTTGAATATCATCGACGAATGCACTAGAGGTTTAAATTCCTTATTTTTCAATTTAATTTAATACAAAAAAATCTTTATATAATTTAAAATATAACTTATATATAATATTTTATTTTTATTGCTTATATTTTTGTTAGGAAAGAATTTGAAGGAAAGAGGATTTAAAAATCAGAACATCTTTGAAACAGATAAATATATCTTTGATCGCTAATTGAAAGCATAATTAATTATATTTGTAAATCGTTACTAAGTGTTTTAAATCCGTATTTCACGAATAGCTATTAAAAAACTCGACTTAATCTTCTTTTATATTATTCATAGTCATTAAATCCTTATTTACTATCTTGAATTATTGATTCGCTAAATAAATTCACGATTATTAATAAGTAATTTACTTTATAATATTTATCAAATTAAGAAATTAGTTGCATATAAGTGAGAGTTAATTTTATTAATTTATATATAATTTATATTAATTTATACGTCTGCACATATTTAAGTGTCGGCGACTTCTTTATTATATATATATATATATATATATATATATATATTTTATATTTTAAAATCTCGAACGTAACAGTAGATGCGCCACTGATGACAAGTACATTTTTCTTGATTGTAGTCTTTTATACAGCCTTGGCTTTTGTTATATCATACTAGAATTATATGTATATGTCGATCAACAAGATTTATTCCCAGCAAACACCGATATATAATTGTTACATTGCTATAATAAAACGGAATATAACCAAATAGCACATTGATGTATTGATAAGTCAGTGCTATCTTGGGATATAATGACAATATAACTACAATGTAATATATGTAATATTAAAAATGTTACATCTATGAGTGGGAAATTACAACTAACATATACGTTACATGTAACATGCTTGAGTATATAACATTTATATACTGTGTTTGCTGGGTTAAATATTCCTTTACGATTTATTACGGATTATTCTCTAGGTGTTTTAACAGTACGTTTTCGTGTATAGTTTTTCTACATTTTATAGAGATATAAATTTAATTAATTAATTTTTTAAAATATTTAATAATCTTATCTTTTTAATATAGCAGACAAACTAAATCATATAAATACAATTTGTCTAATTGTTTCATGGTCTAAAAAAATTTCTGCCGATTAAATGGATTCTTCTATTTTTCCATCATACAAATTTATTAAAATTATGATAAAAATATGTCATTTTTTCTTTCTTAATACAATAATCGTTGTTTGAAAGTTACAGAAAATAAAATTATAATAAATTAATAAATTATAATAATTAATAATTAATAATTAATAAATAATTAATTCATACATACGTCAAATATAAAAATCATAAGCATATTGAGTTTGTATATATTCGTTATTATACGGGGACAAAAATAAGGATTAGCAACATCGTTAGTAATTATTGTAATCATTTCCAAAACGTTAAACATTAGGTCTAATTGGAGTTTCGCTGGATTCAAATATTTCAACCTCTGGTTTTTGGCAAGCTAGAGCCCCACATCTGTTTTTGCAGCACTTTAGATTTCCTTTACAATCGTTGTCGTTATTGCAAGTCGATGAACAGATCCATCTTCCTGTTGGAATCGATGGACAAGATCCTGGTTTTTCTGCACAAAAAATTCAATTTCTTATTATATAATTATGATTATTATTATACTTATATTTTTTATTATATAGTTATAGTTTATATGAATCCCTATATGCTGATTTATTACTTCCACTAATTTTATAATAATAAAAATAATAAATTAGTTGTAAGGCTTATTTTCCTCTTCTTTTCTTTTAAACATTTTTTATTTATTATAGTTACAACAGAGAAAGATACACAATATTAATAAAACGACATATTAGATTTACAATTATATTTTTTAATTATATTTTTTAAGAATATTATTAATAGAATAACACTCAAAAATTGTTGCTAATAAAAATGTATAGCTATGATAAATTTTGATCTATACTGTAATGTTCATTTATATTGAATTCTATTGAAATTTTTGCAATTGTTTGAAAATATCGCGTCGATGTTACTGTTTCAGATGACTAATCAACAATAAGTCTAAGGAGCTTACTCCGTTGGAAATTACTCACCTGTTTGAGTAGGTCGCGTCATCGTGACAGGCATAGAGCAAATAGAACCACCACATCGGGTCGGACAGCACTTGCCAATTCCAGCACAATGTGCGTCAACGTAGCAGGAACGTCCGCAAAATTGTACAGGTAAGGCAGGTGGACACGAACCTGCTTTTGCTACAAATCTGGTCTGTGCTTTTGCGATAGAGATTATCGCTACAAAGATTAGAAACAGGATCAGCAACTTCATTCTTTTGCTGTTTCCAAACACTGGTTTGTAATCTTGCGTATCACGGGAGAGGCTAAATACGACAAATATTTTATTTCAAATTAATTTATCAATTTAAACCAATAAATAAATTGAAAAACTCAATTTAATCATAGAACTGATAATAGGAATCTTTGTTATAAATATCAAATGGTTATAAATAGCAAATGGATACGATATTATGAATGATTACTTTTAACTGAATGTTATGAGAATTATTTTCATAGAAATATTAAATATTAAATTAGTAATTATGTTACACAACTCTAATAGTTAATTTAAACAAATTTTAAATACAATTTTTTCGGAAAATAAAACAATTGTCATAATTATAAATGATCAATTATTGCTTTCATCAATTAAAAAATATAGACTATTGTGGCAAAAATTTTTATTTTAGCAGATTCTTCATTAATTTTTTTTTTAATTATAAATTTGAGAAATTAAGTAGAATAAAAGAATGATTCACTGATATTAATAACCTAGTCTGGAATTTATATTCAATGCTAAATGTAACACTAAGAGCGACTTATATCTTGACCTCAACTTTGTCTCTCACTATTTTATAATGCGTAACACACTATTTATATTATGAGAAAATTACACTTCTGCACTCAAGGTTTAAAAAATACTTGCTGATTTGTTTATGTCATACTTTTTACTCTGGGAATATAGGAGGTAAGTAAAGATGATCAGAGTCTTGTCGTTTTTGCCAGTCAACAGAATAGTATATATATGCCTCTGATATATATATGCCTACCATTCGTCAGCTTCGTTTTTCCCCCTCTTATATTATCGTTCACTTTTACTTACAACTCTATAATATCGTACACGTACATATAAAAACACATATATGTATGTATACTCATTTGATAATTGTTATAATTTATAATATAAATATTTGAAAAAAAATTTTATTATTTATAATACTATTGATATTAAAAAAATTTTACGTGTGAATACAATCTTTTTCAAAACTACACTGAAAATAATTTATTAAATTTAAATAATTATTTCATTACTGTCTTATAAATCATTTATTTGAAATTAATAATATTGATTTGATGCTAATAAATATTTATTTGATATAAAAAATTCTTTTCAAAACAAATAAATATTTATTTGTTTCAAATAAATGATTTATAAGGCAGTATATATTGAAATAAAAATATTAATTTAATAATTTTTTTCAGTGTATATTTATAATATATTAATTATATTAAATGTGCTATACCATCTTGATATGGCATAAGATGTTTATTTAACTTAAATTTCGATTTGATCAAGATAACTATTATTGTTGCAAAATGATGGAAAAATATTTTTATAGAAAAAAATGATGCCTTTTTGTCATGAGTGATAAATTTAGCATAGCTATTCTTATATGCTGCCTTAACAATTATGTCTTAATATATATTATGCTTACCAAATATGCCTTTAAATGAGGTTATATGGTATAATCAGAAAACGTTGGTGGTTAACCGCAACCGCAATTAGAATTATTCATCAACCTCTAATTAGTTCCAATTTGACCGGAAGGAGACAAACGGTTTTCGAATCGTTCTCGTGACAGTTTCCTTCGTGACAAAAGTATTTGACAGGGTATAATAACAGGGAAAAAAGAAAAATTTTTTACATATAATATTTGTCTATATTATTTATCAAAGAAGTAACATAATTTTTATTCAAAGTACAAATTATTTCTCGTTGCAAATATCAAAGACATTGCACATTAATGAATGTATAATACTTGATATTATATATCGTAACAAACTTACTTACGTTACGTATAAAGAGAGTAACTTGCATTGCCGAGTGACATTTTATTATTTTAGTTTTGTATTTATTATGCATTTGAAATGCATTGCATTTCTTATCGCTTAAAAATATACAGAAAAATAAAGGCTAGACTTTGAATGTTTCTCTGTCTATATTTTTTTAATAATACATACATATAAATATAAAATAAAATTGGCGGCGGGCATAATAAAAAATATTATAAAATATTTACGAAATTATGCATTAGTCTTAAAATTAATGATAAATGCATCCTTGGTACTCAAGCCTCTTTATACCTGAGAAAAATCGAGACGATTATAAAGAATAAATGAATAATTGATTTAATTAATTGGGCTAATTAATTTAATCTTAATATATTGGGTTCTAGTGTTATACATATAAAACGCTATATAAAAATAATACAATATTTTTAAAAGTTAGACTTGATGTTTGTATAATCAAAATGGACGGGAAGTGGGGAAAGGAATTAAGGGAGAGGAAAACTGCAAAAATACATCTGCATTCCTCATCTGTAATTTTAGCATTCTATTATTGACATGCAAATTCTAAACTCCTTTGCATCCGGAAATAAATGTTTTGTCTACGCGTTTTTAGTTATTTAAATTGTTTGTTTGATACTAGTTATATTCTTTTCTTTTCATGTGGAATTCAATAAAGTCTACAGTTTATTTATAAGCCTGAGTCACATCCTGAATTCTAAAGTTATAATGAAAATATAATAATTTTATATCTTAATTTGCACGTAGACTAATCAAATTGACGCTTTAATTTTGTACGAATAATATGGTATGAGTGAGAAAATTCACGAATATCTTTGAGTATTTTTACAAATTGAATATTTTCGCAAATTGAATATTTTTACTGTGCATATATAAAAATAATTATGAGTAATAACCACTGCCTTACACTTAACAATCTTCCTCCGTAGATAGATGTATAACGTCATAATTATTATACATAATTATCGAGCACATCACGATACATGATATATAGTAAATGGCTAACACTTAATTATTTTATCTATTATAATAGTTCAGTCATTGATTTAAAATATAAAAGAATCAATGTATTAATTTGTATAAAAACATGTTAATGAGTATTTTTGCACATGTTTCAATTTCTGTTTTCTACTTCTTAGTTGTACCTGCAACAAATAATAAAAATACATTAAAAACGGTTAAATTATATATGAGTTACAGACTGTACAGATAGTTTACATAATTATATTTTTTTTATTCATTATTTATTCTTTTTTAATTATAATTACTTATATCTTAATTGTTTGGAAATTATATTTTTTAAAAATTGCGAAATTATGAATTATGCATTATAGCATTGAGGCAACGAATAAAACTCGTATTTCAGTGATTGATTGATTCAATATGTTAATATGTGATAATCAACAGCTCTTATCTTTTCGAATGCTTTAATTACTAAAAAAAAAAAATAAGGATTTTTCTTTGAACGTATATTTGTTACGAGTTATAAGAACAAGTTAGTGTGAATCCCTCATAAATCTTTTTCTTAATCATGATTTCTACGAAATTTTTATAATTTTCCCTTGACCTATTCTTGGAGAACTGCATTGAAATATGTTGCAATAGGTCAGTGATTCATTTTGCACGTGGTTCAAACAAAATAATTATCACGTCATTTTCATTATAAATTCGAGTTTTCAGTATTATTATCTGCATGAAATTATATAATTATATAAGTTATGTAATTATAATAATTACCTATATAATACAATAATTATGTAATATTATTATATAACAATAATATTTAATTTATAATTAAAATTAATTAATATTAGATATCATAATAATAATATTACATAATATTTGATAAATGATTAAATTACATAATATCAATTACAAATATATATCGTACCTCTCGGTGGCACGGGTGGCGCAGACAATTTCTTTGGTATGGCGCCGAGAACCTTGGCAGCCTCGTGACTCATATTAACAGCAAGGTTCATGTAATCCGGCACTTTGGTCTCAGTGGCCTCGTTCGTATTTTTCGAAATGTTGGTCGAGTCCGCCGGTACGTGTCCCTCGTCGTGTTTCATCCCGACTGTCTCTTGACCGCGCACAGTGAGCGCAGAATCAACCTCGTCGATGGACGGTTTCACCTTCGTTATTTCGGAACATGACGCCTCGACGCTCTCGTCGCCGTGATATTCCTTCATTGCAATCTCGCAATCTACGCGAACAGAATCCGCGGCTACGGTTTCGTTGCAATCTGGAATGCACATTCCCGGCGGTGCAACTGGCGGTGGAAAATTCGACGTCGACGGCTCGATATTCGTATAACTGTTGTTACCGGTGTGCTTCGCCGCTGCGATCTCTTCCGGATTTTTGTCCGACGAGACGTTCGGAATAAAGTCGAGATATCTCGAATGTTCGCACGGCGAACTCGGTGTATCCGGTTCTCTCGGAGAACCGTCCGCTTTAAACGCTGCGAAAATTCAATATTGCAAATTCACATTTTTATATATTTCTCAAATCCTAGATATTATAAACACGGAAAAAATTAGTTAAGCTGTTACACATAAAATTTAGTTATCATGCTTAAATTTTAGCTATGATAGCTAATATTTTTTTTTCGTGAACGTTTAGAAAGATGTCTAATAAATGTCTCTTAATTTTTCGACATTTTTCGAACGTTTTCGGACTTGATGCATAAATGTACGATTTAATGAATGAAATAGTACCATGAACGGGTAAACCTGACGGTGGAAACGCGATGTAATACTCATTATCACCAGCTCTGGATGGTGACTGCGCTTGTCGGAGGTCGAGATCACGCGCGATAGAGACGGTCGGTGATGGGGAATACCCAGATGCTGGTGAATACCTGCCTGCGAACGGCTTGGGCGCAGGTGGTATTTCGTAGGATGTCATGCCAGTCTTCTCGTCTCTGATATTTTGAAGCTGAAAAGTCATTTTAATATAAATATAATTAATAATGGGAAATAAATGGAAATTATGCGTTATTTTGTATTTATTCTCTTTTTCTAATATCTATTTTTCTCGAATGTATTTTTTTTCTCTTGTATGTGAAATGGTAGTATAGGCTCATTAAGAGCCTGACGCGGAAGATGCTGCGCGAAAACAATTTTTAATAGATAATTATATGTAGAAAAATTGTTTGAAGAATTTTTCTATATTGTTCGAGCGATTAAAGAAATGATGAAATAATTTTTCATTTCTTTAATCGCTCGAACAATAAAGAAAAATTCTTGAAACAAATTTTTCTCTATATAATTATCTATTCAAAAATTTGTAGCTCGCTTCCAATTTTATATATTGTTAACAATCGAGCCTTGATTTAATATTGAAAAAAATGTTTTAATAAAAAAATATTTGACAGGCTTCTTAAATATCATTTTTAATAATTAGCGTAAAAACATATTTATACATATAAGGGAAAAGATAGCGATTGTTTTATTCCTCTGAGTCATTTAGAATTGATCGGTTCTAATTTCTGATATATTGTACGTACTCTTCTATCGTCGGAATCCGAATGGGTTCCACTATCGCCCAAACTAGTGCCACTGCAGCCACTGACAGTGCTCATTCTGCCAGATGAGGACGAACCTAGAAAATTGTATGAACGCGTTAATAAAGTGTCTCACTATTCATATATAGCAATTTATAAATTATAATAAGTCTAAAAGATACTTAAAGATGTTCAATTCTAGATATCTCTGAAGTTTTTGTTTGAAAAGAACATTCTGAATGATAATATTCATGTTAAATTACTGAAAACTTACTGGAAACACTACGAAGACTTAAACTGCTGACAGGTCTGCGATCAGCTAATCCACCGTTAACACTTTCAGATTTCGAAGACGAATCAGCGACTGTACTAACAGATTCCTTCGTATCTGTAACAAAATTCAGTCGAAAAATTTTAATTATTATTTCCCATTTCGATAATCTCACATGAAAATGAGCGAAGGAATTCTAAAATGCAATTACGCTTGCCTTTCTTTCCTTTGGAGAAGAATTTTCGTATCTTCTCGAAGGGCGTCGGGGTCTTCATTTCTTCTTTCAATTTTCTTTGTATCCTGTCGTATTCCTCCCTCATCGCAGTAAGCTGTCGTTGCTTATCTTTAAAACTTTGTTGCACATCGTTTCGCTTCTGCCAGTTTTCAACTAGTCTCTCTACTTCGGATATCGTAAAGACATTATTTTTGAAATCGTTTATAATCTCCAAGAGTTCGTCTTGAGGACCCGATGGCTCTCTAGACTTGGTGCTGCCGTTAGACGACGTTCTGTTGTAGAGAAAATTCTGACATATCTTTTGAACGCAATTTTCGTCTCGTACTCCTGGCGAATTTTGATGACATTCTTGACGAACGCCTTGTATAGGTGTACTGGTTCGGGATTGTGGTGAATTAGTTGTGTTTGTGCTAAGTATCTTTGAAGTACCTTTAAATATCAAATATTTTTCGTCAGATATTTATTCTTATGTATCCATTTTTGAAGATGAGATTAGATAAAAATGAGTCAAATTCAAGGTTAACGTAATCTATATAAAATTGTTGAATCCTATACAGCACAACAAGATTGCAGCAGCATTGTGGCAACATTTCATTGCAATATTACAACATTGCATAAACATTGTGAAATGTTGTAGCAACGGTAAAATGTCCGTTTTTAGAAACATTGTTCTATAACATTACAACAATAATGCAATAAAATATATATGTAATATTACTATTGAATTATTGGAAATGTGCCAAATACATGATCGGACTGAATGTTCTGTACCTAATATTTTTTGCGTGAATTTTATTTTCATAATATTTCTAATGCTGCAACATTGTTTAAACTATATTGCAAATTATATATTGCCTATATAATATTTCTGCAATATTACTATGCAATGTACAATATTGCAATGTTGTTGCAATATTACTGCAAACTTGTGTGCTGTATGGGATCTTTATATTTAATTATATTCAATAAAATATATATTAATATTTGAAGATGCTGGCAATTTTTGGAAATACATTATAATAAAAATAATGAATTATATATGCTAGTTAAGATGAAAAATTGTGAAGAAACGGGTCTTTTACCAGCGGGCTGCATTTTTATGTAACCTTGAAAAGATAGAGAATCCAGTCCGTTCGATATGGCAGTGGTCGTTGGTGTGGACGGCAATATTACTGGCGTAGGTGTCGGCACGATCGAATAATTCGCTGCTAAAGTGTTGTTCGTGGACGTACTAGGAACCGTCGTCGTTTGTAGAGTCGAGATTAGAGTCGTAACTGGTCTCGCGATCGGTGGTACCAAGTAAGCTTCGCTCAAAGGTCTCGGTCGACAATAATCTTCCTTTTCGCTGCCGGTTTCATTCGCTGACGAGACGTCCGTGCTTGAATTCGTTCCTAAATACATTTACATTTTCTTTTTCAACAATAATTGAACATTATTTTTCAAGACATTAGATTGATTTGGTTTTCGAAAAAATATGTATTATTATTGCGATATATTGCTTAAAATACCTGTCGATCGGTTGTTGGTCTGGCTTATGACTTTGAGATAGCTATACATGTTGGTGAACTCGTTCATTTGCTGAAATTCCGATTGGGATCCAAAATCACGCCCGAAACATGCAATGCAGAGTTAATAACATCGGTTAATTTTTTGATTGATTGAGATTATGATTTGAAAAGTACGAATAAATAACATGCAAATTCGCGCGATTTTTCTTCTTGAAATATTCTTGCTTCGAGATAAGCAAGGAAAGTTTAAAAGTGATTAAAAGTAAGATACCTTTCAAAGAGAAAAAATGAAGAATTTTATTCTTATTTATCAGACATACATTAAAATAAAGTTAATTTATTCAAATAAGTATTTTTTTCAAAATGTTTTTGTTATTTCGCTGAGGCAAAATCTTTGAGGTTGTTTAGATATTATATAATAAATAAGACAGAAGCTTCTCATTAAATAAAAATAAAGTCTTTGTTCTTTCTCTTTTGAAGTACATACAATTTATTTACTTTGAAAACTTTTCTCGCAAGGCAAGCACGCGTATAATAAGCGTGAAAAGTCTTGAGAGAGGCGAAGAATAAAATCTCGCGAAAGTACCGATTGCGCTCGACTATTTGCGACGTCGGTCTAAAGGCGAGGTTTTTGTACCATGTAACCCCGTAGTTGATGAGCCAGTCTCGCGTGTCCGGCTTGCTCGGCGAGGTCGGTCGGTGTTAATTCGGAGACATTCTTCAAGTCGCAGGCCAGATCGCCACCCGGACACTCCAGTAATTGCCAGGCCAGTTTTTCCAGACCAAATCGCGCGGCGAAATGTAACAATGTCGGATTTTCCTCCGGACCTGCGAAATCAATACGAAAATCGCGTTGTCAATGAAATTGACTCGAATACATCACTTTATATATTTATTCAGTTATTAAATTAGATGTTACTTACTTGTATAATTTTTGTGAGAAGGTATCATACCATTCGGAGTGGATAGAAGATTAAAGTTGGGCGGGATGTTTTTCTGAAACGCGTGGACCATCCAATTGTCCAACTGTTCGCGATCGGTAGCGCCGAAGCCAAAAGTCTGCAACAAATAAAAAAAACTAAAGGCTTTATAATATCCCTTAATAATAGTTTATATAATTTTCCATTATAAAATAATTTTTAATTATTTTATAAAATAGCTGTAGTAGTTTGATATTAGATTAAATGAATTTTTATGCAAATAAAATTAAAATGAAATGAAATTACCTGGCACATAAATTCGAGAGGATTATCGTGCGCCCTGAGGATCTGATCTAATTCTCTGAGTCTGCTTTCACACTTGACTTGTCTAACTCCGAGCGAACATCCGTTTTTAGATATCCTCACGCCGACTAACATGGACACTTCGAGACATCTCTCCGGTATTGAAAATTGTAGCGCATAAGGATTTCTTCGTTTTACATTACTTATATTGATAGCGTCACCGCAGCGATCAACGACCACTGAGACGTTATCCTCGGAATTCAATGGATCATTTAACAAAACGATTAGCTTGTTCTGCCCCTGCGAACGCGTGCGTACATTCTTTATCTTCAACTCTTGGAATGTATATATTTAAAGAATTTTTCTCAACAATTACTTACTAGTTTGACCTTTTTGGGATGCACGGAAAATGCAGTTTTGTCGTTTCTAAGGGCTGGTGGTGGCATAGTGCCCAAAATTGCGACCGCCGCGCCCAGTAACTCACTTACGAAGGTCTCGTCCTGATCTTTAACGAAAAATTTCCTCCACTGATCGTAGGCGATCAGGCTAGATCTATGAGTGTCGTTGATGTGATTATCTTGGACTCCTAACATCATCGCCAACACTTTCTCGGCGACCAGATGACTGGTCAGATGGACGGCATTTTCCGGACTGGTCCGGATACGTTCCAGTAATATCGGACACACGATGACGATCTGAAGACGAGACGATTGAATCTTCTCTTCCATTTTTGGAGCTATCGGTTCCTCGATCGCCATATGACGTACTCTGAAACGATACATTATCGGTTTAGAAAATCAGGCCATTTTATTAAATTAGTCTAACAAATATTGCCTTCTAGGTATTCTATTTCATTCTTCTTACTTGAACGGGGCTCGCCCTTGTTGACGACTGATTTGCTCGAAACATGCAGTTAAATAATTAACCCACAAGTTGGAAGCTTCGCTGTCCTTGCTAGAGACAAAGAGGACATCGTCTTCTGCGTGTCCGTCTCTCGATAAGATTGTTGAATGCGACCCTGAAACAAGCAATTGAAACATTAAATTAATTGACTCAAGTATCTATAAGATACTTTTTATATAGGGATATTAAATAAAGCTTATATTTTTAGATGAAGATGTGGAAGGCAAAATGTTTTTGCTTTCTAAGTAGAGATAGCTGAGGATTATACATAATTCTATCACTAAATAATTATTAAAATATTACTAGATTTTAATTATATAATATATTTTATTGATTTGGGGCGGGTATATTAATAATTTGCGTTTTTCCCAGTATATTTCTTTACTACCGTCCTTTAATTTACGGAATGTATTCTATGTATGTCACATAAGCATTATAAGCAACCTTGCATGATTTAGGTTTGTCATGACGCACAAGGGATGCGTTTAATTTCGGGTGACGCATATCACGGAACACGCGACGCAACTATAATACGTTTAATGAAATAATGTCGCAGATAACGTGGCTATTTCATGCTACACGCGAAAACGATGACCGTAGGATGATGAAACGTTGTCCTAAAACGTAAAATCAGCACACAGTGTATCGCCAGTAATTCGAATCAATTGAAGAAACTTAACGTGACATATAATACACCCTAACTGAATGCTAGTAGCAGTAAATGATGATTTATTCCAATTTTTATTTTTATATTTATAATAGTAATATAATTTATATAAAAAAATATTGTGAACGTTTTCGCTAAATCGGCTCTAAATTGGCTATGGAAAAGTTATTGAAAGAGGATTTAGTCTATTTTTTATGCCTTATATATTTTTATAGAATTTTTTCTACAATAACAAATATTAAATAAATTTAAATGAAAAATATTTCCAATAAACTATTTTATGACAGAGCTAAAAATGAAAAAAATTCTGCAGTTTCTATTAGCGGAGTGTTACGACAACTTTTTTTAATCTCGTTTGATCTCTAATACGTGAAGCGCGTGACTTGCGTTTTCAATATTTTCAGTTTTAAGCTTTAATACTTGGGTTTCAAGACCAGAGAAATTTATTCTGTTCACGCACAAAAAAGTTTATTTAAAAAATTTTTTTGTTGAAATATTTAATATTACTGCAAATATTTTATTATGCATTATTTTCAAAATTTACACGTTATCTTAATGTTTTCTATTTTCTATTTTATTCCGATCTTAATTGCTAGCGGTATCTGACAACTTTGACGAGAAATTACAATGATAATATTGCGGAAAATACATTCGTTTGTAACGCACGTGGGTTGTAAACCGCTCTTCTATCATCTGGATAATGATAATTATTGCTGTAAAAAGATCAATGCACTCAAAGAGACGCATGTCAGATTACTTTAAGACACACAATTTGCTCTTTTACGATTATCGGGATATTCTCGTTAATTATTCACGCAATAATATGCATTTTCGAGAATTTATATTTTCTCATTTTGACTTACGTGTTAATGCGTAAAGATTTAAACAATTTGGCCGATTTTTTCTTCTTGGTCGAGGACTAACGCAGACATCGGCCATCATTTTTCTTTCTTCTGATTATATTTGAAAAATTCAATTGCATACGTTTTTAAAAGGCAAAGCATTAAAAACACATATTTCTTTCCGTTGCTTCCGTTTTAATGACAAAGTTTTAATTTTAATATTTCATTATCTTACTATTATACTGAATGTTTACAGTTGCACAAATTTTGATAAGGTTTTTTCTCGGAACAAAATTGTCTCTTTTAATCGGATGAAGATGAGTCGTCGGATGACGACGTACGACTGCTCGAAGTATATCTCAAGAGGAAATCGTACCGTTTATTCCATAGCCCCACCCTGAATGCATTGTTTTCACGCTCAGCTTTAGAGGCGAATTAGGCGATGCCCATAATTTTTTTGTACGCATGATGCATATTAAATTGCGAACTCTCTATCCGAATGTCTGTTTCTTCATTATGGTTGCATCAAACAATGACAATATTATACATTCGTATCTCTCTCAAATTTCTGGCGATTTAATTAGCGCTTTATTATTAAATTTTTTATTATTAATTTAATTTATTTATATTATTTTATATTTGTTCAAAATATAATTTATTAGACCTGTTTCAAATGTCTAAGTTATCCATATTATATTTAGCAAAAAACATTTTGAAAAGAAATAATAACTATTTAAATATTCTTCAAAAATAAATTATTTATGAACTTGATTAAAATATGCACTTTAAATGAAGAAATTTTTAAGATGTATATTTTTTTAATTAATGTAATAAATAATTTTTTTGCAGAAAATTTTAAAGATATTTACTATCATTTTCACAATTTTATTTATATATAACAGTAAATATATTCTTTTAAAATTGTTAAAAATTTTAAATATATATATATTTTTTTTATTTTTAATTTGTTCAGAAAAAATTAAAGAATTAAAGTTGTTAAACAATCAATATAAATATTTATCAGAAAAAAATATTTTTATCGGCTCTCAATATTAAGAATATAAATATGATGTTTTTTTTCTTTTAAATCGGCCAACAGAGCCAAAGCACGAAAAATTAATTATTTGGAACTGTATCTCTTGGTTTGAGATCACTAAGTTCTATATATAAATTAATCTCGAAACTTACATATGGAGAAATAAATATTTATATTTTTGTATATTTATGTCACGTTGTAAAATGCAAGCAACATAGCAACATTTTGCTTTTTATTTTATTTTAAATGTTTTAGAAATGTTTTAAATATTTTATAAAACCATTATCTCTGTGGGAAAATAAATTAATAAACAATTAAAGAGGTATAATTATAATTTCAAATACTAATTGTAAGTAAAATAATTTGTGGATAAACAGTTGATAATTGTATAAACAATAGCGTTATTTAAATCTCATTGGTATTCAATCCAAACATTGCTTTTGCATATGATTAATATATTGTGTGTTTGTATTGGATAAATCAGAACATGCACAGCTGACGCTTAAAAAAATAGTAAATGTACATTATAAATCGTCGACGTGAATCGTTAAAAACCTACATTTTACATTTTCAATGTTAAATATTATTAATTTTATAATATATAGGATGTCTCGCGATATTTCTATACAATTATGCTCCATTAATCTCATTTGTAATTAATTTATAATAATATTTAAACCACCATTTGATTTAAAAGCATGTTTCTGCGAGGTAATTTCATTATACTCTTATCCTTAATTAAGCACTTAATTTTATTACAGCTATTGATAAAAAATTGATAAAAACATAAGATTAAAAAATAATTACCAAAGTACTCTGCGCTCCTTTTGGCGTAATAATCTTCAGCTTTTATCCTCATTTTCATTTCGCTATTATGATATTTCTATGCGATTAATGTAATTCATCTAGTTTATCCACTCATTTCGAAACACTGAAAAAAACGTATCATCTACAATTGACACTAATGAATCACTTAATTGATTTGACGACAAAACACTTCCACGAAGAATAGAAATTAAATAAATTGATATAAATCGATAATCTTTTGATTTTATAAAAAAAAAACAATAATTTAAAGACTAATTTTTATTTATAATAATATACTGTAAATATTAGTAAACATTTTTTTAATACTAATTTAATGGATATTGAAAGTTAAAGTAATTGAAATTATGCCGACATTTAATTAATATATGTTAGAAAATGAATAAAGAAAAAAATACATGTATTGTACACATATGAATGACGACGAGCGTGAAACCGATCTCGAACGTAAGGCACGGCAAGACTGAGTAGACATTTCAGTGTTTCTCGGAGGATGCACTGACCAATGCTTATGTCTGGCGCAGGCGCATCGCCAAGACATTATTCGTAGAGAGAGATTTTCTGGGTCCGGCACGTGGCGATCCATCGATTCTTCTTCTTTTTCGATCGCGAAATCATAAAAATATTTTCTCATTATAAAACTATAGTATATTTTAGAAAGAGAATTATTTGTACACTCTTTCTTCTATAAATGCAAATTTTTTTAAAGAATGATTTTTTGAAGCATATTGCTAGGAAAATAAGAAATTCGCAGAGACAGCAGAATTTAATTATCATGTGCATCTGTTTTATATAAAATTAAAAAAATAGACATTTCTTATATATTCGATACATTAAAAAAATAAATAACAAGAATGTTTTCGTATTATATCAGTTTTGTGAATATTAAGTACACGATTTAAATTTTTGAATGCTATGTGAAAGATTAATAGAAAGCGAAAAAGAAAAGATTAGAAGATGATGAAAATTATCATTTAGTCTAATCATAATAATTAAAAATCCGTATTATGTTTTAATTATTTTCAATTTTATATAAGCTTTTTTTGTGCGATTTTTTTATTTTACATTTATTATTTTCGTATAAATAAATAAGCGCCACTTGTTATACAATAACTTATTGTTAGAAAGCAAATATTATGAGTTTCAAAGTTGTTTTAAGAAAAATATATAAGAAATTCAAGTAATAATTTATATTAGCGCGTGGATAAGAATATATTAATTAAAAATGGAACATTCTACATCTAATCATAAATCCTATTTTCGGTATCTCATATTCTACGTTTAACTTGTTTAGACTCTTCTTTATGATGCAAAAATAAGAAATATAAGAATGATATAATGCTCCTTTTTCATTTGTTTATCTTCAAAGTTTCTTAAATTCGAAGACCTAAAACAGAGGTCCTATTCACGGATGAATCAAAAGTCCGAATTTACGCGTCGCGACATTTAAAAAGCGGTAATTATTTATTGACTCTTTTATTTGTCACGCTTCTCCCTTTAATTATCTCTATACAATATATATATATTATATATATATATATATATTAATTTGATCGTGAGCAACAGAATACATAAAACACACAATTTTCTTAATATCTTCTTATATCTTTTCTTTTTCTTGAATCTTTTTATACGAGATCCGAAGAAAAATACGACGATTTGATACAGTTATTTAATGCAGAATTCGACACGTATATTTTTAGTATCCAATATGTCGCATACATGTAACCACATAGTTAGTATAG